GATGTTGGTATGTGATATATTATTAGGAAGTTCGTACTTGTACTTTACAAACATTAATAAAATTATGTTCGATACTTTGTGTTGTAAAATTATAAGTTCTGTTATTGTTTTCTCCAATTTGTCAGTATTTTCATCTATGTTCATGAAGTCTGATAAATTGTTATAACAATGTAGACTATTTTTTTATTTAATTTGGGTACCAAAACAAACTGACAACTGATGGTAAAGAATAAAACCATGGCTTATATATTTGAAATGTACTTCCGAACTCACCTTGTCATGTGACAGTCGTGATTCCACTCATGCGTTGCCATTCCATCTGACTATACAATCAAAATACTGCTTAGACAGAAAGCTACTTGGCGGCCTAAATAGTTGAAACTGAGGTACCACGTTTTTTTTTTTGGGCGGTTTGGGCTATATCAGGCGCTCGACCTTATTCAAAGTTTGCTACCTAGACCTGTAATGACCTACCTAGACCCCTTTTTATCTCCTCAGGATACAGTGTATACTTTCCAAAAGAGATATTTCGTTTATGCACGAGAGGGCTACAGCCACATAGGATATGCAGTGGCGTTTCCTCTTTTGCTTGGCAAAATGTGCCGATTGCTGTTGATCTACTGTTTCGCCATGTGCTTATTTAGCTTGCAGTGTCCAGTGAGGGTCCTAGTCATGATGCATATATTGTTTTTACTCAATAGTAGAAATGTATTGGAGTATTGATTCGAGCAACCCGTTATTATGGCTTTTGAATGTATTAATCATGGCGTATTCTGCCAAATTTTAAGTGCTTCTGGTTTGGTTATTATTTTTAGATGTCCCAGTTTTAGGCAACGAGAGACACCACAGAAAGGTTCAGGGCTCTATTGGGCGGTTTTTGTCCCTAACTTTGCCAGTTGGTCAGCATTTTCGTTGCCTTCAATGTTTGAGTGCCCCGGGACCCATCTCAGTATAATATTAATTCTCTTTGCTACTTCATTTAGTATCCACGTAGAATCCACGTATTAGAATATATCTCTGGTAAAACTATTTTATGATTATTCAGTAGACTCCAAGATTATAAAAAACAATTACATTAACGATTTTGTTTAAGCGATATACTCGACAATTTTAAACGAATTTTGACGTTTCTTTTACAAAACCTCTCTTTTCAAATTATGTCACACTTAAATTTCTCATTGAACATTTTTTATGCTTCATTTCCGAAAATTACGAATTTATTTCCATTCCTTTTTCATTTGTATGTGCTTCGATATTTGTCCCATACTGAAACGAAATGAAATGAAAATTCTTTATTGTTCTCCTCAAAGAATACATACATATTTATGTATAAAGGTATGTATGTATAAACATACAACATTGACAAAGAAAAGAGTCAACAATGGGCGGCCTTAACGCTGAAAAGCGATGTCTTCCAGGCAGCCTTAGGATGGAGAGGAGTGATTAGACTTGAGTCTGATCAAGGTGTAATAATAATATATAGTGAGAGGTGATGTTAAAATAATTATATATACAAATTACATATTTCGAATACACAGTTATAAAATATGTACATGCACAAATATATATATATACATACATACACATATATAAACAAAATACATACAAATATTATATTACTATGACGATAACTTACAGAAGTAGTGGTTTCTAATAATGTGATTGGAAACTCGGCAATGATGTTATTTCATACTAATTTAATGATATATCATTAAGGTAACATATCATTAGTATGTACGTATCATTCGTGATACCCCTGGTATTTCAGACGTCCATTACCATCAGACGGGCCGTATGCTTGTTTGCCACCTACATGGTATAAAAAAAGTATGTTTCGGATTTTTCTTGGAATAAAACGTTACTATTTATATAATTATAATTATTTATGTCTTTTAAAATTATTACGTTTCCCAATACACACAAATAAATAAAACTAGATGACATTTATAAAAAAAGTATTGAGTAGTATTTATACCTATTATAGTAAATCTAAGTCAAGCATTTTCATCAAAAGCAGTCGGTTTATTATTATCCAATAGACGGTGGCTCGTGAAACAATGAATTCGGGGTGATGGAGCGGTTTTTGCGGAACGGCAACGAATAATGTTATGAAGTTAGTCGAGACCACTATTGTTCTACGAGTTTTGCGGGTTTGTCTTTCTAGATCATATTAATCACTCAAACTGTAATAGCCAACAAAACGGTTATAGCTACAGACCACAATATTGTTTACAACCCGTTTACATCATATGCTTTTTTTAAAACTTATGTCTTAAGTTATAATATTAACTTATTACCTAGGTAGATTAATTGGAATATACCTATAATAATTTAATATTATAACTTAATGAATTTCTTTATATTCTGATCCGGCGGAAATGGTCCAAATACTTTTTAAAGCGGATACATCCGAAGAAGAAATATCAATTTGAAATTGAGTTTCTCGGAGCTAGCGGTTACCCTCGGATTTGTGGTCTATTGCAAACAATCCTACAGCAAACGCTGTCTGTGGCTACTTCTAAATGCTGTATGGACATATAATCGTATGTAATTGACGGCCACCGCTTTGCTTTCAGGTTTAATTCCTAGCTCGATGTAAATTTGTATTCATGAGTATGATTCTATAACTGTTATAAATATTTAGATACATTTTTTTATAAATAAAACATACATACCAATATTTATATAGAATACCTATAACTCAACCTGCTTAGCTGGGACTGAGGCTAGATGGCGCTGTATGAATTGTTTTAGTGTATAATAAATATACAATAAATACAAAAGTCTATCTCTTCGTTGCCTATTCACGATTTGTAACGATCAAGAACAAATCTTAATTAAAAACAGAGATAAACTGTAACACGAAGACAAATATTACCAAAATCTGTCTCTTAAGGAATAAATTTGCCCCTAAATCATATGATAATGACCACATACGATACCTTCAAACAAAAAGCATACTCCTGCTAAAAGGCCGGCAAATACTTTGCAATTTCCCTGGTGTTGAAAGCACTCATAGCCGGAGGTAAACACAATCAGAACCGCAACCTCATTTGCCCCCTATAGTATAAAAAAAGTGTTTGTGTGTGTTGTGCATATATTCTGTTTGCTTCTTTCTTTAAATTTTAAATTAATTACTTGATGTTTTTAAAACATAATCCCAAAATTTTTAAGATTCCAAACCGAGATCTTGTTTCATGTTACAACATTTTCAATCACCACACCTCAGTAGTAGAGAGACTCATTTATCAGATATTTGGCGCTATAGAATGTTTTGAGACAAGTAACAGGTTGCATATAACTATCCTAGATAGCTTTCGGCCGATATAAATGGATTAGAACTCGGACTGGGCTAAAATCCCGCAGAGATGTATAATTAGTAAGGGGAAATGGAACACCAGTGTGGATCAAATTAAATGGAACTGGCTGTTCTAGTTGTACGATGTTAACTAGAGTTGTTTGGTAGGCTTTCTTTTTTCCTTACTAGGCACGTAATAGGTTATAGAAAAGTACCGTCGAATTGACAAGTTACTCCTTTAATATAAACGGGATATATTGTTTGTATGGTGTTACGAGCAAACCCATGACCCAGATTCTTTTGACACTATCATATTAAATATGATAATGACCATAAACATCCGGCCTTCGAATCCTATAATTTTTCCCTTTGACACTCTTGAAACCGAAATACGATACAGGTGGTCTTGCGGTTTAGCACACTGTTTTACTTCCGTCGTAAGTTCGATTTCCCGCAGGATACAGACATTTGTATTCATGAATATCATAGTTTGTATCATTCTGAGTGTTTTCTAGATATATATTATGTAAATTTAAACATAAATTGGACTCTATTCTCCGCATTTAGCCTCTCATCTGGGCTGTTGTGCGTGTAGAGCTAAGACACAAAAAAGTAGACAATCTAGCTCCTCCCTAAAGCGCAGGCTGTTTATTCTAGCCTTATTTCTTTTTTGTTTTCTTTTCTCAGAAGTCATCTATTAGTATTAACACTGATATGTTCTGAGTTTAATCGTATGATGGTGCAAGATAACTCGTAGTTGGCGTCCTAGAAGAGAACGGAATCTACGAATTAACGTTCGTAGTTGGCAGTCAACATGTTAAGACATTGTTCCTCTAGCCATTTCAATATCCGTCTAGTTAAAGATAGTTAATAACCATATTAGTTACGCTGCCTAACGACATGGTAATTATTTCTTGGGTAGCTAATTAATTCACTCCACGCAGTTGACTATTACCTACAACGTAACCCCAAAACCAAACAGCGTATTGTTTGACTGAATTTGAATATTGCTCAATAAAGGCTTATTAAGCAATATTCAAATTAAGGAGGACTATTAATTAATGAAGTAGCTATGAAGGTATATTGTAAATGTATAGTTAAATAGTTATGAGATTATTAAACGAAATGCCTAATCTTACTTACTAATATTGTAAAAACGTAAGATGGTTAGCATGGCAGAATTGATGAATGGATGCATATATGTTACTCTTTCACTCAGAAGCCAGTAAATGGATTTTAATGAAACTTTACAATAATAGCTTATACATCCGTATAACACGTAGGCTATAAATTTTACGCAGATTTTCATTAAACCACGGACACAGCTAATAATTGATAATCTCACCTTTGACATCTGAAATTTATTAATTTAAATAATTTTAGAGCCTTGACATCTAGTCTTCAGGAATAGCTTATTGTCAGATCTCCGACTCGAACCACTGTTCTCACTCGCCGTTCACAGCTACGGTAGCAATGTGCGCTAGAGACGACAAAAGATTTCTTCTACTTCCCCACATATACTATAAGGTGCATCACGGGCGGGGCGTGGTAACCGAATTTAGAATTACAATTATAATAAATAAAAAAAAATATATAAAACTTATATGAAAATTGATACTCGGATATTTACTAGTTAAATAAATTACGTAAATACCTTTCTGCAAATAAACATTTTAATTAATGCAATTACATTTGCTTGCAGGTACATTTTCCTGGCGATCTACACGGCGGAGATGATAGTGAAGTGTATAGCGAAGGGGTTTATTCTTAATAAGTACACATACCTCCGGAACCCGTGGAATTGGTTGGACTTCGTGGTCATCACGTCTGGGTACGCTACCATCGGGATGGAGGTCGGCAATCTGGCCGGCCTTAGGACGTTTCGTGTGCTGAGAGCTTTGAAGACTGTTTCCATAATGCCGGGTAAGTTGTCCAAATTAAATCATAATCTATTTTATATATATTTATTCATACTACATGTATTACAGTTTTTTATGATATACGTACTTTAGATATATCAGTTTACAGTAAATATAATATATACCTAGTAGTTTGAGCCAAGAAGAAATAACAAGAAACACTTCTCTAACCCGTTTTTAAACGAAACTGCATATCATTATCTATCAATTGCCTGAAGTGAAGATCACTATAGATATTTATGGGGTAGAGTATAGAGAACCGATTGCCATTAGCAACCTAATCTTTTACATGCTCAATTATTGTGTCATTGACATTCAAAACTGGCTTCAAGCACTCCTATTTATATTTCATAACTCCATTTTAGACTAAATTAATTATTACAATAGTAAATATTAATTTACCAATAACAAAACAATCCCAAGACAATATATTGTTATAAATCATATTATATTATATATCATTTTCGATATACTTGAATGATTATTAGCGTGTATATCCATACTTGTATTTAAATATCCTGGCACGTCACCGGCGGATTTCCATCATGTCAGACCCTACTTACGTTTGTCATTACATCGCCATTCAGAGACCTAATTCAGTTGTGAATGTTAAAATCATTCCCGCGCTATCTGGATGCTGTGCCGCATCAAACACACGGATGCGAAACGGCATCGTTAAACTGAATTCTCACGTAATGTTACGAATTTCCTAAGCACTTACTGGCATCGTGCAAGGGCTTCCCAGCCGTCGCTTCCTTGCCATATACTGGAATAATATTTTCCAACATTATATATATTCTTTCGTTCATTTGTCGATAATTACTTGTATTCATGTGTATAATTGTATGTATTATTCTAGATGTTTTCTATGTATATATATAAATTATCTTTGTATATGTTTAAAAAATACAATTTTATAAAGTTCTTCTAACTATTCATAATATAATGTTTAGCTTAAGATTAGATGGCGCTGTGAAAATTCTCCTGGATTATTAAATCAAAAATAAAATTTTTAAGAACAATTTATATTTTTTATGTACCTCTCTAAGTCTAGTCAACAACATAGTCATTATGAAACCTTTAGTTAAAGTTTATTGAATATTTAGTTATTCCCAAACGTTTGCGAAGATTTGCGAACATCGCATTTCTCGTTGAAAATACAGAAATGAAAGTAGGTATCCGGCGTAATTTAGATAAAGTATACGAGGTAATAAACAGAATCCGGGTTTTTTATTAATAACCTTGTTACACGAATACTAACATGTTTAACGTACTTGTTTACGGATGTTTAATGAAGTACAAAAGATAGTAATTAGGGAGTATCTATTATTATTATTATAGTAATATAATAGTATATTACACAGTAAAAAAGTAACATCGAATTAGTAGTGACATAATTGGTCATTATAATGTTATGATTCTTTAGTCGAGGAATATCACATGTTGTAAGTATAATAAAATAAATAAAACATTTTGTACACTGGATGTCATTATTGCTGACGTCGAGGAATATACGAGAAAAATGTGAAATATACACGTAATTTTACTAGCGAGATCTCTCGGCTTCGCACGGATACATTACAAATCTTTGAATTTCTCGGCTTGTTGTATTATACATATAAACCTTGCTATTAAATCACTGTATCTATTGCTCAAAACTTCATTAAAATCCGTTGCGTCATTTAAAAGATATAAGCGAACAGACAGCAACGGAACTTTGTTTTCCACTATGTAAATAAATAAATATAATAAGAAACAAGACATCGTCGCGTTATTTTCAATATTCCATTTTCAACATTTTTATTTTTTTTTTATATTTAATAATCAGGTACATATTTTCGTTCGCAAACAATGTGAATAGTAATAATAAATAAATGAAACTGTTACATTTAATAATAAAACAATTCCAATAAAGTGGTAACAATTAATTATTCAAATTCCAGTATTAATTTTTTTAAAAGCTATGTAGATTATTTATAATTAAACTGCAGAATTAGGCATGTCCATCATCAATCAAGGGGAATGACGTTGCGCCTATGTAAACGATATTGTACTTTTTTAATTTAATTTATTTTAATATTATACTCGTATTTTAATGTTAATATTTTAAAATTTAATATCTAAAGGATGTCGAATGTAATGTTTTATTATTATCAATTTAATAAAAATAAATTGATAATGTATATTGTGTATTTATTTTTAGAAAAAGTTTTATAAGTATGTACCATAGGATTACCATAGGCCTAGCCCGTCTTGAAGTAAGATAGAATTATGCAGAGAAAATGCAGGTTAAGAGGTACATCTTAGTTCTCTGAAATGGCATTACATGAGTATTATCACGGGCTTCACGGCATGATAACGTGATGTATATGCATGTACATATATATATATATATATATACATAGCCGTTCATGTATAAAATTATATAGATACTTTGGCATATATATAACGCCAACCTTTAAATTAAAACATTTGAACGTGACCTTACTCATCCTCCGACACGGTCCGGGGCGTGCGGCATATTCCGGCGTTGCCGTCGTTTTGACCACCGGTTTGGATATATATAACGCTAATTGCAGTTTCTGCAGTTTCTTGCCTTTGTAATGCCATTAATACTCCATTAACGTCTTGATTACAGACACGTTCCCTTTGAACTCTGCCGTAATTATCGTTTTTAAAAAAGATATGTATATTATTATATTGTTAGGAAGATTATTTTAACTGTACTGAAGTTAAAATAGACATCTAAAATCATTGAAAATATAGTAAATGTATGTCTATTTCTTTATATCAATTGTGTAATCTTAATCATTACTTAGTATAAAACTAAGTCGCTGTCGCTGTCTCTCCGTCCCTATGTATGTTTCAATCTTTAAAACTACGCAACGGATTTTGAAACGGTTTTCTTTAATAGATAGAGCGATTCGAGAGGAAGATTTATATATATAATACATGTACACCCGTGCGACGCCAGGGCGAGTAGCTAGTAATATTATAAGCGCGAAAGTTTGTAAGTATGGATGGATGTTTGTCACTCTTTCATTGAAAATATAGTAAATGTATGTCTATTTCTTTATATCAATTGTGTAATCTTAATCATTACTTAGTATAAAACTAACGCAAAAACTACTAAACTGATTGTGGTGAAAGTTTACAGTAATATAGCTTATACATAAGAATAACACATAGACTATTATTATTGTTATTTATCATGGTAACCCAACATACAGGGGGGTGAACCTCGCTGTCGAAGTCGGGGTAGAATGCATATGCGAAAACCCTGGCTCCGGCACAGCCGCTTGCAGATACACCGTGTAGTTTTTAGTGGGTAAAAATCCCACACACCGCATCGCCATCCCTCCAGTGAGACTAGGGCCTTTTGAAGATTTCCCACACATTAATAAAGGGGGTCGGTTCGCACCTTCGATTAATAGGAATAAATGGTTTGTTATTGGTGTTTACATGATCAGACGGAGACACGGTTAAATATATATAAATTCACTTACAGAGTTCTTTTTTACTAAATTAATTCTTACCATATTTTCTGATATAAATAGTTATAATAAACCACGAGATTACGATCCTATCAAAATGTATACATTTACTATGAATTAAAATATTATTTGAACCTTTCCTGTTTATTTCTCAAGTGTTCCACAGAGTAACACAGATCCCAGATTGACTACATTACAACTATACTTTAAGGTCTCTCTACCATTTCGATTACAACCTATCTAGATCATAGATATAGATCTATAGTATATAGATACATAATTATAGGCAGGCAGTGTACTAAAAAACAAAAGCTGTAATTACACGTTATTAGTACCACTGATATACTTTAAATCATACTGTAACACTGGGCATAATGACCATACTATTAAGGCGTAAACTTGTCAGTCACGTATGTATATGCTTGAATAAAATTACGTTTTCTATTAACTTAAATATTGTCTTTATTATATTTTTTATTTAATTGCCGTCAAAGCTTTTTCACAAATAATATTTATAATTTAGAATGATTCTAATGAGGTTCGCCGTTTATTAAAACAACAGTGGTAAACAAGCATACGGTCCTTGTAATGGGACCGAGTATAGAAGGTACTCGAAATCAGCGGAAGGATAGGTGCGGGTAAATGCCAACTAGGACCAAAAGGATAAGACTGTCTGTTTGAGGCTCTGCTAGGAGTTCCATCTTATAAAGTATTGCTTTAGACCGTAGTAATTTCAATCTCCGTTAAATTGGGAAAGGAGATCGATTAGAAGGGACTAGTCATTTTAGAGGTGATATGTCTGGTCTTAAAAAGGAGTTTATACTAATATCTTACAACGACTGCAATATTCCCGCATTTTAAACACTACCTACCACGTACTAACCTCCTTTATTCACTTCCAAGATCCTTTTCAACACATCCTTTCATCCCTACCCTTTCCAACATACTGTACGTGACGGTCTTATGCACGAACAAACGCATTCCCGAGGAGGGTTGACGTCAGGCGGACGGCCGGTTATAAAATTATAAGCCGAAACCCATAGTAAAAAGAAAAAAAATGTGTTACACTGACCTCACTAGTTTATGTAATAAGGTCAAAAAGGTATCTAATAGTGAAACTTAGAAAGAAACTTAGTCTTAGAACATTTATCATATTTTCTTAAATACAAATGTTCACTATTGCAGGGAAACTGATTTACTAAAAAATATTGAAAATAATACAAAAACAAATTGCATAAGATGTTTTTAAATTACGGCATTACCAAGAGAAATATAAATACTTCTGTTATTCATCATATAAGAACATGTGAAATTATTTTCAAAATAAAATCTGAAATTATAAAAATGCTGTTTCTTTCCAGGTCTGAAGACCATCATTAACGCACTTCTGCACTCGTTCAAACAACTGGCGGAGGTCATGACATTGACAATTTTTTGTTTAATGGTGTTTGCATTGTTCGCGCTGCAGGTGTATATGGGGGAACTAAGGAATAAGTGTGTGAAAAATTTTGTGGGGGAACCGGGAGAGAATTTTACGGATGAAATTTGGTTGCAGTGAGTACAATTATGTTCACTACTAACTTACTAAGTACTTAACTAGTTTTTTTTACAAATTTTCGATAAACCCTAGATTGCTGTACCTCATCGGACAGCTGATGAAACGTAGATATTTTTAAGCTCATCTTCGTAACAGGCGTCTTAACATTGTTTCAGATATCTATTTTTTTTATTAATAATGGGATTGCACTTAGTCTCTCCTCATCTGATAAACGATAGCAAGACCAAGGATGTAGCGCGCTTATCAAGAAAAAAAATGAACTTTTTAAATTTGTATTATTTTTTTAGTTTTAATCGTCTACAACGACTTACTTATACATTTTACGTACCTATATATTATTTATAAAGGTGATAGAGCATCTTATTTTACATGTAAAAATCAAATAGGATAGAAATAATAAGACTTGCACATTTTAAAAAGTCTAATCTTACAGCCAAAAATGGATTTTATTTTTTTGTAAAAAACAATTAAATTTAAAAATTTCGAAACGGTTAGATTTAGGATGGAGTGTCTCATAGTGACATCTGTCAGAAATGATGTAAACTATACGCCCTTAACGGGAATAGGTCGACTTAATCCATGAGGGTCATGGATTGGTATAAGAAATAAAATAATCAAATATATTTTATTCAATCCACTAAGTATATTATTTCAAGCTGTGTAATTATATTTTTAAACAAATGGCCTGATTACATTCTAGTTCTACCACTACCTAACTGTTTAAAATAGTATTGTACAATTTAGAATATTACTTCGTTGTGTATACATATATATTATATATTTGATATATAAGCTACAAATACAAGGGAAATTAAGTACAGAATGTAATGGCACCAAACTTTATATAAATTACGACGCCCTCTTATTCTTTGGAGTTCTTAGCGAAAGTTGCCGTCAAATTGTTTAATTAGGTTGTCATTTCATTTCAAACCGGGGAAAAGAAAAAATATATTGCGCACTCAACAGACAGAATGCCAAGTTCTGTAATTGGTTCTCATTATGTTTTGTCTTGATGAGTATTGATTATATCTTTATACACTTAGACTTCAAACATTTCTTAATTTTAATATATTTTTTGTATAGGTGTAGGATGCACTTATAGCGACTTGAAATTTACCAATTTGAAACATTAGTAAATTTATGCAAGTTTTAACTACTAATTTAATTAAAATTATTGTTACGCAGTTTATATTGTTTGGTTACAAGTAATTTGACTTATGTAAATATATTGTATAATACTCAGGAGTAGTAATTAAAAAAACATATGACATATAAAGGACATACAACTACATGTACAATATAAAAAGATTTCAAGAAGTTTGTGATTAATAATCAATTAGTCTACTAATAATAATTATTACAAATCGCTAACTATACTATTTATAAAGACAATATAATTATTATAGATATTTTTGATGTTATTAGACTATAAATACGAATATACAAAATAATTAAACTATTTATTCCGTAAACTACTACTGTTATTGAAATATCATTGCTAGAACTGTAGTTATCGAGATGGATTTTCCATTGCTGAAGATTTTCTTCATATTTTAGTACAAAGTAAACACGGTCCTGACGCACGCAATTTTATATATCCTAAATATATTAAATTATCATCCAGGTGGATTAGAGAGCCATCTCGCTGGATAGTGGACGAGGAGGAGGTACCGATCATCTGCGGTAACCTGACGGGGGCGCGGCACTGCCCGTCGGGGTACACGTGCCTGTGCGTGGGGCCAAACCCCAACCACGGGTACACGAACTTCGACAATTTCCTATGGTCCATGCTCACCACATTCCAACTCATCACTTTGGACTACTGGGAAAATGTATATAATATGGTGAGTATTTTTATATATATGTAATTCTAATAGAGAAAACTTGATTACTTACTTGCTGAGAAATGAAATTTTAATTGCTCCAAAGGTTTAAAGTTACAGTTCCTAATATAATAATAACAACTAATTAAAAAACTTGATGGTAACTAGGAACCGTTGACTATAAACAGGAACAGCACTACGGACTTTACATATCATGTAACATCCGTGACCACACATATGTTGACGTTCCAGAAGACTTGATATCATGCGTGCTATCCTGTAATTTCTATATCTCATCTTTTAACCGAAATCATCTTACAAGGAAGCTGCTTGGGTGCTAAAATAACTGGGACTAAGTTCACCGCGTAGATGACATTTAAAAAAAAATCAGTATCATATGTATTAGTAGGAGAGGAAGGTTTATGTAATACATGTTTAGTCGCGAAGGGTCGCTAGGTCGCTATATATAAATAAAAGTACACAACATAAATATATTAAAAAAAGAACAAATAGGAGCGTTGTTCGCTATCATGAAATATTGTCAATCTATAAAATAATATTTCAGATTCATAAAATTAAATTAAAAAAAAAAGATACTTTTCATTATAGACGATTCAGTATAAAAAGCAATAAAGATTCTAGTAAATATTTAAAGAATATTTCCTGGAGACTAGAATAAAGATAGTGTAATAGATAGATGTATAAAACAAAAGGCGACATATAACTATACTCAAATAAATAAATATTTGCCCTTTGTCCGTTTTAACAAGGGATTGTTAAAAAAAAAGTTATAGTAAAATCATCTTTAAAGCTGTATAGAAATATTGTAATAACCACAAATATCTATGAAAAAAAATAAAACACTTTTATATATGGCAATTCTATTATTAGTTTTACGTTTCATTGTCATCGTCTCATTTAGAATTTCAATCTTCATTAATAATATATACATTATCATTTGTCAAGATCGAAGAGTTATTAAATATTCTGTCGCATATCCATCCCATTAGACAAATTAGGCACACTTTCATAACTTTGTACTTTATAGAACAATGGCTGTACCTACATTACTTCGTCTTCATTTTCTGTTAGTCTGGTATATATAATAATATATATAAAACTAACTTTTATTTCTAACTAAAAAACTTCTCTACTTTTCAAAGTCTTAGCTCTAAGCATCACAAAAATAAAATTATTGTATAAAATAGATTTCGGTATAAAGAGTAAATTCTGATAACATGTCATTATTACCATCATTACATAGTATAAAATAAAGTCGCTGTCGCTGTCGCCGTCTGTCCGTCCTTATGTATGCTAAAATGTTAAAAACTACGCAACGGATTTTGAAGCGGTTTTTTAATAGATAGAGTGATTCTAGAGGAAGATTTATATATATGTACACCCGTGGGAAGCCCGGACGAGTAGCTAGTATAAATATATATCAGTCTTCCTTTCTCGTCAGTTCCTCTCAACTAGAAGTAGCTAGCCGAACTGGACGGTACCTACTAAAAGTGATAAAAATCTTATTAGTAGGTTGATTAAATGGTTTTGTATTTGACTTTGATATAAATTATGGACGAAAATGTATATAATGCAATGACGCTATAAATCAAACGCTTTAAATTATTAATAGAGTTTGTTGTTGATTTGTCATTTAATTGTTTTAGTAATCATAATAAAAATATATTTATTTCTTAGAATAGGGTAGATATAATAAATTTGTAGTATAGAAAATTTATGATATTCTGCTATTTATAGCGTACAAATATGGTATATATAGTGTTATATAATAGTTGTGTGAGAGATAAAGGAATTTTCGCAAAAAATATAATTATTATAAAGAACAACACTAAACTACAGTCAGGAAAGTAAACCGAAAGGAAGAATAAATAGAAGCAATAATTTATAAATTGGAGTTCGATATATAAAGTTTTTAAATATAGCACGGACTGAGTGGACCATAAGTTATATTATAATAGTTATCTATGGTATTATATGAAAGTTATGTTATATTATAGGATTAAGGATAGGATAAGAGGATAATCACGATGAAATTCTAATTGTCTTAGCAGTTATACTGTTGACATCACATGAGATGAAATCCCTCTACCCAAACTCGGTGTGTTAATTTGGGCACGTATTCATATGGACCCCTCGTAAATCCTGTCACAACAGAAATACTTGTAACTGTTATGGGGTAGGTTCTACAATAACCTACTTATACAATTTACCAAAATAGACTTTGTAAAATGTCTGCATACCGCATGCTGTATCTTGGAGGTTGGAGGTTGATTTCTAGTTGTGAAATTACAAGGAATAGTTGCATGATATTATTGTCAACGGAATGGCACCGTTACTCGTTCACGCAAAAACTATTGCACGAATTTTGATGAAACTTTACAATAATACAATTTACGCATCAGAATAACCCATAGGCTGTAATTTAAATATATATTATGCAAATTGAGCGAAATGTAATGATAAATGTCAAGTAAATTTGATGCAAACGAAGTTGCGCTGGTCAGCTAGTGAGATATACAGAGGATATTCGAGATGATGTTCGTGTGTATAAGAGACCTTTACCATTTACCATCAGCTGTCAGTGCTTATTTACCATTCCAATAAAATAAATAAATTATAGGGAAAAGGATGTTCTAATATAATTTCAAGTTGACATAAAAGGAATATCACGGACTCAAGTATGCCTTCGAGTATTGGGGTCATCACAATCGGCGCAGATAGATACCGTAAAATTTTATCTACGAGTATCTGCAGCTATGTCTTCTATCTATATAAATAAAATATTATTGTCGAATATATGTAGGTGCAACAATTCAGAATAGTTGCAAATATTTAGCAATATATTTTTATGTTTGCAATTGTCAAGACAATTAGAAACATAAGAAAATAGAAAAACTATTGCTTCAGTGTATTTTTTTATATATATAATTTTTCTCCAGTCTTACCATTTTTTATTAAAGTAGCAAGCATTTAAAAGTTATAAATAGTAAATTAAAATAAACAACTGTAACTCTGTATACACAAAATCATTTTTGATACAAGTTAAAATTATTGAAATCAGTCTTCTCATTAAATTCTACAATACGATATTGAAACATAAGATCTTCCATTCTATTAATTAAAAAGGCTAATTAAGAAAGACTTTTGAATAATGCTTATTACACTATAAATGATTAGGTAGGTAGATATTTAAATGACTTAGTTAGACTTCAGATTTGATTAATATGTTAAACATATATGCATTTAAAATCTCAGAATTAGACATATCGCTTTAAAAAAATCAGAAAGGCCCTGATTTTCTTCCTTCAAAATATAAGCAATACGGTTTTTTTGCTCATTTGCTTTTGATTTTTCTACCAACATCTTATTTTGTTCACGGCTACATACTCCGCAGCCGTTACAACTGAAAGATATTAAGACAAGTAGGCGCGCCCTGAGAATTAATTAAAGATCACGGGGAAGCAGCCCTAACATTATGAATTCACTCAGAAACTCCGGCTTAACTTCGTTTTGCTCGGCACTGCGGTACACCGTGTAATCTTTAAATGATAAAATTTATGCAATCCCCGAAATCGTCAAGCCATATCTGGGTACTTTTAATTTATTCTGACCCACTTACTAATGGTGTACTTTCTTATATACCTGGTTTGCAATTGGGTCATAATAGCTATAATATATACATATATGTACACAATTATGCTTACAAGGGGATCCCAGCTCCGGCTTAAGAAAATATATAAATGAGAATATGTGATTGTTGATATGTAAAACTTATAAAACATCTTGATTAATGAAATATATACACAATCAGTTGCCTTATATGGAAGCTCGTCCTCCTGGATGTACAATTTTATTACATTTTGTTACTCACCAGTATATAATGTTTGCTTTGCAAATACAAAAACGCCTAATCCATAGAGATCAGGCTTAAAGTTAGAGACGCTTTATATATAGTCATACATTATATCATATATGTAGTCACTAAGACGGATACTTTTCTATATGTAAAATCGATAATTTGAACTTTAATAATTGGTGGTAACACTGAATAAAGTAGAATGAAAGTGGGCACTATATAATTTTCTCTTCTATTCCGTCACAATAAAGAAATTTATCTATTTGCAATGAAGTCACGACTAGTTTATTATTAAAAACAATTATAGGTAACATAGTTCTTCGCTTACAATTATGCAGAAAATTGTTTTGGACACTGTAAAATGAAATTTACATTTCCGTAAATGTTAAACAAACTTATGGGTAATCAATCGATTCGTTTGTTTGTTCAGGATTTGTCAAATAATCTCATTGTTTCTATTTTCAATAGAATTTATAACAATTAATTAAAAGGGAATCTCGCAGTGATACTCTAATGTATCAATGCAGCGATCAAATAGCCTTTTATCTTTTATAAGAATTAAATAATTTATTTTAAACTTCTCGATGCTCTAATTATTTAGTATACTTCCTTAATATGCGGCTTTTGCTGTGTAGTGCAAACAATTACAAATACATATATTTATAGAGTTTTGGTTCCTATATACATAGAGTACTTCATCGATATATCATTCACAAATACAAATATTTGTGCCGTGCGAGGAATCGAACTAGCGACCATTGGACGTAAAGCGGTGTGCTAGACCGCTAGACAACCGAGGCCGTCAATATAATACAGTACAGTAGATATATTAAATAAAATACTGTTACAAGTATAAATTGTTGATTGTTGCCATTTTCGAATGTATTATCATGATTGCTTTACATTTACACAGCATTTCCAATATAATTAATGGATTAATTAAATTTGAATACGTGATCATATAACTATATTCCACACTACCTTTAACCGAAGGTAGAAAATGGATGCAATTTCATTTCATTGCAGATCACACGGTACGATTAATATTACAAAATTAATAATGGACGCGCTAAATCTTGTTCCGAATGTTTGTCATTACTTTACTACGCTACTGTGCTCCTATATACACCAGTTTTTTTTAATATAGCAAGAAATATAAACTCGTAAAACATTTTTAAACAAATTCTTAGAACTGTTTCCAATTTAATCTATATAATGTATTCAAGATGCGTCTGGGTTTTATATTATTAGAAATACAAATTCTGCCGTCTTCAGTTTACTTTGCTGTACTCCGTTTGAAATGTGAGGTATGAGAGTGAAATTGCTGTGTGGCAGCTGATCTCAGGATATTTGTGCTATATGCATGCGAGTGTGGATGATATATATGTGAATTTGTAGATATTTGTATTACAAAAGATCTCAAAGGAGTAAACATCTTGTATAGCACACGTTCTAGAAATGAAATAACTGTATAACATATGAACATAGCATCTATCCAGACTCTTATGTTTAGACATTTACAAGAATTAAAAAAAAGCGAACAGTAAATACTACACAGTTTATTTTCAAATTACATATTCATGCATACCAATATTATAAATATAATACAAAAGTGTGCCTGTTCGTCCGTCCGTTTTAATGAAAGAATCGAACAAATCTAAAAGTATTTTTTATACCATGATAGTGGCGATAAAGTATTCGGCCACTTTGATGGTAAATGGTTACCATAGCCTTAGAGGTCTGAAACACCAGACGTGTCACGTGCGCGTTGTTGATCCTTCTAAGATTTCTAAACCTTAATATACCTTTCTTGAAAAACCTGATGCTGTAGTCTCTAGAGAAAACCTCGCAGATATTTTATTTCATTATCTAAGTATACCTATTATACCGAATACATATTTTTCTACTAATAATAATAATCTAGTGACCACATTATCCTATAACATTTTCTAGGTTTGCTGAAAGAAATCTCTTTTTAGACAGAAGCTCGCCCTTGTACATTACATTTACCTTATTACTGCTATTTTTTCCTATATGTGTACAATAAATAAAGAATCTATCAAAGTATTCAGTTAAAAATGCATACAAAAGGATAGCTGTAAGTAAGATTACTCAAAAATATAAACGTCCCTTTTGCCTTCGCAACACTAACTTTTTGCTTAGTTTGCATATTGATTTACCCAGTAAATGGCTGTAGAGAATAAATATAAATTACATCCTCGCAGCTAACTCACTTTATTCAATCTAATTTATCTAACGACTTATTGATTACTACAACGATCAAGTAGGTAATCCAAACCCAATTTGCCAAAACAATAAGCGACGAAGGGACCTTCAATCTGAGTTTGCTACACCCATTGACTAATTTAATCTGCGTTAATTGTTCGCTTTGAAATGGGTAAAATTAAGTAACGTGTTTACTTTAATGGTTATCAGTATGGACGAAATATTTACACAGCTCATTCTAATTAATATAGGCTTTTCTCGCATCCTAATTATGAATAGTACTAATTACACACCAACGGTCCGTAATTTTAAAACAGATACACTCACTTTACAAACATCTATTAAATACAATAATTAGTAACTATTAAATGATAAGCGAATATTCTTAAGTATACATGGAGATGAATACAAAAATATATTTATTATATTATAATCCTGTATAAATCACACAGCATAATGAAGTCCCAAACTAAGCAAAGCTTGTGTTATGGATAATATAATACATAGCTGATACATACACATTTTTATATAAATACGTACAAATATCTAAATACATAGAAAACACCTAGATCACTACAAATTATCATACTCATGAATACAAATCTTTGCATCATACATGGAATCGACCCTGCGAAAATAAGGCGGTGTACTAAATCGCTAGCCCACCAACGCTGGTAATATGGTAACACGTAGTAAGATAGGTCACGAGTTAACATAATCTAAATCCTAATTTAAAGTAAATCTAAATCCAAGATATCAAATTATTGTAGATGTAAGTTACACATATATCAACATTATAAACCTATAAATAACATACCAACTGAATACCATTCAGCCGAAAATAGATTGAACTAATATTATTAGAAAACAAAAATACATAGATACCATTTCTCTTCCTTGATTCCATCAGCTTCAATGACGGGAAACAGTAATCCCTCTCTCTGTGTAGAGGATTTAAAGACATTCCATTAAACGGAATGCGCACACGAGGTGGAAGTAATGGTGAGACCGCAATTCGAAATAGTCGGCCATTAGAGGAAACACTGACATCGAATATAGTGGTTGGATTCTTGATTTTGAAATGAATGCTCATCTATCTGTTATTGCACAATACATACCGAATTCGGGTTTAGCTCTTTTCTAACAAAATAACTGGAATTTATGCATTTTTAGGTCTTAAGGTGTTTATTAAGGATGAAAAGGTAAATAAAGTATTTATTACCTCACTCCACGTTCCGACTAGTTGGTATATTTCGCTAGTTTATTTAACTACCCTACCTTGATTTAATATTTAATCTTTCAATGTCATCTAATGAAGGAGTGACCCAAGAAACTGTGTTAAGACAATACGCGAAAGTTTAAAAGTAAATCAAAGTAATAATACAAACATTGTGTGAATAACAAATACAAACCAGCGCGACAGCGATTATAATAGTAAAGATAAATAGAAAAAGTACACATTTACAGATAAGCAAGAAAAGAAATCAGTCGCAATAATCAAAATCAGTCTGTCTCTACAAGTAGCATTCACGCGAAAAACGGATGCTCCAGCCATTAATACGCACGCAAATAAATAAACTGCATATTCGAATTTGACTTTAATAATAAAGTTTTAAATTCGATTTCCAACGATATCTTTTTTAAAGAATTCAGTTTATTAGAGGGATATTGTAAGGTGCCTAATAACCTCAGGATTTGTTTATGGTTTATTTACAATCTTTGTTCAGGTGCTGTCATCATGCGGGCCGATGTCAGTATCATTCTTCACCGTAGTGGTATTTTTCGGCTCGTTCTACCTCATCAATCTAATGCTGGCCGTCGTAGCACTCAGTTATGAAGAGGAATCACAAATTACTCAAGAGGTAAGTTATAATAAGATCCATCCAATCACATATTTTTGTTATTACATAAATATATATTGCTGTTTATTCTAAAATATTCTAAAATTTTCGTTTATTCTAAAATGTCACAATAGTGCTGTATGAATAATTTGAGTTCGATTCTAAAAAGTTTTTTCAGAATCTATTCTCTTATTTATCGCAGTTACTTCAGTTTGTATGCTTCAAGTTTTGGTACTCTATAAAGACCTGATTCCTATTTATTTTTGTAACTTAAACAACAAGATCCCAATTGGGGAAAAATGGCGAATAACGCTATTACGATGGTACTTAACATCCGTAGTATCCATATTGCGTTCAAATTTCTGAGGACTAAGGTCTCGTCTCTGTACATTATAATTTAAACCTCAACACAAGCTACTTAGCAGCAGAAATATATAGGTGAAATAAAGGAAGACTTTTTACAAAGTCTAATTCGTGAAACATATTTACTGCAACTTATTATAAAGTCATGTCTTTAAATCACAGGAACGAAAGAAGGATCTCAACGAGCACCGTGATGATTCCACCTTCAGCTTCGATCCCACATCATTAGCAGTGCGCACGTTGGCCAAAGACTCAAAGAAGCGTATCGACGCTCGCAAGGGCCTACTTCTCGCTTCATACTCTAGGAAGAGAACTCGAAGACGTAAACGAGGAAGAAGCGCTATACATCATGCAGCTGCAGTGGCTGCAGTGGCGGAGAGGTAAGTTTAAACCAATTGTCGTGATAATAGTCAAAATAAATAGATGTTTTGGAATTATTAAAGTAAAAAACCACGGACGAAACAGAAGTATTAGTAAAAAACAATCAACCACTGGCAATTCGTACTAAAAATCTAATAAGTATAACTAGAATTAAAAGAAAGCCGGCAAAAATTGTTAAATAATGTAAATTATAAAGTAATAATAATTTCACGAATATTTCCTACTCCTTAAATTAATAAACTGTAATTGAAATTCACAAAGTGTAAAAATTGAATAATCTTCCCGAAGGTGACTAGTAGAGAAGGCCTATAGCATTAAGTCCGCGTTTTGTACCATACATATTTGTTAATAAAGCTTAAATTAATAAATAATCTATCGTAAGTATTTAATAATTCAATGATAACCAAAGTGGTCTATATTTACTACGACCAAAATCTTATTTTAGTATCTAATTGATGACATTAAAATGTTAATGTACAAATAAAGATAAAACAAGAGAAGAACTTGAAAATAAATGGTAGATATTTACAGAATAGTCATAAATTCGCGTAACTAAAATAAGGTAAGTGTAATAACAATGTATCTAGGTGTATAAAGCATATAGGTTTTAAAAGCAGTACAAATTTATAAAGTATGCCCACATTTGCGGTCCGAAAGCGTAATTTAGGCGGATAAAAACATTTTTATGGTAGGATACATCACAAAGTACATAATAAACGCAGACGGGGTGTGGGGTCATCATTGTGTTAAACGTTTTACGCTCATTGGCGCTACCAAGCGAATCGTGAAAGATAAAACGTTCGGTCGACCGCCATTTTGAGTAACGGTCATCAGTAGGGTTGGTTTAATATATAAAAATACATTTACTGCTACTCAAAAACAATTTAGCACAAAGCTGTAATATAAAGCTTATTATTTACATCACAGTCGTGTATTTATGTATGCAATGGGATAAACTAACTACCTGACAATCCACCTAATCATGTGAAGCCTATAGAATCTCACATACGTTGTATTTCCTGAGACCTGCATACTATTCCTGTATTTCTGAAACTGAAAGACACCTTACCTACAATATTTGTCATAACTTCAGTGTGTGACAGAGGCCACACAGACAACTTCATACTGTACTAAGTTTACTTCTATAATAAAATATAATATTACTATCGAATTGCAAACCTTCTCCTTTTGAAGTTGGTTGAAAATAAGGAGTGATGCGTTGCGAATACTAACTGATCCACCCACACACTGCCTGAAGCAATGAAATTTTCTCTTCAGGGAGTACAGTACTGAGATAAAATGAAAGAACAAGAAATAAAATATCTATCTTACATCTGCGTTTGGTGACATCGTGAATAATGTTTTCTGATTTTATTATCAGCACCATTGTTTGGAAACGCTTTGAATTTCCTACTTTCTGCTTTATACGGTTTTTCCATTTCAACTCTTATCAACTTTTAATACATCACGCCTCCTTTTCATCTAGTTATTTGAGCATCGCTTTGAGAACAGAGTTTTGCTTTACCCGCGAATTGAGCGTTAAATATTTAAACTTATATACTGTATTTTTTATTCTCCTTAAAATACCGCAGTAAGACGACCTTTTGCTGTACTGTAATTGTACTGTAATTTTAATTTATTTAAAAATTGCAGGATTAAAGTAAATTTCACTTAGCTAGCACAAAAATCCAGAATATAGTCATAATGCAGATATTTTACTGTAACTCGATCTGCTAAATTTCCAGTTTCACTTCTTTCAAGAACTTGAAATTTCAGAAGCAGTGAGGAATAATGAAAATATCGATTGATTATGATCATAAACATAGATAAATTTGTTATCAATTGTAACATCACAATATTAAGAATTAATAATAGTTTTAAAATTAGTTTCATTAAATTTAACAACCATCAATCATCTATCATTGTCACAACTAATAGGATACACGTCAAGTACCGTAATTATTCGTGCATATATTCGTTGCTTTATATAAGTAATATTATGTTATCTGTGATATAAGTGACTGAATATTGGAAAACTGTTTGAACTATGACAGTAAAAATTATAGACTTGAGAACCACCTTTTTGGATGCATGTTTAAAACTCAATATAATAGATATACATATTGGGCAGTTAGATACAACCTTTGCTTGAATTATAAAAGAAACTGCTATATATATTAAAATGATTCACTATTAAGGTAATAAAAATTACAAAAATAAAGACAAGGGTAAAGGTAAAGTCATTTTACTAATAATGACTGGTCGGCGCAACGATTTCGCACTGCCGTAGTGAAGCAAGCTGGTTGTGTAAAATTTGTGAGAAATACGAAGCGATAATACACATACTTCATTTATTTCAAAGATACAAAATTATACAACACAAAGTAGTGTTAAAAACATAACAAATGAAAGTAAAAATAAAAATTTACCATTAAAATGACAGGTTCAGTTCTTTTTATTCAAGATGGAAATATTTTACACATATGCATCCGATTTTCTTATGTAATTGGAACAAACTAACAGCTCTCCTGATGTTAAGCGATAATCGTCGTCTATAATCATGCACAACACTACTAATACCTGTGAATAATAAGATACTGATTTATATATACGTGGTTCGATTATTAAATAAAATTTGAGCGAAGATATGATCAAAAGTCATTAGTAATCGGTACCTTCACCGGCGTTTATCACTATACGGTAAAATATAGCTTAAACCTCAGATGTAGGCCCACAGGAGTGTTAGGTATAATATCTATTATGTACGAATTTAGTATTAACGCAATTTTTTTGTATACACTTTACGGCCTTAGGTTTGAATGTTTTATGCCTGTAACTTTAAATTACAGAATTGACTAACGACATTTTTTATGCAATAAGTTACGTTTTAATATTTATGTGTCCAAATTTTTTTTTTATTAATAATGGTAATCCCTTTATTAATTAAAAAAATTGCTTGCTCGGTTTTACCTCATCTGATGGTAAATAACGCGCTTACCCAGAAGAAAATTTCGCAAGTTAAAGCTATATATATACAGAGTAATATAATAAAATGATAACGAGCTTAAGATACGATATATAACAATACATGATCCAGGAAACACAACCTTTACTATACTACTTTTCTTTATTATTATATTTATTATCAGAAAACAATATGAAACTTTGTAAACAAAAAAGTAAGTTAGAAATAACATATCTTCAAAAATAACCAATATAAACAAGGATAAGTAACGGGACTTCGATATAAGGTTAGTATTGAGTTAACCGTGCTAGAATATCTTAATGAAGTAGGTACTTTTGTTCCCCTAGCTATCGCGTTATCTTTTTGAATAAATAATGGAAATCGCTCAGGTGGAGATTGAAGAAACTAGTTTAATCTAGATAGAGTTAACAAAGAATAAGTAACAAGGAACTGACTATGACAATAAAACGATAAAACATTTGTTTCTTAAATTTTAAAACTTTTTAACAAAAAAAGGTAAAGTGTACCTACACTACCTACACGCTTTGCAATCGAATAAATACTGTTAATTAAGAAAAATGAATCAGCAACTTGACATATATAGAAAAATTTCTTAATTCACTTTACTACTATTTTATAATACACACGTTCACTATAACATTGGTTAATAAAAATTAAGAAATTTTAGACTTTACTTTATATTGAAGACTTTAAGTCGATTTCCCAACTATTGGAATTTTTGTGTAAACCAGTATTGTAGCAAGACAACAAGTACAAATATGTCTGAAACCGTAGAACATTCGTGTTTTAGAAACTATTACGAATAGCCTTAAAATTCAAAACACCCATCCGGTAGGTAATTTTTATGCAAACATCTTTTCAATCGTTGAAAATAAATAAGCTTAGCTTAAATATAGCTGTTTTCTACAATATCTATTTAGATCACTGAATTGAAATGCAAAAGTGAACTCGTAGAAAATATTTTTATAAAACTACGGTATTCAAATCACGTTCAAACCATGCTCCTCGCCTTAAACTATTGAATATCGCACCGGTTAGTTTTATTTTTCTTTTCATATGATATCTAAATTAGATTGTCATCATATATGAATAGTGAATCACATAGTGAATCTACTATAAATTAATGTCCAAGTAGATATTCAGACTGTTCGATTTTAATTAGGGTTATGTCCAATGCCTAAACTCTGTTTGTGTTGTGACATTTACCACATCCGCACGACTAGGAACATAATGTATGTAAGTTGATCGATCTGAAGAGCAAGCGTGTTCTACAGTCAAACACCCCCATAAATTTATCAGCTGTCTCCTGCTCGGACTTTTATAGCGATTATATGGTGATTAGCTTTAATCCACGCTAATATTATATATGCGGAAGTAAGTCCGTCTGTCAGGTTGATTCTTTTTTATGACTAAATGGTTGTACGTATTATAATATATTTTGACGCGAAGATATACTGTATCGTGAGAACTGACTCACACTATCTTTTATTTTATAAATGCAAAAGTCGCGGGTGATTGCTAGTAGTAAGAATACTACTAGCAATCACCCGCGACGAATGACGAATTTCATGGACTGATATATAGAAATATATCAGTCCATGAAATTTGTCATTTTTCTATCTAACATGACATGTATATGATACTGGTAATTGATATCAATAAAAAAAAGAAATAACCAACATATACTCGCGTCCACAACTAGTAATGCATAAATGAATTGAATAAAAGTGGTTTAGTGAGTTTGTGTTCGGCAGCGCGGAGTACTCCGACTTATTGAATTCTCTCTCGTCGAAGCAGGTTAGGATTTCAGTGGAATCGCCCGGGATTCCGAATCACTTTAACCTATCTAGCTTTGAACTGAAGACGCGGGCAGTCGAGTTAGAGGGTAAAGTTCTTGGTTGGAATTATATAACAACAGTCTTAGTAATTGGGATTCCCTTTGAATACTATTATGCTCATTTAGAGTGGGCACAAATAATTTTGAGTTAAGAAAGGTATAAGAAAATTAGGGTGTTCATAACGAAATTAATGTTTTTTTCATTTACGAATTTATTACTCTCTTTTTTATTTCTAAATATATCACACTTAAGTCGTCATGTTGTGTTTGTGAATTATTAATAGGACTAAGCCCCAAACAATCCGAATCTGGCCAAAACTAAATAACTTTATAGTCAATTAAAATTTTTGACTAATTACCTATGATAGTAACACCGATTACAAAACTAGTACGTGTATAGAAAACTGGCTTTTTTATGGCCTAAAAGGCCTTCACCCCCTGCCACTTTGGATTTAGGAGCAACAATTGCTCAATTTTCGTTGGGTATGCCAACCAAAATTGACCAATTGACCAATCACGAAGCTATTGTCAGTCAACTGTCGACTCTGAGCCCCATCTAGAGTCAGAAGAACAGCTATGATGTTACATTATTATTACAGCAGTAGTTTTTTAATAATTTTCATTTTATATTACGGACTATAAACATATTTATTGTTGACTTAAAATTTTGTTAATGATAAACTTCAGATTCCAAATAAATAAATTTGAAATCTGAAGGCCCATATTCTTAGTGAAATATTCAATCTCTTTGATGTTCTTATCTTAGTTTCATGTATTATATACGAGTAGGCATATCCGAATATCTTGTACAGTACACTAGAATATAAGATATCGGTCTGAATACAAAGGAAGTTTTCCAATACTAACTTGTTGTTACTGTGTCTATAGTACGATAACATCGACAGCTCATAGACAAGCCACCCTCTACCTGACTTATCCTATTCTACGGCAGCAATGAACTTATGTTTATATTCCAAGGTATAATTGAAATTACCAAACTTATATGATATTATTATGATTTAGGTTTTCCCATTCAATAAACAATATCCCTTTAAACGACATGTGTTTAAAACTGCAACAGATTGAATTGATTTTAAATAATTTCGAAATACTTGTAGGTCGCCAAACAGCTTGCCTTGCCATCGCAATATAAAAAACAAGCAGTTTCAGTTATAGGCAGTAAAAATACAGGATAGGACGCTAGATATCTTGGTTCTCTGGTATTCCAGATAGATTCCATGCGTGATTCCACTCATACTTTATTATTACACCACGTGAGTTACATTATTAGACGGGTGTCACATGATAACCTAATGTCCGTCATGCTGTTCATATGACCGTTACCGCTTACCATCAGACACCGTCAGCTACTTTGCCATTCCAATTACATAAAAAACCTACTTTAAATGTAAGGTATTTAAAGTAGGTATGTATTATTTAGTCCTGATTGAAAGAAGTATTTTAGATAAAGTATTTTCATATTTATGATGATATCATAATAACCATAAATTGTAAGAACTGCACTTACAATAATTGATTTATATCCCCCATTTTGAGTTAACCAAACAATCTACTCTGAAATTATGTGCTAGTACAAAGTTCACTAAACATTTTAGGAGTTATTACCATCAAATCAACCATTATTAATTACATAGCTGCTAATGAAAATGGGACAAAGGGGCTTGAATCTGCTACGGATTCAGTCAAACGAAATTCAATTAATTCTGTTCACATCGCCCACTCTAAATGCACACTTATACATACCAGTGTCTGATGTAGTGATTATATGCTTACACAGTGTAGTATCACATCTCTTTTCAGTTTAATTAATAGTTGTACGCCTTATTTTTTCTTTATATTTCGAAAAACACATATACTGATATTTAGGAGATTATATATGCGAGTAGAATTAGTTAGAAAGTATTAATGAGTAGACTTATTAAAATATAAATATTTATTATAATCGAATATATAAATACAGAAATGCTTGTTATAATTTATTGCATTAAAATAAAATTTAAAACGCCATATTAATCTCAATCTGGCCATTAATAATCACATACTTGAGGCACAAGAATATATAATTCAAATTTGGAACATATTTTCAGTAAATATTCATTACGGTTTTTATTTTGGCGCTAAAATTTAAATAAGTGAGATTATAACGGATACTGCTAACTAATACTGCTGTGATATCATAAAAGGTACTTAATAGATTTTTCATTTAATCGCAAATCATAGAAGACGTATATTTTATGACTGACTATTATATTTTTAAAAGTAAATCAAACAATATATATCATAATATTAAAAAAACTTCGTAGGGGCTGCTTATACTTTTATGCAATACAAATTTAAGAAAATTTTCTATCCCAAAGAAAAAATATGTTGTTATTAGTAACAGCCTCCAGAAATAAGAAGGTACAATTAATTATATTTTTTATTTCCGTTACTCCTATGTCTTCCTCGATCATATTTTTAAATTATATACACGTATACTTTGTATAAAGTCCGTGGTTACCTTTATTTCATCAACGTATACCGTCAAGCTCGCCTAGTAATGTTTCGGTTGTAGACTGAGATCTGGCACTCACTTTACGGAGTACGGAGGCGAGACGCCTTAGTCTTCCGAAATACCAACGAATAACGTGTGGTCCGTAGTGCTCTTTATACATATAGGTTGCCACTTGTTGTAGTCCATCATGTAGGCCATACAGCTTGTAATATAGCTTACGGCTACGGCCACTGATTAAACTATTTCCTTTTGACAACATTACAATAACATATGTGTCACACTATTCTCCCTAATTTGTACTTAAAAACGAACCTTAAATTTTAATTGAATTGAATTACTGTAAACGTGTACAAGTTCATTTGAAAATATTAAGAGCTACGTTTCTTGTCAGTTCTTCTTAGATCGAATGCACTCCAAACAGACGGTAGATTTTCACATACTATAAGAGTCTGTAATAGACTTACATGAATAAACATATTTTATTTGATTCCTGTTATATAAAAAATATTCAGAAGATGTCATGATGTGTTAAATACCACCAAGTTTATAAGGTATAAAGAAACAGGCGCTATTTTTATTTGTCTTACCATTACAGGTCCAGATCGAGGTCTCGGTCGCGGTCAGTGACGCCGAGTACGTCACCACCGTTGCCGTCCGCGCCACCGCCTCCGCCGCCGCCCCCTCACACTTTGCACCCAGACATTGCCTTAGGTATAGCATCTCTACATAACATTGTAACATGTCAGCACGTGTCAATAACTAACGAGCGGCCTCGACTTCTCACGGGTGCTATTGAAGATGTCTAACTTTAAAAAAAATGGAGTCCATTTTACTCCTTGACAATACAATCATTAGGCATTCTATGGGTGAAAAAACCTTTTTACTTGTTTTAGACTGTAAAATTTTGTTTCATTTGTAGGATGCGAATATGCAGAGAAATTACAGAATAAGTCGCATGAAATCTTAGTCCTCCGTAATAACAACGCGTGTAATAGTGGTATCGAGAATGTCACATGAAAACGTGATGTCCTTAATTCTGTTCATGTATATAGTCGACTACCGCTTACAATAAAATGTAACATCAGTCTGTTGTCCATTCTAACAAAAAAAATCTTCCCTCGTTATATTAGTTTGGCCGTGTTACTGAAATGTATATTATTTTCCTAATGAAAAAATATCAACAATGGCATAATGTTCATTAAGTCTCAAATTGCGAACCCAGAACTTACCTCAGGTCGTGGCGCATTAAGCGCAGCGGGCCGCCAACTGAGCGACCACAGCAATAACCGGGAGTCGTCTTTAGACGACTCCGGCGTGGTGGACGACCACGACGACGGAGAACACACTTCCGACGACCAAGCACCACACCCGCATCACCCGCGCCGTCTGCTGCCGCTGTTGCCACCAAACCCTCATCTACACCCGCCGACACCGATGCCGATGCCGATGCCGACACCAGTCCCGATTTCGATGCCAATGCCAATGTCGATGCCCACTCCGATGTCAATGCCGATGCCTCAAGTACAACCGGTAAGCTCTTACTAATATTATAAATCCAGAAGTTAATGAGTGTGAATGGAAGGATGAATAGACGTTTGTTACTGTTTCATGCAAAAATTATTTGTAATAAGACTTTACAATAATATAGATTATACATCAGAATAACAGATAGGCTATAAATATCACGCGGCTAAAACCGCGAGCACAGCTAGTCTTTAATTACATAAACAATGCAATAATTATTATTGCAAACTTTAATCCAAAATACAGTACAAAAACCCATCAACAATTAACTTTTGACATATTTTGTTGACCTAAAAATTCTAAAATTAATACTCGATTCTTCTTACTTGAGCCTTTTTATATGGATGGATTGATATCCTTGCCTGCGTTAATAGCATATACGAGAAGGATACCAAGATGAAACCCGTAGCAATTAATTTGACAATAACATTACTAGCTATCAATAGTCTCCATGAATAATAATCCCCTACCTATGTTTACATACCTTTGTGGGAAGCAGGAGGTTCTTATAAGATTTAGTAAAAACATCTACACTAAAAATTAATTAAAATATATATATGTATATTTTACATTATTCATTAGTATGAACAGTTGCAGGAGTGTCAAACACAAACAAAAATAAGAAAAGATAGTAAAACAGAAAATAAACTGGAAAAGAAATCAGAAAAGAAGAACAGTATTCAAGAAAAGTATCCACTAAATCCGGACTACCTCAATCAGATCGTGGTGCTAGGTAAAATAAATTTAATACGCTTAATGCACTAGCTTATATTCTCAAAGGAGAGTGTAATGCTACCAAAGAAATATCACATACACAATAAAATTGTTTAAATTGTAAATAATTTTGGTTGCATCACACAAAATTATTATTTGATTGGCACGGCTGTTTCGGCACTAAAAGCACGAACAAAATAACACTACAAATAACGACGCTGCCACAGTTTCAAACGAATGCTTTGCAAACACAAGAGGCTAACTAGGTACTTTTTACGGACTGAATTGATAATTACTATAATTGCATTAGTTTAGGATAAGAATACTTTAAAAATATTTTTATTAATAAATTGTAGATTAGAAGAAGTGAATGTCCGAATTGGCTATTAAATACTGTGCATGCATTGTCTTCTCTATTTTTAAATTTACTATTGTATAAATACTACTACTACTACTACCTAGGATATCAGATCTATCTTCTAGGATTCAGTCGCTTGCAATTTTCTACTATTCTAAATTAAATTTTTAAAAACAATATTTTTTACATTTTCATTACAAGGATGTTAGATAGATGTATTTAGGTACTTATTTATTTCTGTTTCAAAAGATCTAACTGTTCGCTCTGTTTCAACTCGCATTTGCAAACAGATGATATTTTCTTTGGATTTCAGAAGCATTATGTAAGGTTTCTCTTTAACTTAACACATAATTCTCCAATAAGTTGTGAGTCATTTGAGCTTGGATTTACAAACCATATTTTAGTTAATATAATTCCTGGAACAAATGATTTCACAATAATCTCTGTAGTCTGAAATTTTTAGATGTTTATATTATTTCTAAAGAATTTGAGTGAAATAATAATTCAATGGCTACAGAGATTGTAGACACTGCAATTATATTTTGCAAACAAAAAATATTATACTGCTAATATCACAGAAATGACCATTCCTCTCCAAATATACTGTGTAATTAAACTATTCCACTTGACAGAGTATCTAAACTTTTAAAATCGTGTAATAAGCGGAGAAGAATGGGAGTTTCTAATGGCTGAACATTGAATAGTAGCTTCACCGCCCAATGTGCAACTCCTCATTGGGCGTTTTGATACAACACACTATTGCAATTTCGCTTCTATCCTCATTAATATCGTCAGGGGCGGACTGGCCATACAAGCGCGCGCCCGACCTCCCTCAAGCGGAGACGACGAAAATTAATGAGCTCAGTTTATTGGCAGCCACGCACAAAACTCATATGGGCAATTACGAGCAAAATTGCACTTACTTCACAGGTTAGTAAACACAGACGCCAACGCTTCTCCCCCCAGTCCACCCCTGTTCCCTACAGGAAGACTGCAGGGTGACTTTGCGATTGGTTGACTTGCTGTCGTCTCGTCGCCTTATACAGATTCGCATCTAAGTCCTTCTAACCTTTGTTTACACCGAAAGGTGTATATCTCCCAACACTTCTATGCGATTCACCTCTTGGAATTATCAAATTACTTTAATGTGGACTACTTTACTATCAGAATGCACTTCAAACACAAACAGCTCAAAATTATTACTATTGGCATTTAAATTTTAACCGTGCATTTTCCTGCTTAGATTCTTAGTCCCAGTTTTCGCTTTTGATTGCATGACCCATATTTTTTTCATTATAAACTACTACGATTTAACTATTATGTATAACTTAAAATAAACTTGCAAACGTAAGCTTTGCATCGAAAATTAATATGCTTCACAATGCTTTTGCTATATTTTAATTGATCTCTTTGTTCGTTTCTATTTCTCCAGTTTGTATATTAAATTATATTAAATATTCGTTATAAATATAAAATTATTTATTTTAACAACTTGTTTAATTTGACCACAGATGAGCTCATGGATAGAAACTGTGAATGCTGCGTCACTTGCTGCATAGACTACGAAGGCTGGCTCCAATTTCAAAACTGCTTGTTTGGAATCGTGAAAGATCCACTTTTCGAATTATTTATTACTACTTGTATAGTTCTTAATACACTCTTCCTTGCTCTTGAGCATCATGGTATGAGTGAAAACGTTAGACAGGCCTTAGATATAGGAAATAAGGTAACGAAATACTACATTTTCTGTTTCTATTCTATATTACTAGAACTATTATAGAATGCATTTGTACCTTTTCAGGTGTTCACGTCTATATTTACTTTAGAATGTATGATGAAAGTAATGGCGATGAGTAAAGATTTCTTTGCCAGTGGTTGGAATATTTTCGACCTGATTATAGTGTCGGCCAGCCTTCTAGATCTAATATTTGAGCTCGTTGATGGCCTATCTGTTTTAAGGGGCCTTCGTTTGGTAAGTTGTTACTTGGATATCTGTCTGTATTATAGGGCTTGCACAGATGAGAAACAAAACTAGCTCTACTTCTTGTTTATCAAAATAGTCCTAACAGATTGTATTACTCACACGAATCTGAACGTTTAAGTTCAATAAGATCAAATGTCTTTATCTGCACAGACCCTTACACACATTACATTGAATACAGCTAATTGAAATACTTGAACATTGTTTCAGTTGCGAGTGTTAAAATTAGCTCAATCATGGACTACAATGAAAGTGTTGTTGAGTATTATAATATCGACAATCGGTGCTCTCGGTAATTTGACGTTCGTGTTAGTGATAGTTATATATATATTTGCTGTTATCGGCATGCAACTGTTCTCTAAGTCGTATACGCCGGACAAGTTCGAACCTGACCCTGTGCCCAGGTAATTTGAAACGTTGATTTTAAACTTTTGCATATGTTAATCGTTTTTTTATAAGCTCCAGATCTACAACCTTGTGTGTTGTAATCAAATAGATAATTATGTACAATACAGGTAAATAATTACTTATTAATTATTTTATATTTTATTTTAGCATTTTATATTTTATCTTTATTTTAGTAATAATATTTTATAATTACCTCATTGAGGCAAAATTTCCTACTGACATATTGTCAGTAGCAGGCGCTATGGTTTTATTTTGTTCTAAATTATAAATAGCACTTCGCTACATTCAGTACATACGTCTTGAAGTATAGTAAAGTGAAGGAAAGTTCTCTTTCTAATTGTGTATAATTTGTAATGATGAAATAAAGGTGGAACTTCAACGACTTCTTCCACTCGTTCATGATGATATTTCGGATACTGTGCGGTGAGTGGATCGAACCCTTATGGGACTGCATGCGCGCGGAACAAGCGAGCGGTGCTGAAAGCTGTTTTTTCATCTTTCTGCCTGCGCTGGTGATGGGGAACTTTATGGTGCTCAACCTCTTCCTTGCCTTGCTGCTCAATAGCTTCAACAGCGAGGAACTTAAGAATAAGAAAGAGGTAATATATCAATAATTCAATATTACTGCTTGCATGTGTCAGTACTGTTTCAGTAGTCTATTTCTTTTTAATACGTTTACATACGTATACACAAGAATTAAATAAATAATCGATTTTCATATTATCGGCATCGTCGCGTCGTAATTTCATCTCAATAGTAGGTCAAATGTGATTACCATTTGAGCTAATATTGAGATAAAATGTAATTATGTTCTAATATGGTAATTATAGGAATACGATGATAGATATTACATTATTAACTATAAATGTTATTGTCAAGAAATTATTGCTTTTTAATTTTAGGAAGTAGGAGAGGATTCAAAATTAGCTAAAAGTTTCGATAGAATACGTTCCATAGTAAGAAAAAAGGGTTTCCTTATATCGAGAAGTAAAGAGACTGAAAAAAAATCTAAGTTAGAAGAACTAGTGACTGAATTTATGACGCAACAGCGTGCTATGAAAGAAAAGAAAATATCAATACCGAGTGAGCAACAACGATACTCATCGTCGATACAGGAAACGATCCTATTCCCACATGACAATATTTATAGCCATAGTTATCAAGAAGCTTTGAATAGGCAAGTTCATACCATACACCTCAAATATTTAATAATACAGTTATATACATATATACGTAGATTTATACTAAAACCTATTTTACAGGCCAATATCAGTAGGTTCAGATTTTGCTTATCCTCATCTTTATCAACACGGTAACAATTTTAACCACGGGAGTCAAGAAACTTTGAAGGACGTACGTGATCTCGCAAATGAACATAAAATAACTAGTATTAGAGAAGATTCTAAAGAAAATCTCGAAATCACGTCACCAGTAGAACAAATCGTCGCTCAGAAACTATTAAATCAAATGTCTTCAGGATATCATACACAGCCATCAGATTCGAGGGGTAGGTAGAATATTCAATTAAGTTTAGGTAGGCAAGAAAGGTACGTTTTATTCAACTCTGATATTTTTAGACGAGAATGAGCACTACGAAATGGCCCAGTTATCCAGTAAAACTACACCAGAGCGAATGAGGAGACCTGTCCTGGAACTACCAAACACAAATATATGTAAGGACGCTGCGAAACCCGATGAAGAACAACTGAAACATCCGTGGCAAACTTTAGTCTCATATGTAGATGAATTAACCGTAGGTGGGAGAAAAAACTCAAAGGGCCAATACGTAGACGCGATGGGAAACTTTCCGGGATTTGGGAAACAGAAGGAGCCGAAAGTCCCCCAAGATTGCTACCCTCGCCAATGTTACGATGCGTATGTATTTAAATGAAATTATGGACTACTAGTAATCAATTAACGCGCTATATTATGTTCTATATCCAAAAAATCTATCCTTACAGGTGTCCATGTTGGGACACACTCATCGAAACTAAGATGGGTCAGCGCTGGATGGTAGTCCGTACTTTCATCCTACGTTACGTTGATACGCCTGCCTTCGAGTGGTTTGTCCTAGTGCTTATATTCGCCTCCAGCATAACCCTCTGTTTTGAAGACATCCATCTTGAGAAAAATAAACCGCTAAAGAAAATCTTGTATTGGACTAATCTTGGTTTCTGCATGATCTTCGTTATAGAAATGTTCCTCAAGTGGATAGCATTGGGATTTTTCAGATATTTCACAAGCTTTTGGACTTTATTAGACTTTACTATAGTGTTTGTAAGTATAGTGTTTTTAATCATCCCTAATATTTACTGACTCTTTATTAATGCTTGTAATATTATCATGACCTTTTACTCTAATCTGTAACCTATGGAATGAAATGCGAGCCGTTTTTTGATAAATTCAGCCCAATTTACAATTATGCAATTTTGCAATTATATTGCATGTGCTTGAATATGTCTCGAGTTTAAATTCCAAACTAAAACCTAGGACTAATCTTTGACTAGCATTAAATAATTGGCTAACAAAATTATGACTTCTTGCAGGTATCAGTATTTAGTTTATTAATAGAAGAGAATGAAAATCTTAAAGTATTAAGATCGCTTAGAACGCTACGTGCTTTAAGGCCATTGAGAGCGATATCTCGATGGCAAGGGATGCGTATAGTTGTGAATGCTCTAATGTACGCAATCCCAAGTATTTTTAATGTATTGTTAGTTTGTTTAGTATTTTGGTTAATTTTCTCCATTATGGGAGTGCAGTTTTTTGGTGGAAAGTTCTTCAAGTGCGTTGACGACGAGGGAGAACTATTGCCTTTAGAGGTGAGTCAAATTATTTACTATATAAAGAATTTACCACCTATATTATTTGTATAAGTTACCATATTATTAGGATGCATTGTCTTGAAATGCAAGAACAACTTAATTAGTTCTGTCAAAGTTTATAACGAGAGAAAGTATCAATTTCTGTTCTCAGGAGCTTAAAACGTAATCCTATTTGCTACAACTTAAGAATCATTGAAATACTGTAATTTAGTATAAAATTTATTTAAAAGCAATTTATTAGACCGTAGGGGTTCAAAAATATTTTTATTATACGAATAAATATTTAAAATTTATTTGTTTATAATTGTAATTATGGTACTGAGTATTTTTTAGCTCTTTTCCATAATGCAATAAACGTCGTTAACAAACAAAGTCAAAATCCATGTAGAAGATATAAAGCTCACCTGAGCTGGTGAGCTAATTACTACCCCAGAATAGCAACAGTCGACTAATGTCTCTGACCAACCTATCTATGGTTACTGTCGTGAACATATTTCACCATTTTATTATTTGTTTTTCATGTGAATTAGTGAACGTATGAAATTAATTGTGTTTATTAGTTATTTCCATTAAAAAATTCCAGTACTGTATTGAAGTAAACGTCTAATTTCCATCAAAGTAATCATTTCAAATTGTGGTTATAAGAATGTAAAAATCATATATTTTGTTATGGTTAAAATTTGTTTGCCGTTATTGTTTGAATAACCTATTTTTTACAATCTGCACAATAGAAGAAATTTATTTTTGGCTTTGTACGTGAATTTGAAATCACAATAAATTTACAGGAATATTTATATTCAAATATAGATAATAATAATATTATAATAAGTATATATATGTGTATTTAGATTACGTCTTTTGCCATTTTTGACAATTGTGCGGTTTTTTACCACGTTTTCTTTGCAGATAGTAAACGATAAGTGGGAATGTTATTATAATAATTTCTCTTGGATCAACTCAAAGATATCATTCGACCACGTGGGAATAGCTTATTTAGCTCTATTCCAAGTGGCAACCTTCGAGGGTTGGATGGAAGTGATGGCGGATGCAGTGGACGCGAGAGGAGTTGATCTACAGCCAGCGAGGGAGGCCAACCTATACGCTTATATTTATTTCGTTATATTCATCGTGTGTGGATCGTTCTTTACTCTGAATCTATTCATAGGAGTTATAATCGATAATTTTAATATGCTCAAAAAAAAGGTAAGGTCGTAGTATTTATACGTGTTATAAACTTGTTTTACGTTTGTGTAGAATTATCATATCATACAAACGGGATATTTATCGTAATAATATTATTTTATGAGCTTCCGATATCTTCAGAACACTTGTAACACTATCGAAATATCGGAAGCTCATAAAAAATATTAACACGGTTAATATTCCGTGCATATAATGTACAGTATTCGTATTTCTATAAAATAGAAAAAATAAAGCACTTTTCTTAGTATTAATTTGTAGAGCTGAGACTAAAAGTAATTTAAAGTTAGATACTCATTTTATCAAGTTCTATACAAAGAGAACTTTCTCAATGGTGTCAGTAAACATTGTGTATTGTTTTACTAAGTTTTACTATTTTATTAATTTCATTTATTCTTCGTTTTCAAGGTTATTTTCCGAATAGGTATATATGGTATACTAAATACCTTTTTGAAAAATTGCTTATGTAAAGTTACTGAATCACTGCTAAAATTGAAATTTTTATACTAAATTGTTTACGATGTTATAACAAATATTTTATTTTTCCTCCTTACTTGTTAGAGATATTTATTCCATTTTATTAATATTATTACTGGCTTTCTACTTCGTACACCTACCTTTTACAGCTAACCCTTATATTTTAAACTCTGTAGTAATTTCAGTAACTAAAAATATACTCGTACTTAGGTATTCAGTGCTGAAAACTTTTATTTGACAGGAGAAGAGACTTTCTAACTCTTAAATATTATATCTTCTTGGAATTGTTCAATCACTTTTTAATGTGAACGCTTATATACTTTTATATTACAGTGCTGTCTATGGTTTCAGTCTTTTAAGTAGTCGATATTATTAATCAGAATAAGCTACAGTTTTAATATCAAAATAATATTATTGTTATATTTTATATTAATTTATTACATTACATTTTATATATATATATCTATATATAGTATACTTATTAGAAGTATATTGTAATATATGATTTATCTAAGTATAACAAGATGAATGACTAGTATCCCAACATCTTCACAATTTTTTAAATAATCGTGTATATTAATTAATTGTATTAGCATTAGTTATTATACTGTCCTAATACTTCATTGAAAGCCAATTGTTCAATTAGTTTTTATATAAAAAAATATATATTTTTATTTTATTAAGTATCTATGTACAAAGATCTAATTAATTTCAAAAAGTTTTCAACTTAAATTATCTTTTGCAGTACGAAGGTGGAGTATTAGAAATGTTTCTCACTGAAAGCCAAAAACATTATTACACTGCAATGAAAAAGTTAGGTAGAAAAAAACCACAAAAGGTGATCAAGAGGCCTCGCAACCAATTTCTGGCGATGTTTTACGATTTATCAAACTCCCGCCGTTTCGAGATCGCCATCTTTGTTTTGATATTCTTGAACATGCTCACTATGGGAATTGAGCATTACGACCAACCTCATTCCGTTTTCTTTATCTTGGAAGTCAGCAACGCGTTCTTTACAACTGTTTTTGGTTTAGGTAAGTAATATATATCAGTCCAAATTACGACGAAATATAATACTCATTTAGTATTATATTTCGGTTTAGGTTTATTTTGATTCTTATAATTTAGTTTTTCTTTTAATTGTTTAAAGAAATATAAAGAACCTTGAATCAAATAAACTTAATAGAATAACTTTTGAATAGTATATTTATATTATTATTGTTCATTTACGCAGATACATCATCATCTTTTAAATAAATTTAAGCAAGCAAAATTAAATTTTGTGTGAATTGAAACTGGTAATTTGCTAAATTGACAATCATAAATATTTACTTAAGTAACAAAGTAAATCAGTTACTTTCGTTACGTTATTTGATGACACATAGTTTTCGGTTAAGTTCCCTATTATATTTATATATACCTATCCAGTTATTTACACGACGTTTCATCAAAAACGAACTTTATCTATATATACAAAACTTACAAAATTCAAATATAATCATTAAACATATTTATAAGCAATAATAATTCGTAATAAAAAGCTTTATTTTATTTTTATATACTAATAGTTACCAAAATAAATAAATAAAATACAAAGCGAAGTCACGAGCCCAAAAAACAGAATGAAATGTCTAAGAATAATATCAGTCCCGAAAAAATAATACAAAGTAAAAGAACAGCTCGCTTTATTCACTTGTTACAATGAATGTACTTTGTTGCGGAAGTTATCGCATTTGTTTACGTGACGTGTTATAAACCCACAAATGGTTGGCAGGTGTACATATACCCCCTTCATCTTATTTTGACGCGTAAATTTCTCAATATATTTCTAATATTATAAAAGTTTATACTTTTTAAAGTTTATTATCAAATTACTGAAATGAAAAGAAATAAAATTTATTTGTGATAAATGTGGTACACACAATAGATGGTAATCTTATATAAATTATTTAGTTCTCACTTTTAATCTTTACAGACATACAAGAACGTATGTGAACTGTTCTAGTTATCTACAAAATTTAATAAAGTTGTAGTATTCAAATTTAAAATTATTATTAAAAATTACAATTTAGATGCAATATTTATTATTATTCTATTTCCCGGCCTTGATTGTTCATATCGATCTGAATGTTTTCTATATATATTATGTATATATTTACAAAAAAATATATAACTTATACAAATACAGTTTTGTCTATTATCCATAGCACAAGCTCGGCTTAACTTGGGATGCTGTGTAATAATAGTCCTGAGTAATTATTATTATTAATTGAGCATTTCGAACAATCGTACCTGCCATGCGATATATTACATACATATATTATAGATATAAAATAATGATTTTTTCGACAAGAGTTCCTTATGAAAAATTCATGACGTACCTAAGTACCAACTATAAAATATGTGCGAATGTACGATACTGAAGTTGCAATATATATAATCTAAATAAAAATAAGTTTAAATATAATAATATTGTTTATTGGCCAAAAAAAATGTTGATTTTCTTGCTAGTTCATCTCAACTGAAGTAGTTAGTTCAACTGAACGGCCCCATAATACACAGTGATAAAAAATTATCATGTATAAAAAAGAATAAGTACTTATTTAGAAAAACTACTTAAAGGTTCGCCAATATCTAATAAACAACTTCATTTCTGTATGATATTGTGTATTGCTCAAAATCTTCAATTCTGAATTGTCACACATAAATCCGTTTCTTAAATGTGAATCTTTTTAAAACTCCCATAATGTGTTACATGATATCTTCATTTCTGAATCGACTTCCACAATCTTTGTTTATTCGAGTTGTTTTGTTATTAATGATGTCAAATATTTATAAAAAAAATGTATATATGTATCGTTTACGTTTCAGAGGCAATTGTAAAAATAATAGGTCTTCGATATCATTACTTCACCGTGCCGTGGAATGTGTTCGATTTCTTGCTGGTGCTGGCGTCAATTCTCGGCATCCTTATGGAGGACATCATGATTGACCTGCCCATATCGCCGACATTGCTGCGCGTGGTCCGCGTGTTCCGTATAGGGAGAATTTTAAGACTGATTAAAGTAAGTAGCTATTTTTATTTGTACCTCTATATCTTATAATTATCTTCATAAATTATTGGTATTGTGCTATAATATATATACTAGTATTCTAAATGCCAAAGTGTATCTGTCTGTTTATTACTTGTTTACGACTAAACAGGGGTTTTCAAGAATATTAAGGTTTTTTACCCCTGATACCCATGGTGTTTCAGGCGCGATAATCATTTACCTTAAGTTGAACCATAGGCTTCATTGCAACCACCATAGTATAATAAAAAATAGCTTAACAAACCGTTACGCCGTTTTTTAATTAAATATGTCGTGAAAATTGAATGTATCAAAAAAGAATATAGTCCTTTTTATTTAGAAAAATATTCAATAAGTATAATGATAAAGGAGATGAAAGTGAGTGCAAATGAAGTCGGGGGTAATATAGTATAGTAGGATAGTATTTTATAAATCATTTAAGTCACTATTATTTAAACTTTTTCATTACGTGTCCCGTACGTTTTGTAAGGTTAGAACCCTTCTTAAACCCTAGGTTGAAACATGGATTGACGTGTAATGTTGGACAAGAACAAATATTTTTTATTTAACTTTTACCAGCAACAATCGGAGAAAGGATTCCCAGCCATCCTAGAGATTGCGACCCAAAAATTTAAAATATATATCATTGATTTTATCAACGATATCATATCATATACATATATCATAACAACAACCTAAGAAAATTGATAATAGACGATCGGACTATGGTTTAATAGTTTATCTGGCTCGTATGCAATAAGTAGGTACATAGGTTACGGATTCCATCCATACACAATTATTACTATGCTATTTATAATAAAAAAAAACTACTCCTAAAACAGCCCTAGTTTATTATTGCGGTTATGGTAACAAAACAATAGAATACGTAGATACTTAATATGTCACCAAATTTAACAACTATTCCTATAGGACCGCTGATATATCGCTCTCTTCCGCCCACATTCACGACCATACATAAATTCACTGTTATATGGGCGCGGGAAGGCACAAAGGTAAAAAGAAAAAAGAAAAGACAATACGTGTATGTTAAATGATGGTAATAAAAGTAATTCAAGATCTTGTTTTCCTACTAACAATTGCGTAGTTACAAAAAACTATTGAAATCTGCTTTTATGTATATATTATACATATATATATATATACTGTTACTTGCATTTGAGAGAAAAAACGATCATTATTATATTATTAATAATAGTTTTTCTCATATATCTTTCGTTCTATTAAGACAACGACAACTTGCGTATACTATCAGTTACATTTTTAATATACACATGTATAGATAGATCCCGAGAACTATACGGAAAACATATCATTAATATTTTGTTATCTTCTATTTCCAGGCCGCTAAAGGCATTAGGAAGCTGCTATTCGCGCTTGTAGTATCATTGCCAGCCCTATTCAACATCGGTGCCTTGTTGGCATTGATAACATTCATATATGCAATCATCGGGATGTCCGTGTTTGGACATGTCAAGGAACAAGGCGCCCTCGACGACATTGTCAACTTTCAAACATTCGGGAGGAGTATGCAATTGCTTTTTCGGTATGTATTACATATTTATAATAATTATAAATAGATTATAATTCAATTTTGTGGAAAAAATATAAACTCGAAGTAAAGTGTAGTAGAAATATAAATTTGCCCCTTTTAACTAAAGTCCATGGATACATAATCGAATTTCTATAAAAAGTTCAAGTGCGGAAAATTGTAAAATTTTTATAAACAACAGTAGTTTTGTATTAGTGTATACTTTTTCTTAAATATTATACTTCTTTCTTAAATATATTGTGTACTTTTTGTATGTACTAAATCCAATACAATAAATCTTGAATGAATTTCAATTTACATAACATTTTTTCATACTACTTTTACTAAAATCTTTTCTATTTTTGTAGTCTCATGACATCCGCCGGATGGAATGACGTGTTAGCATCTCTCATGATACAACCCCCCGAATGTGAACTTGGAGATCATGACTTTATATATATAATATATATATATATATATATATATATATATATATATATATATATAAATATCCCCTTGGGCACCTCAACGGCAACTGCGGCAGTCCACTCCTGGCCATCACTTACTTCACATCGTTCATCATAATCAGCTACATGATTGTCATCAACATGTACATAGCCATTATCCTTGAGAATTTCAATCAAGCCCACCAAGAGGAAGAAATCGGAATCGTTGAAGATGATCTTGAGATGTTCTATATTAGATGGTCCAAGTAAGTAAACAATAGTTAAATAATAAATGATTATTTGAACTTATTAGAATTTCATGTCCTTTTTCCTATATAGGGTAGTCAAAATCATTATCAAATGGTAAACAACAGACAACAATGGACATCCACATTTTGCTTTTTATATTTGGATTCAACGAACCACCGTCTCTCATATGATTTTTGTATATCTTTTGATCAGTGATTTATCTCCAGAGATGCAATCATAAATATAAATTAACACACATAATTTTTTAATGTGACCAGTTTTGAACAAAGGCAAAGTAGTAACTACTAGATCACTTTGTTGTATTTGTATATCACCGTAAATAAATTAATAATAATGACATAATTTTTTTAAAGGTACGATCCACATGCAACACAATTCATAAGTTTTGCCCAACTATCAGATTTTATAGCATCATTAGACCCACCTTTGGGTATCTCGAAGCCGAATACAGTAGCCCTTGTGAGTTTTAATCTCCCTATAGCCAAAGGCAATAAAATACACTGCTTAGATATTCTTCACGCGTTAGTAAAACACGTGTTAGGGCACGTGGAAGAAACGGACACATTTAGACAGTTGCAAGAACAAATGGATATTAAGTTCAAAAAACAATTCCCAACAAGAAAGGAGTTGGAGATAGTATCTTCAACACGGATATGGAAGAGGGAAGATAAAGCTGCCCGGATGATACAACGAACGTGGAGGGATTATGTCAAGTAAGCATTAGAATAATTAGTCTATTAATGCATGTCAAAAATTAATCAATCAGGCGACAAGAGTTTTTCTTGAGAATGAATCAGACTCTATTAAATCACCACATCCACTTGTCAGAAAGCAAAACCGTTTTTTTTAATCATAATACTGTGACGAATAGTTAGAAATTAATTCTAAATTTACTTCACCTATTGTATTTTCACTCTTACTACAAATGTATTCATTTCAAATCTAGTCACATTTTTTTTGGACTGGTTGACTCATCTATTCGTATAGAAAATTCAGGAAGTCAAGACAATTACAGCTGATCATTATGTACTTGTTTATCACTAGGGCAAAGTTATTACTAGTCAGGTGTCTGGTATAAAAGATACTTTTACAAAATGTTACAGACGAAAAAATCGCAGTCCGTCAAACGAAGAAGAAAGCACAAAATGGTCTCCAGGAGGAGGTTGGGGCGGGCGTCTTAGCGCTTTGCTTCATGTACGAAGAGGTTCCCATGCCTCCAGTAGAAAGTCTTCTCGAGCTTCGGATGCCTCTGATTTAAGCGAGTTAGGTGGAGCATGGCTCAACTTGCCTCTGCTTTTACTACCGGGAGCAACTCCTGGTGACCAGGTAAATTCAATTTCGAACATTAGTAGTGTCGTGGTAATGTATTATAATAATAGCAATAGATGGTCTAAGATACGTCTTAAGAGATATACCATCTTCACTTATTCGATAATGACAACGTGTATATGTTAACTAATATATAGTTTATAAATCCAACATGAGGTGCCGATCAAAATCCTGGGCCTAGTCTTAAGACGTATCCTCTACTAAGACTAGATTACCTTCTATAATTAAAACAAAAGTTTCGTGACGAAAAAGTAAAAAGCGTGCTATGATGTTTCGCGTTGATAGAACATCAATGATCAAATCGCTTATGAGATTAAAAGAAACAAATATACCATACGAAAGATGAAATATACAGGTACCGGAAAAACTTAGACTGACATACCTTGACCGTACGTTATCTGAAAAAGAAATCAAAAGTATAAGGAATCGACATTGATGTATAAGGATTACCTTGGATGTCGGTTCCTCATATAGACTTTATATATATATATATATATATATATATATATACTACGTAGTACATAATATTTAAGAAAGCTGCTTAAAAAGCTGTAACATGAAAATCACTGTAGTAATTTACTTTCCCAAATAACTCTTCCGATACCAACTTCACTAGCTATAAAGGACACTACAGCATCACAAATTCGCCTGCATATCATCCATCAAGTCAACGGCTTGTTATTCGAATAATGATGATCTAGATCATCAGCAATCCCGTATACTCCGGTACTGGTATCTTCCTTAACGGTAATTATCACAGAACTGAATCAAGTAGAAGGCAAAAGACCTTGGCAAGGGGAAAGTCAAGCTTACCAATTCAAGACCATGAAGAAATCTTTATCAGACGATTCATTTTGTTCATCAAGTCACCAATCAGATTACTCACAAATATTCATTAAGATCTTACCAAAGTATCTTCTGAATGAAGGCGATAATCTTATTAATATTCGTAAGGTGCCTTGCTATTTCATTCATTTCTGTGGTATTTATGGCCAGGTGGCGAGCGGTTCTGAATCGGCCCCGCCCCGTAGGCGGTCAGCGTACGGTTTGCCATTATTCCTGCGCCATCAAGACGCGGTCGACGAGGATGGCGGCCCGAAACGCGCAGGTTCATATGTAATGTTATGCTTTCCGTGTCTCTTCCCTTAGACAACTAGATATTTTATTCGACAGCTTTCGCATACTCGCCGTTGTGATTATCTTGTCCATCTTCTATGGTAGTGTTATGTTTTTTTAAACGAATATCACCTTTTTTTTATTTTGACAATCTATTATGTGATTCTATTGGTATTGTACTATATTTTCTTTTGAAGTAACACTTATATTCAGATATTTAAAATATTTTTCGATTTCAAAGTTACGAAAAAGTTTAAAGGGTTAAAACTACAACGTCATATAAAAATATGTTGAATAAAATGACGCATAAAAAGGGTAATTGGCTATTATGGTAATTGGCAACAAGCGCAATCTGTAACAAAAAACTTATATGATCACATGAATAAAAAAGAACGATTCGTCTATTTCGTGTTAATTGGATTACACGGTGTACTATCGAAGATAAAGGTTTCTAAATAATATAATTCTAATACATTTTTAAAACTCTACCTAAGACGAATGTACTAAGATAATTATGCAATATCTAAGAGACGACTGTGTTTTAAATAAGTTTGTTATTGAGTGCTTTTGCATGATAGCTTGCATTTACCCTTTCAAATATTTGTGATGTCGGTAATGTAGGTAGAGCTTGCGTTGCCTTTCATGTGAATGTATCTTCCTGTAACTGTTAATACCAAAGAGCAGCATAAACAGACTGTGTTGTGTTTGCTTTTTTAATATTTATATATGTAATAGCAAGTAAGAAACAGATATGGCCTATATACATGACTTGCACCAATTCCATCGTCATTGGAATTAAGAAAACATACAACCGGATTAAATCACTGTGTTTAAGTCGAAGGGTTTTCGCGAATTGGGATAGGATTTTTGTACAACCAGCCGATGAGGAAATGTTAGTCCGTACTGGTTACTAATACATCCACTGCGGAATGAATGTTAGTTAATGAGTGATGATAGCTTAATGGTGGTCCAAAATCTTAATGGTCTTAATTGACCTGACCTAAATAGATACATATGTCAGCTAGCAAAAAATTAAAGAAAATACTACATACCTACATATTCCATAAAGTTCTAAAACAATTTCATCGATAATCACAGATTTAATCTTAAACTGTCTATAAAATGACTCCACAATATGAACACTGGATAAAATATGCTTAGAGCTATAACCCTTATTTTTCTTATCTATTTTGTTGTCCCCACAGATGTATAACCACTACTATACAAAGTTCGATGGTAGTTAGCATGACGTGTCTAAAGTGACCCTAATTAAAAATCCTTCCTGATTGTACCAATCCCTGTTTAATTATACTCTTAAGCATGACAATATCACCCTGAAAGTGACTGTTATATTTGTGGTAACCTCTTGTAAAATTTTTTGGTTGTTGTTGCTTCATTAAAAGATGAAAGAAACTTAATGTTTATTTACCAATCATATTAAATACTGTTAAAATATAAAATCGTATTTATCACACATTACTACTAACCATGACTTCTGGTAGAGACGGAATGTTAGTTCTTTATACCAAAAAATAAGGTCATATATACTAAAGATATTGTATTCAAAACGATACTAATCGATCGGACGTACAGATGAATTATTAATTAACATTGAATCCAATTAAATACCATAAAATTTGACAAGAGATCGCATTTTATTAATCATCAATTAGAGAACTCAATCATCTGCAGGTTCCCTTCGTCTGAGTTCGCGGCGGAACTCGGCGCGGAGAGCAACCGCTGCACAGTTACCGGCACTGACCAAGGCCAGGACCCCATCCCCGCACGCGAACAGCGAGGTGAGCATCCTTGTGACGGAGGCATCCCCTGACGCGGCGCCGCCCCCCTCAGCGCCACCTACAGTCGTCCGGGTTCTAGTACATCGCGAGAGTGACGAGCAGCCCAGCTGATCTCCCGCTGAGCCCGACGAGGCTCCGCCACAGGACGATATAGTGTCAAAATAAGTTCAACGTGGAACTGCTTCAACGGTGAACCTTTGAAGTAGTTTGTAAGTTCGAGATCGGTGGTCGAGTTCGAGTTCGATGGACGAGTTCTAGTTCGTTAGACGAGTTCGAGTTCGATGGACGAATTCGAGTTCGAAAACGATAGTAGAATTCGAACGAGTTCGAGTTCGCTGGACGAGTTCAAGTTCGATGTTCGACATTCGAGTTCGAACGATTGTGTTCACGCACGCGCGCACGTGAGATTCGAGTGATTCAGTACACCGAACGGCCCAGTTCGTTAGTAATTTTGTGATTCTTAGTATTAAGTAGCTTACCCACGTTTGCGGATAGAGGGGACAGACGTTTTGTAAATGGAGATAAATCGACGTGTTTCAGTTCTGATATACATATAATGTTTCTTGGTTAACGTTATTCCTATTTAGTGTATTGATAGTACTCGCTAATTATAGGTTCAGCTTTTTTATTTCCCAAAAAATTATAGGTAAAATCAATTCAACAAATATTGTTTCTTAAATTATATAAATATATTTTCATCTACTTGGAATTTCGAATACAATTTTTATTACTAGTAAAAAATTTTGTTTCAACTAATCAAAACGCAAAGTCTCATGTAAAATCCATGTAAAATCAATTCAACAAATATTGTTTCTTAAATTATATAAATATATTTTCATCTACTTCGAATTTCGAATACAATTTTTATTACTAGTAACTATGTTTTTGGAATCGTTTTTAATTGAAATTATAATAATGACCAAATATAATAGTAAAATGTTCTCACCAAACCATTACTGTTTAAAGTAAAAGTGATTATTATTACTACAATGATACCTTGTTGATGATGATACTATAGCTTAGCCAATGCTTAAATTCTTCATTATTACTATATTCTTAAATTGTTATGAGTAAAGTTCCTGGTTAAGGTATGTTTTTTTTTATTTTTCGTACAATATTATAATTACATTATAACCTGCATTTAGAATTTGTCGTAAAAATATGGAACAAAAAACCAAGAATAAACTTAATTATTTATCCAAACGTAACAATAAAGATTTTACAACCGTTAAAAAAGCGTACAATGTCAAAAATAATAAAAAAACTAAAAACGTCTATTTATCTCCCTCGCAATTACTAGTACCTAAGTAGCTAGATAGTTGTTTCGAAACCGCAGTCACAGTAATCGGGAACTTCCAGAAATGTTGCAATAAATTTTTAATATACTTCATCAATAATTCCAATAAGCTATATTGTATAACAATAACGAATGTTAACAAATATTTCAGAAATTGATAACATATGGTGTTTTATTTATATATACATAGTTAAAATAGTTGCAGATATCATATATACATATAACAATTATTCTAAAAATCGATTCATAATATGAAATAATTAACAATGCAGTTTTAAGATTAATTTATAGATGCGCTTGATTAGTAATTTGTTACATGAACAGTTCCCCAAGTGTGAGTATTCTATTTGTGATGCTACGGTACCATGGAAGACATTTTCAGAGTCTTCGGATATTAGAAAATTTTGTTAGAAAACGTTAATAGTATCTTCCTTAAATGTTATATCGTCATAAAACGTCATAAAATTTAAACTAAAGTAATTATTTTAAATAGCAATATAAATTATATTATGATTACCTAACATTCTGAAAACACAGACTTCGAAATTTTCATCCCTGCAATAATAAAACATAAGTTTTATAGGCGTACATATAACGCTAACTCGCACAAAAACTAATATAGAAGAAATGACCGATTAACCATAATAATAGTCATTAGTGTTCCTCGTAGACGCGGCGTAGACAGCACGCTACGATATGCTACGCTGTAGTGCTACGGCAAATATTTACGTCTTAGCGGTTGCCATACAAAATTTTGCATTGAATTAAATATGAAGTGAAATAATATTGATGATGATGATGCTGACTGTACTACTACTATTAATTTAATTGTTATAACATAATACTGACACTCGGGGTACAAGTTTTATGATATTAAACATTTATTTATATAGAATTACTATTATATTATATGAGACCCATCACAGTGATGGTTGTACATTAATTTGTTCTTGTAAATATAAATAATTATACATGAAGAACGACTGATTCGTCAACATACGTCGGTACACAATAGAAACTGCCGGCTGCTGTAATCTTAGTCTGATAGTCGCTTTTAAAATTAATAATAATGGTGATAAAATAATAATCTAAATAAATAATAAGTAGAATGGCGTAGTATCGACGTATACCTAAAACAAGATATACACGTAACTTCGATCGATAGAATAACAATTATACCTCACCTATGACAATTAACTCGCTTTAAAAAAATCTTGAGAAATTAACCCTTTAAATATGAGAAATTTATGCTCACTTTGAATTTATTATTATTGAAAAGTATCAGCTAATATAATAAGTTTATGGTAGATGTATACCAAATCTACTCAGTATTGAACAAATATGACGATTGATTTAATTAAGTAGTTACAAAGTAGAAACTAAAACAAGGATTATATCATCATCAAGAAATCTTCATCATTGTGTTTACAAGTGAAGATGGCAAAGTGGAGCCGAAATGGAGGAATATAGCCTTGTAGTAATACAATATACACCTATTTTTTATATTTATAAATACAAATATAAACAATAGAATTTACATTTTATAAAAATACCAATTGGTTATAATCGTATAATCATTCGATCTTCATTTACATATCCTAACCATACTTCTCTCAGCCATAAAAGAAATATAACCATTGTAGAATTGCACTGAAAGGTTTATGTAAATGACTAATTAATTAAGTCAACCTCTCAATATTGAAGGTATTTAGAAGTTGCGTGTATCTGTCTTAGAGGGGTTATTACACTATAATATTAATAGGATTACATACTATGTTATGATAGTCTCATTTAAAATATGATTTCTTTGAGAATGTACACTGAAATTCACAATCAAAACAGTCTTATACTAAGAGACCACTAAGTGATAGAAGATAAGAAGACTATTCAGGGTTCTCTCAAATTTATTGTATAGTCTCTTTTTAATCCCGGAGACAAATTTAACGTTTCAGATGTTGCCAGGTTTTTGCATTTTTAAATAGAGTTGTGGCACTATAGGAAATTAATATTAATTACCCATTTTTATAGGTTATTCAGAAATAATATGTGACTATTTATATAAGAATTAAAGAAGAATATATAATATATAAAAATATAAAATGCAGTTTCCGATTAAACTACACTACTACTAACTATTCCGCTACTGGTTTAGTCTCCGGGATTAAAAAATCGTTTTATTTATCAATATGTAGTTATTTGTCCACATTTTTGTGCCTAATGATAAAAGTATCTGGATAGATGAAATAATATGAAATATATTATAGTTTAATAACCCCTTAGTTTGAAAAACTAAAATAAATCAAAAATATTTATAAAATGTAATGTATCCTCTGCTATGAACACAAAGTAACATAATATTTAAATGAATTTATAGAAAAGTCAATTTTTGCTATATAATATAGATAGACAATTCTTTTGTACCATTAGTGTAGAATGCATATAGATATAGACATCTTTTTTAATTTTCCAGTGCCTCTAGCGTCCGCGCACAATTTCGCTGCCCTAATCTTTTTGGATATAAATGTAGGAATATCTATATCAAGATACAAAAAAAATAATCCGTATATTCTCAGGATTAATTTCATAAAGTATTAAAATTAGAGCTTTATATATTTTTCTACATCACATGATTATGTTGCCTAAGAAATAATAATCTCAATCCGTTGGAGTCTCTCAACTATGTGAATGTTATAAAGTCTGCATTTACGCAAACTATATGTTTATATTATATTACACATTCTAAAATTTGGGGCAGTGATGGTGAGTACTCTACGTGATGAACCGTTTTCTGGATCGTCTCGTGTGTAGAGAAATCGGAGCCAATTTCAGTATGCCCGACAGTCAATTTTACCCACACCGCTACTCCGATATTGCCGCTGATTTGTGTCGTATGCAGGTCGTTTAAGTTCCTAAAGGCGACTGCCTTTAGGAACTTAATAAACTTAATTATTTTACTCGTCCGTAAGACTTTACGGACGAGTAAAATAATATATCTTTCACACATTTTAAGTAGCAATTCTGGAAATAACGCCTTCAATACAAGTTTTTATTTTCCTGTAATGTCTATTTAATAGACATTTTAACAAAGGTATGTAACGTGGGCAGCGATAGCCTTGTACTCAAAACGTGCCATTTCAAATTATGCTTAGCTCAAATTTTTATTTTATCAAACGTAGAACTTGTTACACTTAATCGCACAAATTGTATTATTTATTAGAATAATTTAATTGTTGTATAGACATAAAAAGACAATATTATTCGATTTTAAGATTTATTGTTGGATTCTGTTGTTCTAAAATGGCTTATTGGCCTTGAGCTGTAGTTGCTTTACTTGGATATAATGAAATTAAGTTTGATACAAATAGTCTTTTCCACGTTTATTGTTTTTATGTATTTATAGCCCGTCCACTTCTTTTTTCTGTAGTTATAGTAACTGTTGACGGTAGATTCAATGCATTACTAATTTATAGCACAAAGTGCTTTAAAAGAGACGTATGATTATTATTTAAAGTTTATAGTATAATAAGGTTATTATTATTTATTTTATAAAAGTACATTTTAAAAATACGCTCCATGCATCATTAGTGCTATCTAAAAGGGTGTTTGTCTTAATATGCATTTATTAATAGTATTAGCTTTTTATAATAATAAAGCCTATTAAACAAAAATTTTTAAATTTCGTACGCATATTTATGGAAATTTTAATCATAAAGTCCATTCTGTAGTTGTACCTACCTATACTTTCTCAATTTAGTAAAGGACCAAATGTATTAATTATTTTACAAATTTTATCTCAATTTAGATACTATTTGATCCTGACCAAACCCTTTTTGGATTTGTTTGTACCTGTAGATATTTTTGAAACCTGTTTCTAATTATATAGTATTTTAGATGCTGCCACATCGTATTATTAATGTTTGTACCGCTTCGCTTTACAATACATTTTAAACAGTTTGCTTTGAAACCTTCGATATTTTAATGAGCGAGCGACACACGCTATTGAAAATTGTAATGGTTAAATTAGCGTAATAAAATTGTTCTAACATTAGTATAGATTTATTCTCAAATATTGTTCATTACTATGTACATAGGTAAAGAGGATGCAATAATTTTTCATAATTTTATCTTATAGTTAACTTATAAAGGTTGTTAGGAGCTAGATATTTAACTCGATTATTTATGTACGATGTACATGTAAAACTACCTAGTAGCTAGTGAAATTGCAATATTTAAAGCATGCGTTGAGTATGATTTAAAAATAATTTGTGTAAGATAAGTAATCTTTAAATTGTATAAATGTATATAAAATCTTTAAGTGAGACCTGCGAAATATGATTTTCTTCCGAGGTACAAAATATTAATTAACCATGTTGAAAACTATGATTAAACAAAAATATAGAAACGAGAATGTTTTTATTTTATCTCCCAACTCCATAATAAAAAAATGCAAAGTTCAAGTACACTCATTCTCATATATATCTTGATATATTATCCTGTACGCGTTTGCCACCGCAGTTGGACCGATTTGGATACAATTTTGTAAGTATATATCTCAATGGATTCTGGATCATTCGATAGGCGGAGCTACTTTTCTGTGCAATAGGTACCGTGTCTGCGGATTCTACTCGTACTATTACGAAGAGATATGGAGCTAATTTTGTTATGAGGCAATGAAACTCACTACACTTTGAAATAACCTTCACTATTGTTTTTAACTACACAATTGAAACAGGAAAGCCACTTATAGGTTTTCACTGATAGAAACAATGTAAAAAAGAAATTAACAGTACTAACACAAAAGGCATGTACCTGCTTATGAAATTAATATGTATTAAGCATTTAATATTAAAAAGAAAAGAATGTAAGTACAATATTTGCAAATTTATTTACACTACAACAGAAATACTCGATATTAACATTTAAAAGAAATAATAAATTTTTAACCTGTTTTTATGCAACATTATTATAAATAAAAGGCTTTTAAACCTCTAGAATTGAATTAAAACATTCTACTAACAACTCTATTTAGTAGAGACCCTGGTTCTTCTATTCCATGAGAAATTAACACCATAACTCTTAGGTTTCAATGGCTTCTCTGTCTTTGGCACATCTAAGAACCAGACCCATCCATTCTTCTCACAATGCTCTATGGCATCATCAGGTGAAGAGAACTGAATTTTCATATTGGAAAGAGGATCACCAGTGGATGTCCAGCCCATAAGAGGGTTTTCCCATCGCTGACGGGTATCAAACTCCATCTCCCAGTGTTGGATGTTATTGGTACCACTTTGCATGGCATTCTTTGATGGCTGGTAGATGCGAACACGGCGAGTTTTTACATGCTCCTCGGGAATACCGGTGACTGGTGTTAAATCAACCTGTAATTTAAAAATAACATTTCTATTAATATTAACACATTGATATATTTGCTATAAACTGATGACAACACTTGAACAAATTTCATTTTACTTTTAGCTTTGAGTAACTAAAAAAGGACATATAAGAAATCTTAGATATTTTTTGAGGTAGTATTATATCTTATTAGATGTAGACTGTAAAAGTCATCTAAAGGCAAGGATGGGTAGTTCAATCTGACCTATATTAGCTGCTAATGGGCTTGCTTGGTAAGCTGTGTTTTATATATAGGTGATGGTGATCACTTACCATCAGATGTCATCAAAAAAAATCTTTTATTCCCTGTGATTCCAATCAGAATAAATATTTGGAAAATATAGGCACATGGACACCAAATAAAATGCCATTAACACTATTCACATACATATTTATCATATATCATAAGATCAACCTAAGCAGCTAAGTATCGAAAAAAGCTAAAGCTTTTAAGTTGTTTTTTCCTTTTAATTTCAACTCTTACTTTCATTTCAATTAAAGAAAAACTTCTAGCTACAGAGTCAGAGGAAGGACAAGAAAAGGTGGATGGACTATGTGAAAGATATTATGACAAGACAGGGAGTGAATTCCTAAATAACTGCGAAAAACATTATGCCAACCCTAAACCCTAAACTTCCATTTGTCAGTGCAAAAATATATAATTTTTCTATCTGTCGTTCTATAATTATCCCTAAAATGGAGTACCATATATTTATAACAATTATACCTTTTTGGAAACTGTAATGCTAGATTCCAAAGCACTCTTTTCACGCGCCTCCTCAGGAAGTGTCAGAACTGTTTCATTCTCTAATTTGGGAGCCTCCTTACGACGTGAAGGATCAACTGAAGACGATAAGCGAACGCCACATGTTGAGAATGCTGAGGGTGATCTAAAAATTAATTAATTAGGAGGACTGAAATTCACTATTTAAGAAGAAATTCTAGGACTGAAGTTGTGTATAGTTTACCTTAATATAGAAGTTTTGGCTAAATTCGCCGTTGTAGCTATGACTTTTAGCATCGTTTTACCTGTGGATTATCTTTCTATATATGAATATTTCTATATTCAAAAATGAATAAGAAAATAATGTTCGATTATACAACAAATAACCATTCAATTAACTTTTTTTTAATGTCAGTACCTACATATGGTGTCAAAATGACAACAGACCGTCAGGATCATAACAGAGTATTTTTATATTCAGACACTACAGGCATTATAAACTATCCTGCGCCCGGAAGACAACAACTATCAAACTATACACACAGTGTAATATCAAAACATACTCTGTAATACTAAAATAATGTACACTGTGATAAACGTCGAAATTCGACACCTATCATTTGAGTAGTATATTCTTTGCCTATCATATAATGATAGCATCTGTGCACGTACCTCAGAAAATAATTAATTTCAGAAGAGAACTGCTTTTTAGTACTTTGCTGATTATATATAAATTTATTTCTAATTTATTGAAGTACTTTAACTCTATGTGATATTAACCCACTGTATATTAATTCTATTTATGTTCCCAATAAATATATACTTCACGTAGAAAATGGTCCTGAACATCGCTTATTTCAACAACATTGTACCGACAGCTGTTTACTTGTAAAGGTATTTTTTTAATAAATTCTAATAAGAGTCTTCTTTTTATACTTGGGTAATATTCTTGCTTGCATGCTTTTATACATTTGACAGAATATTAATAGAAGCGAACTTTCTTACCTGAAACAATGTCCTTGAAGATGTTTAATTTTGTAAATTTCATTTGCTTGGATACTCAATTTTTAATATTGTTAAATTTTCCTCACATTTGAAAAAAAACCAGTGACCGATACTTGTTCATAGTTGAAGCACGTATTAATAATTTATACATATAATAATTGCATAATATAAGCCTATTATGTGAAATATTATATAAATATATCAATGTGTGGGGCATTTAGTTTACACTTAGTTTCAAGCTTACAAATATTGAAATCATATTAATATCCAAGTCATAATCATTTGAACATATATTTTGTTGTCACTTAGATTGTAATTTTTGTAACACTATCTCTATTATTTAGTTTGACTTGTTCAGTTGAGAAAAACTTGCAGGAATTTAATCTAGTACATTATTTTGGCAATTTATCTGTAACACATGATTGCATAGCTTGCCACTACTTTATCTGTCTATTAGCTATTTAGTTTTAATCTGTAACTTTTGCAAACAACCTTCACGCCCAAATTTAGAGAATATTACCATAGAGACAGTGTAATTATTGACTAATATGGAAACAACTGAACATAGATTTCATTTTGGCCATGAATTTGGCCAATATTAATATCAATATTTAAAATTTTATCATTGTCTGTTATAAAATAAAACAAGCCCAGAAATAATTGAGCTTTCATTATTTTATAACAATATGTTATTACATATTCTTATATTATTTTATACAGTCCATAGTAGAATAATAAAATATATACTGAAATAATGTTGTTTCAGATCGCCACAACCACCATTATGTCGTGCTAGAACACAGAGGTGTAACCCCTCTGGGGTTACTCTAGAGTTTGGCCCTTCTGTACCTGTTAACCTGCTCACTATAGCCATATAGACAAATATAATTTTTATACCTGTTAGATATTATTTTTTTAAATAAATATAGTATTGATTTGAAAAAGGAAGAAATGAGTAAAAATAAAATAGATGTGGACTGTACAAGACGGTGCAGATCACGCAACCATGGAGAAATGCTCACTAGTGCCATTACTAAGAGATCGAAATCTGATCAATCTTTGGCTTGCTTTATCAAGGCGACATGTGCAAATTTTGTCAAAGCCTTCGATTTTGAGGTAAACATTTAATTAACTACTTTAACATGCTGTTATTACCATATTGAGATCCAACTATAAATTACATGTTTAGTTGAGGTCAACAAAATGTGTCTTTGTATAACAAGATATTGGGGGAGTCATAAACTTCATAAACCCTGCCAATGGGATGGGTTTATATATTTAGATTATATTGGTAAAATACCAAATTTCACCTATTAACATATAACCAGACTGCAAAATGAGAGGGGGTGGTAAGAATTCCTTAAAATGGGGTAATGTAATTTAAAACAATAAAATATGAAAAAGATTTCTATATAGATGAACTTACGCTCAGAAGTTCCTTATCGCAATATCAATAATTCTAAATCTGCAATCTTTAAAGACTTCTAAACATGTTGGAATAAGGTTTAATATTATTTGTTGAATATTTATTTCAGGGGCGAACTGCTCTGCACATGTCAGCTTCTCGCGGCCGATGCCGTCTTATGGACTGGTTAATACGCCACTCTTCGGAAGCCTTCGTGAACGCTCGTGACCGCGAATCGGGGTACACTCCACTGCATAGAAGTGTATTTTATGGTCAAATACATTCTGCTATATCTCTCATGAAAATAGGTGAGGCTTACATAAAAATAGTCTTATTGACTATTTTTATGTCACTACATATTGGGACTGACATGAGCTACCTATATAAGCTATATTATTGTAAAGTTTTATTAAAATCCATTCAGTAGATTTTGCGAGAAATAGTAACAAACATCAAAAAAAAATTCAAATTCAAAAATTCAAAATATTAAGCGTGTAAGCTTTTAAATTTTTTATTTGGTAGGTGTGAACATAGATATTGTCGACAAAGATGATTACAAAGCTCTAGAGCATGCTACATTGGACAGACAATATATGTACAAACATGAGGGCCATCAGCCTAGTGAGGTGTATGTTTGGGGGAGCAACTCTAACTACACTCTGGGAACGGGCACACAGCAACAACGGAATACTCCCGAAATGCTGGGATGTTTCGGCAGAAATAATACATTAGTTAAACAAGTAAGTCATATACTGTTTTAAATTTGACGCGGACATTATTTATACGTATAATTAGTAAAAATCACGGGATCTTACCACGTTTTATATTTATAAACTGAGATTTTACCCGTGATCATGGTGGTTGAAACTCTACTACAAATTATACGTACAAGTAAGTCATAACTCATATCTATATAATAATTTGTTCATGATTTTATCCGCGTATTCATATTATGGGAATTGTGTGAGCACGTCTGAAATTATATACTACCCTAAATAGTCTTTAAATGTCTACTCTTTAATAGAAAAAAATTGCATACTAATTTGATGTTTGAACAATATAGTTACAATAATCTTATATTCACAACTACACACACGAAAATGCCATTAGAAAAACTAGAATAAACTTCAGCTGTCAATAAATGACAATTAAAACCTAATATTGTCATTGCCTTGTATTATATTATTTGATATATATAACAATGAAATAGAAATGCACACAGTGGGTTTACCACGAACTTGCCTCGGTTTTACCAATGTGTTATTCTTTATATTTGGTTTAGTTGTTTGCGTTATTTGCGTATGGTGCGCCATTAACACTGAATTCTTCCAGGACGTCAACTTTACTGTCACTAAAAGTACACTAGTTGGTTCCATAGCAAGTTTTGTAAACCTTAAGCTATGGCTTACACCATTAACATCATTCCTTATTCCTATATCCGTACTGACTATGATCACATCTTGTTGTGGCATTTTAGGCGCGGGCTGTAAAGTTCGATGTGCTATAAAATCCTATATTTTCTTCGTGACTGCCCTTTCCTCTATAGCTGTCTGGGTATTCTTTATATCTGGTATCTATAATATTTACGCGCGAAACGAAAAAACAAGATATTATTTACAATCTACTTTACAAATGTTTTATGGAAAAGATAATGATTTTATAACATCCATATGGGATTATGTTATGGTGAACTACCAGTGCTGTGGCGTCAATGGCTACCAAGATTTTGCTTCGTCACCCTGGCAAAAGATAAATACAGATAAGTTTTTCCCCGTGCAATGTTGTCAACTAGAAAATAAACAAGTTCTCATACCCGTATCTAAAGATTGCTCTTTGACTGATGATCCCGAAGTGAAATCTTATAAAGACATTGGATGTTTTTATGCTGTGAGACAATCTATTATCAAAAATAAAGCAATAATCATATTTTACGTCATGCTCTTGATTATGTTCTACACAATCCTGATACTATTTGCTTATTGTATAATAAGAGGGGAGCCACTGTTGGGAGCCTTGGCTGGGAAGTTTACAAGATTATTGCCGTCGAGAAATTGGGAAAATACACAGCAAAATGAAATGGTGATAAACCCCAGTGCTCCAGCTGAAAATATTATATACGCGGACGAGCCACCTAAGAAGGTTGTAAGGGTGGTGTCCGCAGTAAATCCATTCCAAACATACAAATTTGCACCAAATGCGTACAATAGTGGTGACAACGTGTACCAACAACATAGTAGGTCACAAATGTAGATGAATAAATATTGTATTTTGCAATTTGTCTCTTATTACCCTTTAACGTCAATTTAACAACACTGTACTCGCAAAGCAGGGAACAGGTTATAATTAATAGGTATTTCCATCTGATAAACCTAGTGATGTTGTACACCGGTAAAATGTCGTCAGACCTATTTCAGCTGCCATGCAATTTGCTTTCTAAGCTGTGTTTCGGTTGTTGAAAAGCGATTAGACAGTGAATTTACTGGAAAAGAGGTATAAAATCTGAATACTCCGTAACGGGAAAACTTATATGAGTGGTATCGCGGATGTCATCATAACGTGATATCCGTAGTGCTGTTCATGTATATAGATTCATGTATACACGTTTGTAGCTTACCATCAGGTGAGCCATAAACTTATTTGAAATACCAATTACATAAAAAAATTACTTTTCGACAGGTGTGTTTAGGCAAGTTTCATAGCGTGTGGGTGTGTGAAGGCGCAGATGGGACGGAGGTGTGGAGCTGCGGCCAACTCGGTCGTGCTGGCGGCCCGCACTCAACAGCATTGCAGCCCGTGCAGTTGCGGCTACCTGAAGCATGCATGCAGGCCGCAGTTATGCTCAACTCCACTGTGTTCCTACTTGAGAATGGCTGCGTTAGTATTTTTTCAACTTAGTATTTATATTGTTAACCGGGTTTTAAACATAGCTATTTGCGCTAGCCGCACTCGCTTCAAATAGATCTATGATGCCTGTCTGTAACAAACGTGCATGGCTATAGTTGTTCATGCATGGGTTTTTCATTTAATGTTAGACTTAACATCTATATAAGTACACAAAGTAAAAAAACTGGCTTTAAAAAAAAAGAAAAAAAAAGAAAATTCAATTGAGTATATTGAGATACCGGTAGGAAAAAATATTAATACATGAATAAATATTTTTTATTTCATATAATAATGATACATCTTCACGAGGATTCCTATAAAAATATTAAAATATCGAATATTGTGAGGTATTTTATTAGACAATTTTTACAATCTATTATATATTTTTTTAGACGTGACATTAAAATTTGTGACTTTAAAATAATTTTATTTACACTACAGATTGTGCAATATACACTCAACAATGACAATATCAGTCAATCCAGCACGAAGTCCTCATCGTCCATCAGGGTGCCGGGTGTGAAGTCTCTAATGAAGCTGTCTAAACCGCGCGGCGTGTGCACGTCACGCTGGCACGGCGTGTTCTGGAACGAACACGCTGTGTACACGTGGGGCACCAACGTGGGACAACTGGGACATTCACAAACGGACAAAGTAGTGCACACACCAAAGAGGGTAAATATTCGTGTTTATTCATAATCGTTTTCGAATTATCTTTACATAGTACATATAAACAAAGTCGCCGCCGCTGTCTTACCGAATGCATATTTAATGCAGATTCAGCAATAGATGTGTGTAATAGTATAGAACAAGCCGAGAAATTCAAGGATTTGTAATTTATCGATGCGAAACCTGGACGGGTCGCTAGTATATTATATGTTATTGAAATTCTAATTGAGATAATCAGGATACAGACAGAGATGTCACGAATGATTTTACCGAATTTCTGCTAGTCTCAATAGCCATAGTCAAAGCTCGGATTATCCGATAGGTTCCAGCCTACGTCATTGAAGCCGTGAGACATTTGAAGAGTGCGATGCCTTGTCATATTTGTTGATTCTTATATCATATTGTGGTATTAATAATTTCTCGAAATAGCACCGTCTAATTATTTTTAAAAAAATCGCTAAAAACAGTATTTTTCATTCATCATAATTTACCGTATTTTAATAAATATGCTATATCTAAAATAGACAAAAAAATGAATCTAATATATATCATGCGTTTTTTTATGAATTGGTATTGAAGAATAGAAGTTACTTTAGAGTTAGAATATTCGTGGCATCACTGGTATATGTCTAGTATAGGTATAAATGAATCCCTATTTTCCTTGGTCAGGCCATATTTTAAGAGAATTAACTTAAGACAGTCGCACAGAAAAATATAAAATTTATTACTTGTTTTATCTTCACAAATTTCAGTCTTTAAACAGTGATCTGTCTCATTCTTTTGAATTAAATGTATTTTTATATGAAGGTTGCAGTATCAGTGAATAATAAAGAGGGGGCTGATATAATGTTGGCCGGCGCTGCAGACGCGGCAACAGTGATCACCACCAGCCGCGGTGACGTCTATTTACTGCACAAGCATATATGCAAAAAGATTGCTATCAAGTACGTTACACTCTTACATTTTTAATTTGTCCGATTTGTTCAGGTGTGGATGAATCTATGACCCAAATTATTCTGCAAAGCCAACGGTTACAAATTAAAATTCGAATTTTCGCTAACGATCGCATTACTCATAATTGTTCGTATTTATGTAATAATTTAGATTAATTATAAATTATTTTCTTATTACACTCAAGATCGCAGAAAAAATCGCAAAGAAATGTCTACCAACAACACAATCACAATCAAGAACATATATATACTTATGAGTAAAGATGTATAAATAAATGATGATAATAATTTATACTTTTCTTCCCAATAATCTTCCTCACTGACAATTAATGTCAAAAGTAATGTCTTATTTTTGATTATGTTACTACCAATCTGGCTGATTCTAATGGTAATGATAATGATATATATTGTATTTGCTTATAGAAGAAAATAGCAATTATCTTTATTTATAAAATCAATATATTCCTTTGAATAGTATTTTTTATATTATGGCCTAGCTGACAATTGCCTGTTGGTCTAATAAATTATTATTTTCATAATAGGCAAATCAACCTGCGACAAGTGTGTGTAGACGCCAAAATAAGCGAGCAAGGGATCTACTCGCGAGTAACCGTTTTGCTGCTCACCAACGTCGGCCAGCTACTACTCTGGCAAGACACCACTAATAAACTCACCAGGTGATTATTTATGTTATAATAATATAATTGAAAGCATTTATGCTATTAATAAAAATGCGCATATTCTGGTCCTTCGAGCCGGATGAATCAGAAATTTATAAATATTTTATTTTGTTTATTACTTACGTATCATTTATACGCAATCACAAATGGCAGTGGTTCGTTACGTTATGGGATTAACGAAATAATTTCAGATAATTGCTGGGTGTTAATTAATGCGTCTATTAATTTACCAGATTGAATAACTAAAATGTTAATAATTGTTTTCAGATGCGTTTTCGGCTTAAACCACCAGAGTTTTATAACACATGTGACACTCACACATGACGCCGTTTATTTCACAACTAAGTACGGCGAGGCGTTTGTCGGTAATATATCGCGAAAAACACCTCCCATAACTTCGCCGGAGCCAATCATAAAAGACAAAGAGAAGGATGCCGGCAAGTCTATGCTTGTGAAGTTCCTCGAAAAAGATGATTGCACCACTGTTCGAATTACGAAAATACCAAACATTCATAGAGCAGTCTCGATTGCGGTTGATAGTGAGGGACAGAACTTTGCTTGTTTACAGGTATGTTATATTTTGTATATTTTGATCGTACATTGTATGATTATTATAGCAAATTAATTGCCTTAGATACAATTATTTCCATGATAGAGTTTGTACAACGGCGCCTGTCTGTGTACCTGTCTCACATATTTCAACTACTAAGCAGCTTACTTCGTAAGTTATGACTTGGTTGAAGATTGCGAGATGGCAGTGAAAATACAGAGTACAGAGACATAGGTCATTGGAATTGCAACACACGATTATATACGTGATAATTGTGTTAATTTTAATATCTATAGATAACAAGTTCCACATATCATCAGGGAGTAAGGGCGTGTGAGCGCCTTTTTTTATATTACTAAAATGATGGTTGTACAACAAATATCAAATGCAATACTATTTAAAATATACGTTGTAAGGAACATTCTGTTAAATGTTACATAGGGAAGGCTTTAGTAAAACAATGTATTGTTGTTTTTAGATTAAACCCACATGTGGACTGACTTCGTTGCCAGAACTTTCTCCATCCAGTCTCGCGAAGCAAATGGAAACTCTTCTCGAGACCGCCAGCGACGACGATTTACTGCACGATGTAACTTTTAAGGTATAAATATGTTAGTATATGTCTTATCACAGCTAATATCGTCCGCAACTCACGCACACAATTTTCGCTTTATAAACCTGGGCTTACATTATTAGGTTCAATATGTACGACTCGTACCGATGACGCCATTTGATTGGTACATTTTAAAAAAGGGCTAGGAGATATCGAATGCCGTCTTTATGGCAACATCCATCAGACTCTTATCGGAAATGTATAACGACCCTTAGGCGATTTAGTCTACCACCAATATACTGACCAAGTAGAATTTTATTTTAGATGTAAATTAATTAATTAATAACTCTAGCATCATCTGTGGTTATCAGATCCATATCAGTATGACTGTCAATTACTCAAGATGATTTTACATGAGAATCAAATCCTCGACCATCGGTAAGTAAGGTAGTACATGAAACGTTAGATCATCGTGGTAGTGAAATCTATATAAAATTACACAATATCTTTTCTACTACTTTTTTCCATTACTTGAATGGCTCTCAAACCAACTCGTGATGATTAGCACCGTCGCCTATATACATGAATAGCATCGGTACGGCGTATAATTTGCTGTTTTTGTGATGTTGTATCACAAAATCTCAACATTATTAATATAACACGCAGGTGGGCACAAGATATTACCCCGCACATATGTTCATAGTCGCATCTGGCAGCGAACATCTCTACAAACTATATCAAGAGAAGCTAACTAGTCCTGAAGACAAACCCGTCATTTTATTGGACAATGTTCTTCCGGAAGTGTTCGATCGGATACTACGATATATGTATACCGGCACTTGTGACGTTGCTGAACTGGGCCCCTGCAGTTTGAAAATAAGGAGGGAAGATCTGAATATTATAATGAAAAGAGAGAAGAGTATTGATCTTGAATTGGAGGTGATAGGTGAGACAATATTTTCAGTTGTGTAATCTATTTTTTTTCATTAGGGGGTTTGGGCTATGGTTTTGTGCTTAGGCCTGTAGCACTTTTTTTTTTAACACAGAGGACAAACGAGCATGCGGCTCACCTGATGGTGATTACCGCCGCCCATAAGCTCTTTTCTTGAAGGTTTCAATATCGTATCAGTCCGGAAATACCATTGCTGGAAGGTGATTCCACAATGTGGTTGTGCGAGGCAAAAAGTTTCTAGAAAACCGCACTGTGGAAGACCGCCATTCATTCAAGATGATCAGGATGGTATTTCAGTTTCTGGCGGGTGGTACGGTGGTGAAACTCAGCAGCTGGTATTAATCCGAACAATTCCTCAGAACACTCCCCGTGATATATGCGGTAGAAAATGCACAGAGATGCAATATCTACTGCGACCTACATAGATCTATTGTGCTCGCTTTTTCAGAACTCGCTACCTAGACCGTCAGGGACAAGAATTGAAGGATATTTTTAGGAGCGATCGTTTTTATATCCTCAGTATAGAGTGTAAACTTTCCAAAGATTTTTCGTTTATACATGAGTGGGCTACCACCACATAAGATGTGTAGTGGCGTTTCCTTTTCAACTTGGCATTTTTTTTAATATGTAAAAATAGAATGATGTCCATCTGTGCTGATTATATATTTACTGGTCTAGCCCCAGTGAAGGAGGATTCATTTATTTCAGAAAATGAGTCGGAATTATCAGCTTTCGAAGTATACCAAGAACATAATAAAACTAAAAAAGGCAACCGTAAATCTCGAACATCGGAGACTCCACCGCGCAATCTCTACTGTGACCCCGTGAAGCTGGTACAGGCCTCTGCCAGGCGTCTGCAAGTTATAGGCCTTTATAAGCTTCTAGATAAATTCTAGTGAGTATATTTTTATACACCGTGCTAGAAATATGAATGCAAGCGGCCGTTTATAAAAACTGTAGCCAAAATGATTCTCTCGTAATATGAATTTGAGTAAACAAATTGATGATGGTTCTAGAATTATTATTGTAATCTTTATTTAACTGAAGAACCAAAGGTAAACTGCATAATGTCATCGTCATGACGTGATGTGTAAACTGGTCGTAGGGTGCGATTATGTAGTGAAATTACAGGAGACTTGTCATCCTCTGGAATGGCAATGCAAGAGCGATATTGCGAGCGTCACTTAATAACATGTTGCCTGTATTGTAGTATTGTTCTTTTATATAGGTATCGCCTGCCATTTTAATTATTATATATAAATAAAAACTTAATTTTCAGCACTTAAGTATATTGTTTTTTATCTACACAATCCCATTACATTTCACCGTTTTAGATTAATATATAGTCGATTTATATAAATCAGATGCTAGTAGTTAGAGACATTTTAAATTGTCGATGTCATGGTAAACGCTAGACTTTATCTGTCCATATTTCGCGGGTACACTTGAATCTAAAGTGGCACAATCTCATGAATGACATGTAACGATATTTTGTGTACAATTTATGTATAATAATGCCATTCGATAGAAGAATAAAGCTACCGTTGTACATTATATCTCTAGTTACAAAGACGGCACAGTGCATCTGAAGGTCGACGCGACTTACAGTCGCCCCACAGCGTTGTCATGGCAACGCGCAGAATTACCATTGCTAACTGACACGGTAGTATGCAGCCGAACTGGGCAACCAATCGCTGCACACCGCTGCATTCTAGCAGCACGCCTGGACTACTTCCACGGGATGTTTATGCATTCTTGGTCAGAGGTATGTATAAACCACGGATATAGATAAATATACGCGATTTAGAGAAATAAGTCCAGATAGTACTTTGTGATTTGTCCACAGGTTCTTATTTAACTGAGATGATAACCACCACATGTCCAATGGGTGTACACATACGTACATGAACCGTATCCCAGATGCCATCTTATCTTGTGATGCCCGCAGTACCCCTTATGTACTAACATTCCAGATGACGAAAAGACTTACTGAGGTAGACTTTAAAAAGTCGCCTGCGTGGATGCCTTAATACCAATTTCAGCGGTCCAACACCGTGCAGTCAAGGATTAATATAGAGCAGTGAAAATACAGTATATACAAATTATAGGCATCTTAGTCCTCCAAAATGGCAACGCATGAGTAGTATCATAAGCACCACATAATAACAAAAAACCCGTAGGGCTGTTCATGTATATAAACGACAGTTACCGTTTACCATCAGCTTCTTTGCCTCTCCAATTGCATAAAAAGTCAAGAAGCACGAACCTATATTGCAAATTAATCCATATATATATATTGTTTACAGAGCAAACTGTTATCTCAAGTGAGCTTACCAATCAACGACGCAGTTCTTTTGCCTGTAATAGATTTTCTATACACCGACACATGTCCAGAAATCATGAACTCTGATAGTATTGACTTCATCTGTAGTATGCTTATAGTCGCAGACCAATTTCTCATTACACGTCTACGAGAAATGTGTGAGATCGCACTAGCGAACTTGATTACGCTTAAGAATTGTTCGGAGCTTTGTCAATTTGCTCACACTTACAACGCAACACAACTCAAACAATCCTGCATGGAATTCATATCTCTAAATTTATGCAATATCCTAGAAAACCGTGTATTAGAACACCTTGAAGATACATTGCTTGAAGATATTACAAATTATTATTGTAAATTCAATCCAATTATGGCTTCTAGAGTTATAACACCATTCTTCAATGCACCGAGTGATGAGATCATTGACGATTGCGAAGTGAATTTTCCTATTGACTTAGAAGTCACAGATGACGATCTCAAACGGGATGATAGTATTGTAGAGGTTAGTAAAAAGAAAAGGCAATCCAAAAAAATTGAGTACACTGACAGTGAAAAAGCTAGGATGAGATATGAATCTGTTAGTTCGGTAACTTCTTTAGATCTATCTAATGAAATATCTGGAGATATAACATTGTCTTTGAGCAATATATCTAAAGAGACAGAGAAAGGTGCACGAGATAAAAAAGAAAAGTGGATTGAGGTTCCATCGTCCCAACAAAAGCAGCAGAAGGTAATTCAAGCAAGGTTGAAGGCAATAAATAGCGCCCGAGACATTTTAAATGAAACTCCAACGGAATCGTTTACAAAATTGACAAAAACCAACTCATCAAATTCTATAAATATTAATAACATACAAGATGTCCCAACCTCTTCACGAATCTCTGTATCGCCTAAAGACTCTCCCCTAACAGAATTATCTAGAAGTCCTCAAGGAAACCTGGTTATAAGTCATGTGGGACCAAAGATGTCGCAGAAACAAAGAAAGAAATTGGCTATACAGGGAATTGTTCAATCTCCTCAAAATCTCGATGATTATGTTAATAAACTAAACATAAGTAGTCCTCCAGAGAAACCTAAAAATCCATGGAAAATATGCGAGCTACCAGTCGCTAGCAGCAGCCCCAACAAAAAAACGATTGAGTTTAATCAGATTTTAACTGATCAGAAAAAACAAAGAGAAGATTTCTCAAGAATCATGACTAAACCTCTAACACTGACACAGGTAAATCCTTTAAAACTTCATTTGATTTTTTATTAGTTTGTAATGGATAAACTCTTAAGAGGCATTTCATACATTACGTCATACCAATGTAAATAATTTTTATCCTAGGAGGAAGGGATGGGAGCCTAGATTTCATATTTTTCACACATTTGTATTCATGAGTATGATTCTGGTGTTTTCTATGTAATATATATATATATTTACAAAATAAAATTCTAAGTATTCATATCAGTTGTCTTGTACCCATAACTCAATTATTTATTATTAATCAATAAACTTAAATACTTATTAAGCCCTATCATTAAAAAATCAAAGTGATGCGCAATGTACTCTATTATATATTTTTTAAAGTAACTTTTCATTTTAAGTACCTTATGGGTGGAATGTGCTAAGTGCTTATTAAACATTTTGCTTTGCTTCCAGCTTGAAGATAAAGCTATAGAAGAACTGGAACGATTCTACAATGTTCATGAGGTAGATGATGAACTGATTACAGTGAGACGTATAGAACTACATGTATCTACTCCACAATGGATCCACACTGCCCCTAAGTGATAAATTTGTGCTCTTTTATACTCAATGATCTTATTAATATTTTATGTATTTTAGTACAAAGGAATGACATATATGGAATCTTTTTTATGATTATCCTGATATGATATTATGACTGTTATTGTAACAGTGCAATTTTAATAGTTCTCATACCAAATTCCACTAATATAATACAATGTTAATACATTTCATAAATTTAATTTTTGTGTTTTTTTAACATTCTTACTAGTATATATTTAATCGAATTAGGTGTTATTTTGCAGAAGTCCATTTTACTACTCGATGGATTTATATTATTTTGTTTAATTCCACTACAATTAATATGTGTGAGACTATGAATATTCGGTGTGAAAACCTGACCAGCGCTACAACCTTCTCCAGTGGCGATAAAAATCCGACCATTATTGAATCTACACCCACCCGCCACTGTCGCGGTTTGGTTGCTGATGAATCAACACTAGGCTTCTGAGCTGTACCCGAACTCTAATTAACGCTTGATGATGCCTCGTTCAGAGGCGAAACACGTGTCGCGATATATAAGAACTATTTTGTTAAAACAATAAGTATCTAAACCAGATAATTCTTGTTTTAACAAAATAGTTTTTAGTAAGCCTATAACAATAATTAGTTGCTTAGTGAATATTTAAGTACATGTTATATGAGACTGCTATCACCATATATTTACAATTATTAATGTTACTTAAGTAAGCTAAGGTACACTAAGCCATGGAATAACTCATAGAGCAGCTGAAGGCCAATGGCTGGTTGACATAGAACTTGTCTGAAGGGTGCCCTTAGAGTAGTTGTATCCATCAGACATGATAGTGGTTTTAACCTCAGTGGAAACTGTTGTAATTCTTAAAAGCTACAAGCAAATTAAATCCAAGCCATTATTGGATCATTTTAAATGTAATTGAAATGGCAATCAATCTCATGGATGATACCACAGGCATGTTCATTATTGTTCATGGCAACACAAGAGTGGTCTCATAGGCATAACATGATAATGCTCGTAGATATGTGACAGTACTGGACAACTAAGGTGTCTCATCCTGTAATTTTACTGGCTTAAGTATTTCACTCTTCAACCGAAATGCAAGTTGACAAAGTAAGCTGCTTGGCTGCTGAGATAGAACTTTTTACAAAATCTACCTTACTTTTAAATGTAAATTTTAGGTTAAGTAAACAAGTCAAAGGGGTTTTCATGTTATTCAATATTTAGCTTAATTATGTAATAACAAATAAACTTCACATATCTATATTATTAATATAACATATTCACATTTTAACTAGACTAAACACAAGTAAAACCTTGTAAAGGCCTAAATCACTTCACTTAGTTGGTGGAAATGCCTTCAACATTTGATTCACTTGTCTATGGGTCAGGTTCTTCTCACCAGGAACAAGTATACCCTGCCTGCCTTGACGTCTATGAATGGTCATTTTCTTGTTATAGTCAGAGTAACAGCTTTGGAATTCTGAGACCTCCTTCAAGCATTGTTGTTGGTCGAAATCATGTTTTTTAAAACAAGCGAACATTACCGCCAATTCTTGCATACAAGCAGACTCCTTCAATTTATCACCTTTTCCTGAAACTGTCTTTTTTAGTGCCAGCGGCAGTAACATTTGAAATGGAACAGGTTCCCTTTGCGGTCGTCTAGCATTTGTACTCGAGGCAGCAGAAAAATGTGCTGGATTTAATCTCATTTTGCAGTTGTTATTTCTTCTATTGCTATTAAATACTAAAATTATCAACAAGTAAGATTAATAAATAAATTCAAATGAAAAGGAAATAACCTCTATCATAATTCAGCCTCAGTATCACCGTCATTATTCATTCAGTAATCATTGACGTTAATTGTCATAACATTGACAAATATCAATGTCATCAGCTACTCATCTTTCTGATCTATGAACAAATTTAAGTGATAACTTGCTCAATATATTAAATAACAAAAACTGTAGGTCAATATCTTGTCTTTCTTGTTTTAGTACATAGTTTTGTCAGTCATCTTTGAAAAATGATATTTAAGTTTGTCTAAACTATAAAAAGAATACTGTACGATACTTTGCGAATATAATGCACCGACTTTTGTTTAGCAACACTGCGCTGTTTTTCTCATTATCACATGTATCCAAAGCTGCAAAACAATAAATAAATCACATTGTCCAGTACTAGAATAAAGCTGTTAGTTAACATATATGCAATATGCTCTAATACATGAGAACAGCAGTGTTGCTAAACAAAAGTCGGTACAATATATTTATACTTATTTTTCAATTAATTATCGGTCTTAGGTATTACTCAAGCTTTTATATATTACTATTGTACAAGCTTCTTTTAACAAAATGGCCCATCGATTTTGGCATTTCCAAATATGAACATTACAGACCAATCAGCAATTAATACCTAATTTAACCATAGTTAAATAACCAACAATTAGTTTAAACTCACTTATTACAAAAAGATAAACCTGGTTTAGCACTGGCATTTTCTAAATACACATACCTACATGTATTTTGGCGTTTAACAGTGGTCTAAATGCAATAATCAAACTCCATTTTAAAAATTATATTGTAAGTTGTAGTTTTTAATTACTAAATTAAAAATATATTAACGTAAATGACAATAAAAATATTGTTTATCCATAAAATCCAATGATCCAATAAAAATATTATCAGTAATTTACAAGTACACATTAATAAATATTATATATTAATGAAATGTCTAATTAGTTATATATTGATAATGGAATTAATTATGGTGTTCTAATAAAACAAAATAGTAGTTTCATTTATTTTTTATTTATAGTACTAATTAGTTATATATTGATAAGTTCTAATAAAACAAAATAGTAGTTTCATTTATTTTTTATTTATAGTACATAGAAAAATATAGATCACCATCAATGATACAGCTCAAGTAGCAAAATTCTGCGCGAAAAACTAAAATCTTAAGTAACGTTTTTAATGTATAAATATTTGTACTTACCTACATATCCTGATTCATCAATTGTGTATAATAACATAGCAGTAGTTGCACAGGATTTTCATTAAATGTTAAAGTATACCATTTTAACAGATTCATTTGAACTTCTTGTCAGTACATATCTGTCTGTATACTGAACTTTCATAAGCGACCAAAACCTCCTACGTATACACACATGACTAAAAGATTTTTAATTATATATCTCCTTTAAGTTATAAAATATATGACTCATTTTATAATTATTGAAGTACCTGCAGTTGGTACTACATCAGCTTCAATTTTCAAACCAAAACTACTAAAATAGGTAATTATGATTTATTTGTGTTACTTTGTAAGTAAATCAGCGATGATAATAATAACAAAACACCACAAGGGAATTAATTATAACTTACTCTAAAAAATAATCAGAATTTTAACTGTAGGTACCTACCATAACTCATTAGCATGTCACTGCCAATCATGGGTCTTTTTCTTACCTCATAAGAGACGCATACTGCTACAGTAGAGCAAAGCAAGCGTTTGGTTTTATATTAGTTTTTTTTCTATGGCATTAGTGTCCAATGTGTCCTATTCCCAATCTCGGCACCCATTATTGCAAATAACAACATACTACTACGTTGTTACTTCTAATAATTACTATAAATTTTAATATAATTACTATAAGTTTATGTCACTAGGTACCTATACCTAGTGATATAAACTAGGATGAATAAATAAGGAATAGATGAGCTTCAGAAGCATGAACTGTTGTATATACATCTCTTTGATAAGACTATTAAACAATGACCATTTCATGCGTTTTTTTAATTAATGATAATGTAATAGTGCACCCACCTGCGCTAACAGTGTACGCTGGCAGGGCACCCGTGCAGAATGATAAGATGAGCATGAGGTCAGGTCAGTTAGCCTATACTGGCAAATTCACCAGGAATTTGTCACGATGGTGGGGAACCGCGTGGAGGTCAACCTAACCTGATTGCTAGCAAAGGGGTCCATATTATTAACAATTCCCTCCCCCCAACCATTTAATGTTGCCAACGCCATCTATTAGCTCTCTAGTGTCAACTTGCTGATCACACAATATAGAAAAATATTTTTACTTAAAAAATGAAGAGCCTGCGTACCCTGTGTACGACCTCAAGATATTATATTAATATTGTTACTAAATTTTAATAATTTTGCAGACAAGTAAACAAAGATAATTGTAGATCTCGTAGGTTTCCAGGTGGTTTTCCATAGCCAGACTGTCGTTATGGTATTTTTTAATCCGGCCCCTCCTGGTAACTAAGTCACAAATAAAATGCATAATAAACAAAAGAGAAAATGCCAAGACCAATATAAACAGACACATGTTTGTAATGTGTGAGTCCAAATTACGAAATTGTCGATGTCCAAACCCCAAGCAGTGCCCTAGATCAGGACTATTCGTCTATTCGTCAGGATCGAGTTGGCTTCAGCAGTTCTATAAATACTTCAATGGGTTAAGTGCCGTCTGCATTTATCTCTATTTTGCTCCGGTGGAGCTATAATGGCCAGTAGTCTGTGGCCAACAGCATTAGAATAGTTGAAAAAAAAATTCAGACATCACAGTACCTAACTAGTGTACAAAACAATTAATTGCTACTGGCCTGGCAATATTAAAGAAAATAACTACTTGTTTAGTATATATTATTACTTGTGTACTTATTCAAATTTTAGTCAAAACCATTTTTATTATATCACTTACCTTGATCCCATAATAATTTGGCACAAACTGCTCTCTTTTCACAATTACAATAAAAATTGATGGCTGACTAAAATTAAGAGATACTCACTCACTCACTTTTTTTTAACAGTTCATTATTATGATGAATCAGTACTATCTATCTCAAGCAACTAGCAATAACTGTTCTGTGCCATTGAACACTGATTCACATGTTTTCTATAATAGACTGGTCACAAAATAAACACACACTGTGGCAACATTACTTAGCAAGTGCTATTATACATAATATTATTTACAGCACTGCTAATATGCTAAAACTAAGTGTTTTGAATGCTAATATTTCTTATTTCCAAAACATGAATACACAATCATTTTCACAATGTAGCCACTTTTATCATACACATTAACACAAAATCACCAGGTTTAAGAAAACTACAACATCAGAAAAAATATTCTATTTACAATTACACTCTCACTACACACCACCTAACACTAAATACACTTCTTAATTGTACACTATGAACTCATAATAATAATATTAATAAATATACACTAAGTAATATTAATGATAGTTGATTCTAGCAGTAATTAACACAATTTTACTTGTAATAACAATATAAGACTGGTCACTACTGTTGTGGGTAACCACAAAACTTTCACAGTGTCAATAAATCACTTAACTAATTTACAGTCAACCACATCACTACACCTCCACATAGTAAAGTTGAAATAAACTGTAAACAATAAGAAAGGGATAAAGAATCTTAAGCTAATTGTATAAAATCAAAAGTACAACTAAAATAAATAATACAAAAGTTATGCTGAACCACCTCTTACAACCACTATAACTAAGTGGTCCTCCTTCAAGCTCTCTTCAGTCAGATTGTGGCAGGTTCGTTTCAACAGTTCCGTTGAAAATTCACATGGAGGGAATGAGTACAGAACTCCTGTTGCTTCCGTCTCTTTGTTCAAAAGCGATATGACTCCAGCTGCTTCTTTCTGTTTCAAATATGAAACCAAATTTCTCATAGGTCTCGTTTGAATGCTTGCATCCTCATTTGTAATAGATGCAGTTGAGCCAGCCACCCCCAAGAATATTGCATGTGAGCTTGATGTAGCTATACGCTTCTGTACATCATCCAGCTTAGGTTGGTCCAGTCGCAATCTCTGTGTAATTCTCAATAGATTTTTACCATCCTCATCTTTCATGAGGCTGTCAATAATTTCTGAATCACCATCAGTCAGGTGGAATTTAGTAGGAAACAAAGAGTTTTTAAGAATTAAAGCACCATTCCAAATTGTTGTGGCTCTGCGAACTACTTCTGGAAGTGTTCTGGCAGAAGCAAGCATGCCACCATTTCTCCTAGGTGAACCTTCAGAATCACTATCAGGGGTCCTTCTACGGAGGGATCTTGAACGAGATCTATCAACTCCAGGTTCTCGTGAACCAGATCTACGGACGCGACCCTCATATTCACTGTCAACTGGTGGCCTTCTCCACTCTTCATCACGATACTCAGCAGTACCATGATACATTCCTCTGTACATGCCACGTCCACGACCCCTGTGACCACCCCTGCCCCTATAACCTGGTGCACCATAGCCATACCCATCTTCCCATGTACCCTCATACCCTTCATAACCCTCAACTGGCCTACCGTCTTCACCTACAGGTGGGGCATATGGCTTAGGTCTAAATGGTGCACCATTTCCTACATCAGCAAAGTCAATGCGGAGACGCCTATCAGGTCCACCAAGAGCAAAGCCTCTCATTTCTTTAACAGCTGCCTGCGCAGCATCTATTGAATCATATAAAATGTATGCATGGGCTTCACCCTTCACATATTCTATTTTTTTAATAGCTCCAAATCTATCAAATTCCCTTTCTAGTTGTGCCACTGATGTCCAAGGACCAAGCCCACCCACCCAAACACGTGTAGTGGGTGTAGCCTTGCCATAACCTATCTTACATTGGAATTTACCAATATATTGGCCAGAAAGTTCTACCTTTGCCCGATGAGCCATGTCTAAAGTCTGATAGCGCACAAATGCAAAGGCATTGCCTGTACCTGGTGGTGGTCGTTTTATATCAATATCCTCAACAATACCATAGCGACCAAATATACGCCGAAGTTCTTCATCTGATATATTTATTTCCAAGTTACCAGCAAAAAGAGTTCTAGTTGCTAGAGGATCATCTTCAGGTTGTACATGGTGCAAATAATTTGGAAATTTGTCTTTCTTATTCTCCATTTTTTCAAAATGTGGATGATGAGGGCGAGGCATGTATGGGCGTGGCATGTAGTGTGGATGTGGAGGATGATGCATGGGTGGTCGATGATGCATTGGGGGCCCATGAGGACCTGGCATTGGATATTCATGCATTGGGGGCCGGAAATCTCTATGATGAGGTGGGACACTAGGAGGAATACCATATGCTCTATCATCTGGTGGTGGACGACGCCTCTCTGGCACTGGCGACCAAGCATAGGAGTATGGACGGTCATAATCTGGTGGGGTAATACTCCGTGGCCTACTCCTGTATTCTGACCGTGATGGTTCATACACAGGATCAACAATAGCAACTTTGTCATACAAGATTATTCTCGGTTTTGCATGTTTGGCGTCCTTGGCGTCCTCAGCACTGCGGAAGCATACATATGCAACGCGCTCATCCAATTCATGCGAAATCTTAATGCTGAAATCGCCGAATTTCTTGTATTCTCTGTACAAAGTATCTTTGACAATTTCGTCAGATGCCTTCGGGTGAAGAGCACTGACACAGAGCACCTTATAGTAAGAACGTGCAGATTCTTCCCTCATTTCTCGCGACCGAACATAGTCATCACGATGCGGGGAGACGTACCTGCCTCGAGGGCTCGGGGATCGGACTCGTCGCCGCACCCGTTCCGGAGTGACGCGCTCGTCCGAACTATCGTCATACCTGCCTATGCTACTACGCGTCCGTTTCGATCGCGGCATACTATCCCTCGAAGAACTCCTTTTCATGTTACGAATTTTCACCGTAATTCGATCTCTATCTCTATCGCTACGCGGTAATCCAATCATGAAAGCTCAGTTTGATGAACCACTATCTGAAATGCACAACATTACACGTCACTTTAAAACGTCGCCATGTTCCCGATATAATCTCACTCTATCGCACAATGAATGTTATTATTGTCTTACCACAAGCGAATCACTCGAGTCACTTCGCTTACCACTGAACACTGCTCTGCTACACTACTGGAATATTAACACGAAAGCCCTGAACATATAAAACGCAAAATTACAATGTATATTATAGTAATGTGATTGATATTGAAAATATGAATGACAATATTGACGAAAATTGACTTTACAACTCTAAGAAACGTAGTTTTGACCTGCGGTTGGCGACACTGCTTAGAACGTAAGCAGTACTGGGGCTTGCCGCAATCAAGAATCGATATATCGATATTAATTCTAGCAATAATAATTTAAATAAATCGGTATATGTATTGATTGAGCAATATAAAAGAAAATATAACAAATATTACACTTTTGTTGTTATCATCAACGTAACGTAATGGTTATAGTTGTTGTTAATTCGATTGTGGTAATTTCACCGCGATGGGCTGACTTGATTTTATGCTCATTCTATCGTCCTTCACTGGTAGCACTTCAGCGTATGATAGTAACTCAGAGGGATATTTCATTATTCTTTTTTTAAAATCACTTAATCTATACTAATTTCTTAATATATTATTTATTAAAATAAAAGTCTAACTACTCTTTTTATTTAGTATCTAATAGTAATATTACTACCGTCAGTTCGGAATGCTTTCGAGCTGAGAAGAACTGACTAGAGCCTCAGCTCAAATCTGTGATCGATATTTTTAGCTACTATCTCATCCCTAGATGGCGTGTAGCGAGCGTAAGGCATAAGTTGGCAGCATTGACAATACCACAAATGAATGAATGATAGAGAATAGAAAAGAACAATGTTGCCAAAATTTTCCAATTTCCGTGATAATAATTATTCAATTAAGTTTCTTCTAAAATTTAACTAAATTTCTGAATAAGTTTTTTTTTAGTAATCATGAAATGGTGCATGCCGTTGCGCTGGCGGAGCATCAGTGAAGGATGATCGCCTATATAGGTGACATAAAGTGGTGACCGCGTGGAGGTCTACCTAATGTGGTAAATTCCTAGCAATAGGGTCACTGCTCGCTGTTGCTAACAATCCTCTTTATTATATCCTTATATGTAAAATCTACATACCGTCATGCGTCACGACGGTTAACCAAGATGGGACCGACCAGTTGATAAGATGAGAATGAGGTCAGGTCAGTTAGCCAATAGAATAGAATAGAATAGAAAATCCTTTACTCAAATAAACTTAATTTAAGCACTTTTGAATATGACTTTTTTTTAATATACCGCTCATTCGGAAAGCAAGAAGAATCGATCGAATCGAAAAGCTCATCACAAGAAAAATGCGCAAGAAACTTGTGTGTTGCTCTTGTAAATAATAGCACTAGTTTATTAAGGTCAAATAGAAATACACAATAAGATTAAATCAGTGGTAGTGATAAGAGTAGACCAGTCTCTACCAGCAGCACTCGTTGACGAGTATGACGTATGAGGTATGATTATCGTGATGAAATCACTTTCCAGGGGGAACCGCATGGAGGTCGAGCTGACATGGTACATTGATCGCAATGGGATTTTCCTTTTTATTAAAAATCCCTTACATTTCTGAGTTACTCTTATATAAAATTACATAAAATCGGTCACCCATTTCGGAGGAGTTTAGGTAATTATTAACTATTATCTTTAACTAGATGATTTCCATGATTATAAAACAATTAAGGAATAAAATTGCAATAAAAATATTAGACTCGCCAATATAATTGACGTACAAAATGATTGTCATCCATTTATAATTTATGGCCTGATTAAACATTAAACGTGCTCTAAATCTATATTGTCTAGACTTATGGGTATTGCTGTACCTATGTACCTACATTATGATGACGAAGATACACCAATCTGTAGCAGACATCAGTAGGCACTATCTAAACAATAAATATTTTTACAACCGATTAGTAAAATATACATGTAAAAAAATCGTAAATGTACCCTGTCTGTACACATACAAATATTATATAAATACTTTATCAAAAATATAGTTTTTGAGTCCCGAATGATAGTCAATATCGTCTTTACCATAAGGGCACACGAAGCTCGTGCCCTCAGTCTCAGGGGGCCCCCGAAGGACTAATAATTTTTCTCACACATTTATTCTCAAAAGATTTTTGTTGGGCACACTACACTTTTTTCACAAATGTTATCATAAGGTTATTTACAAGGCATATATTACGCCGACTACCGATTACTTCGCCTATTCTTATGTTCTTACCTAATGTTTTTTTTTTACTGTCCAAAAAAAAAACATTAGGTAAGGTAAGGTAAGGCCACATACGGTTTTCAATTATGTATCATAGCAAACTGCAGTTCCCCATCCGCACAATCATGGGTGGCGGTTATCATTTACCAACAGGTGTACCGCAAGCTCGTATTCCCCCGTATTAAAGTAATTTAATTATTGTAATAAATTCAACTAAAACTCAAAATCTTTTTTCTTTTTGCAAGTACGGTCTCCTATGCACGTGATAATTTGATACTTCCAGGAGAACTGGCGAAAAACGCATTTTTTATGTTATTATTATTATTAGTCTGTAAATATTATTAAAGATAAATATATAATTTTAAAAACCCTGTCTAAACAAATAACGCTATACAAGGTGGTCTGCCAAATAATTGTTTACAGAGTAATAGGCTTTATTCAATAAATATTTCTTATTTTTTTAAATTTATTTAGAGGTAGAGCCAAAATATTTATTGGTATCATAATGTAAAATTTAATACACATTTTCATTGCGGGAATGGGTATTAAATAAAAAAAAACTAAATTGGGGGACTGCAAGTTTATTATTGAATATAATTTAAATTTAGTTTCATTCCAGTCGTTTCCCAAATTAAACAAAAACTAAATAGTATACTCGTACAAAGACGCGGGCATAGCTAATAAAGTAATAAAATAATTAGAAGTAATAAACTACATGACGTACCAAAAGGACAGTTTCAATGTGATTGCGTTAAAAAGAGATAAATGTTTTATATAAAACCCTTCCAATTATCTTAGACTTACATATTCGTGTTATTCAGCACAGACATCTAAACGTAAGTAAAGATATATTATTTTATTTGCCTTCACAACAATAAAGAAGAATACACTTATAGTATTCCTCTTTAGTCATGTATTAAAATTTATTTAACTATTTTAAGGCTATTTCAAATAAAATATTTATAATTTTAATTTTCAATTTTATTATTAGTTGTTTTTACTCACTATCTCGTCCGTATGGCCGGTATAAATTCTCTATATATATATATCTAACCTATGTCCTTTTTCATCCTAATCTTCATGTGAAATATCATTAAGATCCGTTTAGCTATTTAGCTGTAAAAAGGTAACGAAAATACAGACAGACAAACATATTTTTTTATTTATAAAATATCAATGGATTACAATTGGTTGAGCAGTCGAAATTTAATTACATAACAACCAAACAAACATTCACATTTTCATTAAATGTATTACCTACTTAATATTCTGTTCTGCTGTTGATTTGTGAAGTGATAAAACAGACAGATACACAGACAGACATGGTTTCGCATTCATAATATTAGTACTAATATTAATTTCTATATATCCTAGTCTATTTTAAGAAACTTAATATTTTTTTATTTACAGTAACACCAAAATGAAACTTTTCGTAGCTGTTGCTCTCATCGCCGCCGTGGCTTCGGCCACTTCCATTAGGCCCGTCAGGCCCACCCTGATCCCTGGCGAGCTCGCTGAGATACAGCAAATCATTGAAGCTATCAACAGCCCCAGCACCGACCCCGCCACCGCTGCTGCGCTCCAGGAACTGCTTCTTGAGTATTACAATTGGGAAGGTAGCCCCATTTCTGTCGGCCCCGTTATCATTGGAAACCCTGAGCCCGAAGCCATCTCTGTTGGGCCCGAAATCGTCGACCCCGTCATCGTGAACCCGAGTCCCGTGGCTGTCGCTGAGTCTAACAGCGCTCCTCTGGTTCAGATCATCTTGAACATCAACCAGGCTGAATCTGGAGCCGTCGGCATTCCCCCTAGCGTTGCCCTTCTCCCCGAAATCATTGGTGAACCAGTTCAGATCGTAGACAGCGCTCCCGAGGCCGTCCAAGTTGTAGAATCGCCCGTCCAGGTGGTGGAATCTCCAGCTGTCGTTGCACCCGTGTTAGTGATCGACTCCGCTCCCGTCGAGCCTATCATTGTCGCCACCCCGATTATCCCATCCTTGTAATCAATTAAAAAAAAAACAACATAATCCTCGTACCTGAATAATGCTATTCCTTAAATAAATATTTATACAGTTACTTTTGTGTTTTATCTGCAACTTTTTTTAATTACAATGTCATTTCACAACTATACCTATTTATACAATTAAAACTTATACTATACCATATGTTCTTCATATATTTTAGATATGTTAGTGTATGAGTCTGTTATGCCACATATAGTCTGCATACTATTTGTTTATTTATTGAATTCAGGGCACTAATGGCCCATATGACGACCTCGGTGTTCTAGCGGTCTAGCACACCGCTTTACATCCGATGGTCGCGGGTTCGATTCTTCGCATGGCACAAACACTTGTATTCATGAGTATGACTGTATCGGTCTGGGATATATACATAGAAAACATTCTATGTTTATATTTATTATTATTTATAAATGATATGTATGTATTAACGAAAAAAAATTATTTATGTATTTGTATCAGTTATCTAGTACCCATAACACAAGCTTTAGCTAGCTTAACTTGGGACTAGATGGCGCTGTGTGAATTGTCCTGGGATTATTATTATTATATTATAAATACCATATAGACTAACATACATGTGAATGATATTAAAATTAATATAAGATATAAATATAAAATAATAATAATGTCAGTGAAACAAATAAAATAAAAAATATATAAATTGCGTTGCCGCGTTAGCGTCCATACACTACCCCCTTCGGCCAGTAGTCCTTCTTCATGAAGGTGGTCAGTAAGTTGATTGGGAGACCTGGGGAAAACGCACGTTGTGACTTTACTCCAGTTGCATCACCCTCATTGTCAGATTGCTCCTGGTTCGTTTTTAGTCGACTATGTACCATGATGATGATACCATATAAATGATAAGTTTTGGATTGCTTGGTAAATAAATGGGTTAATTCTTAACTATCTGTGGTTTCACGCGCGTTAAATTTCATTAAAAAATATAGCCTATGTATAACACATAGGCTTTCATGAACACATAGGCTATGAGTCATATGCTATTTCTGATGCATAAGCAATATTACTTTAAAGTTTCATTAAAATCCGTTCAGTACTTTTCGAGTGAAAGAGTAACAAACATCCATGCTTACAAACTTCCGCATTTATAATATTAATAAGATATGAGTACACGATGCTAAGTGTTGATTGTAGGGAATATGGTATGCTTGGGTGTTATATGGACGTGGAACGGTTTAAAATGCAGTCGGCTGTACGGTGACCTACCCTACAATTAGTAAAAAATACATTTCTTTCCATGTCTAATAATCAACTATCACTGTCTAATATTACTTATGAATACAAATGTTGGCACCGTGTGAGGAATCGAACCCGCGACCATCGGAAGTAAAGCAGTGTGTTAAACCGCTAGACCACCGAGGCCGTCAATTAGTTAACTAGTTATTGCAGAAATTCTACTAATTTTGTAACTAACATATGATTACAAATTGATTAAAAACGGTTCAATAATATTTCATAATATATTTTTGTTTCTTTCTATATCCGGATAGTGACGACACAGATAGACATGACGTCATTAATCTGTGTCGTGCATAGTATCAGATTATGCATGTCAAAAATTTTGAACTTTGTCACATTACAAATTTATTGGAATAATATGTAAAAAATATATAGGATGCTACTAAAGCTAGTATGACAAAGTACTAAATTATTTGTAATTAATTATTTTTCTTCCACCAGGACTTGTAATTTTTTTCACAGTCATTGTACACGCTATAGTTACAAACCACTTCCATTTATTAATGGAAACTAACTTTACCGGCGATTTATAGTGTTATAGTGATCTTATATAAAGAAAAAAATATTCAATAATCTAATCCTAAAAGGCCAAAGAAAAATATTTTAAAGAAAAATAATAAATGACGCTTTCCCATACAAACTTTCATCCCCTATTTTATTTTACTCCTTTAAGGGTGTAAATTTTACAAATTAAGAATGTCACTATTCACACACACACACACACACACACACAGTCTAAAAAATAAGTTTTTATCTTCTTGCATTAAAAATGCTAGTTCCTTACAACTCTTTTATCGCATTAAAAAGTAACCTATATACTTTCTCAGGGTCTAGACCAGTGTTTCCCAACTTTTTTAACGACATTACCCAGTAGTAGTTCTTAGTCGTTCTAAAATTCTTAAGAAATAATAATCGAGACAAAACAGTCTAACTCAGAGGGGCAGTGAGTCCACCCTCTCTGATATTCTGTTATAGCCTAGATTAGTAAATTAATACAATAAAAGATTGAGGACAATGACAGCACTTAAGTTCTAAACTGTTCTCTACTGACAAAATACAAAAAATTTACAAAATTACAAAGTAAGAAATTTGACAATAACAAAATTGAATAAAATCTTCTAGGATTTATATATTTATTTTTCTATACTTACCTTAATTATGCTATTTGTTTGTTCTACCTGAATTATGTATATCATTGTCTTTACTATAGTAATAGTATATGCATATTATAAATGTAGGTGTGTCGGAATGTGTGTCTTTCTTTCAGCAGTTTATTATCTTATCACAACTATATCTGAATGAATTTTATTGAATATAGATTGCATGAAGAAGGATATAGGCTATCTTTTATCTTAAAGAAGGCAGAAAAAAATCGCGGAACAGTTAGTATCAAGATAATTTGAAAAATGCCTCTAAATATTATGTTATTCTGTGCAGGCTGTACATTTTTATAAATAAAATAAAGGAATAAATAAATATTTATAATACACCTGGACAATTCACACGACGCCATCTAGTTCCCAGGTAACCAGAGCTTGTGTTATGGATACTAGACAAAAGATAAAACAAATATTTTGTAAATAAGTACATAATATACATAGAAAACACCCAGACCGGCACAAACAATTCTACATATGAATTTTTTATACATCAATCGTTTATGTATCCAACATGAATCTTCAATAGATTGTAGACTCTTTTAGTACCTACTCCTGTGGAATTTTTTAGTGCAATTCATTGCCAGTCAGTTTATACTTTTATATAAATTTTCGTATACAATACGTAATATAGATTAATAAAAGATTATATTCACAGGTATTACAATATCTTTATGGATTCTAACATTCTGATACGGCAACAAATTACGAAGTTAAAAATAGATTCATCGTTACGTTTCTGAAATAATTTCAAGCCATAATATTAGCCGCCAAAATTAAATTAATAAACGTCAAATTTTTTGTATTTATATTTTTCCCAGCCATCTAGTTCAGTATGCAGATTGAATTGAGAAGAAAGTCAACAGAATGTCTTTTTACTAAAGCCATTTTATTTAGAATGTGTCTTGACAAGAATAAACCGAATAAATATACTTTGCTCAAAGTTGTACGAATGCGTACTTTTAAGTAAATTTAATAGATATGTTTCTGTTTATAAGCTTGTAACATAGTAGTCGTGTAGGGTAGTAAAATTATAAGATACAGAGGCAAAATATCTGAGGTCTCACAAACAGCAAAGCATGAATATATTTTGACAGTTTTAGTTAGAATAATAATCACTTTAATACCTAGTAAAAAAAAAATCAAACCTTATTAAGACAAAGGACATAGGATATATATATACATGTAAAAAGAAGATGAAGGTACTAGTAATGCTTAGTATTTTTACTATATTTTGGAATAAACATAGTGTTTGACTTGCATAATAGCATTATTTTATTGTATACAAATCACGATAGATATATTGTATCGTGATTTGTAATATAATTATAATACAAATAATAATAATACAAACACAATAATACAAATTTCGATAGACAAATGTGTATGTTTCTTACTTAAGACAGTACAAAAATAAATGCGAATTGTATTTCTAGTGATATTTATAATCCAAGGCATTAACAATAAGATATAACAAAAATTATATTGTATGTCGAGTTGTATATACAGTTCAAATATTATTTTGTTGCACTATATTTTTATTTTTAAATTGTTTTACTCGCATAGTATTTACATACTGCTTTATTGTAACTATACTTGTATTATTTAATTAAAGTGTATTCTATTTATCAGTAATTAAATCAGTATCCATAAGGTTTAAAACATATTGTAGTATTATTCAATAGGACCGCCTTATTGTATTTATATTCATGTCTTCATCTATTTATTATGTCTTTTTCTTTACTGTATTATGCAAATGAAGTATTCTATAAATTTATATTTATATACAAGATAGACAGCAGACATCAGATCCTAAAATTACATTCAAATTAATAATAGAATGGGTAGATACCGTATACTAAACCATTTTTATTACGTCTAGATATCAAACTAATAAAAGTAATAAATAAATGCTTATTATAGAAGTCTTATGACATTATGCACCGGAAAGATGTAATTTTGTTAATATAACGTCACCAGATAAATATTCGTATAAAAACGTTAAACAAATTTACGTGTATATAGTCGTGTGATTCGATACGGGCAAGGAACGTAAGTATTCACACCACACAGAAACTTAGTTTTGCTTTAGTTTTTTTTACTGATATTAGTTATACTCTGTAATATTATTTTATCTGTGGTTATACTCATTAATTAATATACTACGTGAATTTATAAGTACGGTATAAAGTGAACTTTGTAAAAAGTTGTAGGCATGGGACCACAGGCTCACCTACTTGAGCCGCCAAACAGCTTGCTTAGTAAAATGTCATTCGATTATGACAGTGAAATTATAGAAATATAAGCATTATATCCTAGTCTTTCAGAATGGAAATGCACGAGTTAATGAAAGACCGGTATCAAACCAACACTACAGTTTTGTTTTTGGTTTGATACCAATAAATTAAATTAATATGTTAGATTGAATTGAAATATGGGTGTGTAGCAGACTGTGGGCATCTGTAGTGTTGAGTTTACTATACTCGTAACGTTGAGAATTAACAATATTTTCATGGCCCCAACGGATATAACAGTTGTGTCATTTTATGTAATTGGAATAGCAAAACAAACTGACGGCCTACTGCTTGTAAGTGGTAACCGTCGAATATACATAACAACGCTACAGACATCACATTACTATGTGACGATATTACGCTCGTGTGTTGCCATTTTGGAGAATTAAGATAATTAAGAATTATGATCAACTAGCTGTGCCCGATTTCATCCGCGTTAAATTTATAGCCTATGTGTTATTGTGATGTATAAGCCAGCACTTTTTGGGTGAAACAGTAACAAACATCCATCCATCCATCCACACTCACAAACTTCCACGTTTATAATATATATATTAAAATATATAGAAGTAAATATAACTAAACTTTTTCTGATATTTTAAGATAAAAGATGTGACCCCTTGAAACTATGTCCATCCTCCTGACATAATCTATCTTTAGATATGTCAAATTTAATTATGATCCAGTCAGCCGTTTGGTTGTGACTTACTTCTTGCACTGATGGTAAAAAGGAGTGAAATCATTATATTATTAATATTATTTTTTAATGGTACAATATAAATTAGTATGGATTCTAGAATTCTTTTCCTAAACCACTATTTTAATTTATCTTTTTTTTATAACAGTAACATCAAAATGAAAATCTTCGTGGCTGTTGCTCTCATCGCCGCCGTGGCTTCGGCCACTTACACAAGGCCCGTAAGGCCCAGCCCGATCCCTGCTAACATCTCCGAGATTCAGCAAATCATTGCAGCCATCAACAGCCCTAGCACCGACCCCGCCACCGCTGCTGCTCTCCAGGAATTGCTCTATGAGTATTACAGTTGGGAAGGTAGCCCCATATCTGTCGGTCCCGCTATCATTGGAAACCCTGAGCCAATCGCTATTGGCCCGGAAATCGTGAGCCCTAGCCCTGTTCCCGTATCCAACGTTTCTCCCCTCGTTGAAATCGTCTTGAACATTAATCAAGCTCAGCCTGGAGCCGTCTCGATCCCCCCTGGCGTTGCTGCGCTCCCCGAAATCATCCAGGTTGTGGAGACCCCCCAAGTCAGCCCTGTCCAGATTGGACAAACACCGACCATTGCTCACCCCGTATTAGTGGCTGAGTCCGCCCTGTCGCCCCGTTCGTCCTAAATACAAAATGATTATTACCTACATGCATTTTTTGTTCCTATAAACTGTATTATAAACATGAGGTTCAATAAATGTTTATTCTGTTATGAAAGTCGTTTGTTTCACTAAATTGCTACCAAGATATATATATACATATAATGATTATTACCTGTATGCATTTTTTGTTCCTATAAACTGTATTATAAACATGAGGTTCAATAAATATTTATTCTGTTATGAAAGTCTTTTATTTCACTGAAATGCTACCAAGATATACCATCACCAAGACATCGATTTATTCATACCTAGCTATTGTGTCTTCTAATGATTACTCAGGTACATAGGCAGTAATGAAGGCAAGTCAATTGTAAATTCATTATTCAATCATAACAATGCCCTTATTGTTGTTAACACTACATATTACTGATATTTGTATAATAAGTACCTTTAATGCGTGTATGTATTATTACTTACATCTTATTATTATTACACTCGATTTCTTCTCCTTTTTGTGATAAAGGATAACGTATGTTTTTTCTCATGATACAGTTGATATGCCACAGATACCTTAATAGTTGTGGCATATCAATTATACTATTATTCTTTGTACGTTAAATAAAACCGATATTACTTATTTTGATATGAATTAAATTACTTTAAATGTACTGTAAATTACACTTTGTTATTACAAATTAATCCAAATCAACTATTACATAACTTATAACTAGTTTATAGTTCACTGTTTAAGCCAATTATGAATTTTATTTAAAAAAATATAAAAACAAGCTGCCGCGGAGTTTTTGTAGTATTAGTTAATACCCCATATCCCAGCATACCTTATCTTCCTATAATTCTACGGTTTATATAACGCACGACAAGATTGCTGTATGAGAACAAATAATTCATGATTTACTTAACGCTTATACTTCAACCAGTAACGTATTACTAAATAATAAATAAAAAAAAACATATGCGAAAAGAACTTGAATTTTCTTTTTCATAAACATAATATATGCATATTTCTGCCTCTGCATTTTAATTTTATTATATTTTATGTTAATATTTCAAATAGGTTCGTCGTTTTTCTGGTTGGCACCATTGTATCCTTGTATTATGTATATAACAATACGTGCATAATATAAAAGGTAAAGTCTCAATAATAATGCGTGGCAATAAAATAAAATAGTTTTTATTGCATAGAATTTAAAGGAAATTAAACAGATGACTTACTAGGTAAGTTCTATTTACAATAATCTTAATTGGTATGAATTTCCGTTTAAGTATTACTTTCACCTTTCCTGTTCTGTTATTATTATTATAATTTATATACATATTTATATAAGAACTAATTAATTCATTATAAAATGATTAGTTAAGGAAAGCAAGGAGGTTTTAGTAGTGGGGACTAGCGATCCAATTCCTAGCAATTTACCTGTGAGCGAAGGATTGTATTTATATTAGGCTGGTAAATACAATTATGGAAATGGTTTTTTAAGAAGGAATAGTATAATTGTACGTATTAAAATTAAAGCAAATAATAGGCAATAAAAATGTATACAATATATAAAAAAGGCACGTCGTGCACATTACCATAACAGGTCGATAACCACGTGGACCACTGTAATCTGTTGACTTTACATCTAGGTGATATTATCATGACATACTAACATTGCTAACAGACTTGACCTCATGCTCGTCTTAATATCCTCCACTGGAGCTTCGGTAGTGTATAGCATTAGCAAACAGGTGCACTATTCGATAATCATCTATAATAAAAATAAGAGTAGGTAGACACGACTTTACTTGTCTTTATTACAAACGCTCCTTTTTTCTATAAACGGAAACATATATTCATCGGTGTAATATTTCTGTCGAAGACAGAATAAAAGAACGCCTGCTTATGATGTTTAGCAAATATTTGCGCAAGATGCAAATATTTACATTAGTTTTATAATCGGTAGTGAAAATGAAAAATGAGTGAAAAAAATGAGATTTATTATTCTGCTCATAGAATATACAATTACAAATAGAAACGGACGTATTATTACTATGTGTAATGACAGAGAGTAACAACAGTGGTAATGATGGCCTTATCGCTACATAGCAATCTCTTCTAGGGAACTTTAAGAATAGAGAGGAGTGATTAAATTTGCCACATAAATAAATTAGGCGCTTTTTTTCCAATACTGGTAAAATAAACTCAAGTTTTTTGATATAGATAAAAATCCAATGAACACTCACCTACGATAATAGTGTACGATGGCGGGTTATCAGTAGAGGATAATAAGATGAGTTGAATTGAGGTAAGATAGACCATCGGGAATTGACCACGATGGTTTCAGGGACGGATCACTATTGGTTATTATGTTGAGTATCCTCAATGTACCAGTATCAGTTATCGTTACTTTTAATAATAGATTTATGTAATACCATTTCTTGGGGTAATATATTATATTATATATATATCCATAGGGTAATTGGTATGACTATTAAATAGTTACCATGCACTCATAATAGCATTACGTATTACATAGGGATGCTTAAATGTTATCACAAGACGGTAGAGACAGTTTCTGTTACCGATTGACTGTTGTTATCTCTGAAAATCACATAAAATGATACATAGATTATAGAAGTATTATGTAAGTAGATAACTACCAAATTAATCCGTAATTGCTTATAGGACGTTTATAATTTAGAATACATTAGTCAGATTAATCCTTACTAATGTTTTTTATCTGACTTCTTTAGTTATAGTAGATCTCATATTTTGTTGATCTCAGATGTTTAATACGAAGTTAGATTAGAATTATGATCATTTCATCGACAATTTGTTATCGACTAGCCACCAGCCCGAAATCACACGGGTACAATTATACTACTGTAGGGTATATATCATATATACATATGTAATACGTTATACAATAGAATATAGTTTATTTATATCGAGGACTTTTCTAAAAATTTTGGTCTTGGTTGGTCTAAAAACCTATTTGAACCACCAAGCAACTGCTTTACAAGCTATGGATCGGTTGAAGGGCAAAGATAAGGCAATGAAATTACAGGATATAGGTACAATTATAGGCATGACATTTTAGTACTTTGGAAAGCAAACGCATGAGTGGTATCACGAGTGTCACATGACAGTCCATCCGCATGTTTACAATTCTAATTACAAGAAATGGTCGGCGATAATCAATTCAGTTTATTATTTTTCGAATAATAAATTGAAACGATTTCAAAATCTGTTAAGTACATCTTGAGTTTATCAACGATTAATTAAATCTTATTTTTTTTATATTTTTTTTTTGGACAATTTACACTACGCCATCTAGACCCAAGTTAAGCTACCTAAAGCTTGTGTTATGGGTACTAGATAACTGATATAAATACATAGATATTTTTTTTCGTAAATACATACATATTATACATAGAAAACACCCAGACCGATACAAACAATCACACTCATGAATACAAATGTTTGTGCCATGCGAGGAATCGAACCCGCGACCATCGGTCGTAAAGCGGTGTGCTAGACCACTAGACCAACGAGGTCGTCTAATATATACATATAAAATATAACTTTAGTAATATTAATAAGTCTACTTTACGTTACGTTACGTTATAAATACTTTAAAAGATTAAAGGAATGACATTTTAGTCCTTTAGAATGAAAACGCATGAGTTGTGTCATGGATGTCACATTATAACGTGATGTTTGTAGACGTTGTTCATGTATATACATGTCTGTACATCTGTATGTTTGTCATATAAATAATAATAATATAAATATTAATAATAAACAAATAATCCTGGACAATTAACATAGCGCCATCTAGTCCTACGGTAAGCAGAGCTTGTGGTATGGACTAGACAACTTAAATAAATACTTCGATTTTTTGTAAATATATACATAATACACATAGAAAACACCCAGATCGATACAAAAAAAATCATACTCATGTTTATACTGATGTTGTTTGAACTGATATGTTTGCACTGAGAGAGGAATCGAATCCGCGACCATTAGAAGTAAAATGGTGTGCTAAACCACTAGACCACAGAGGCCGTCAAAAATAAATAATAAAAATAAAAAAAAGGTATAAATCAATAAAATCTACAGTCGACACCTATGTGACACCTATAGGTAAATATAAAAAAAATAAACAACACTGTGTTTTTGAGTAAACAAAAATAATGTAATACGCATTTCGAATAACAATAATTTAAGTCGTATTAATTGTAAATTCATAATAAGTATAATTGTATTATCGCAGTTTATTAATCGTTTTTTAAAACCAACCATAAATCTAGCTTGATATGTTATATGTTAAAATATTTCCTTGGTACTTCGCACAAAAGTGATAAAACTTGTACTTCCTCCAACAGAAGCGATAGTAAATTACGTAGTAAAATATAATTACTAGTTATTGAGACTCAATGATTTGTAATTATGTAACGATTTTCTATACAAAAAAGATGTAGAGCGCAGGGGTCGGTGCAGCCAACCATAATGGTTATTAAATGCGCAATATGAAAGTATAATAGTACCTATATTATAAAAATATATTTCGTGACAAACTATGACTTTGTTATCGGGATATGTTTATATATTTTTATCCATACAATTTTTTTTATTTTCTTTATACCACTACTGATAGGTCTAGTCGATTACCTCTTCGTGGCGAAATCACCAAGAGTTTAGTACGATGGTGTCTACGCCGAAGCGCTTGGCGGTGAACCTGACAAGGGACAATGCCAACAATGGGGTCACAAGTTCCCATTACTAACAATTCTCTTCTATTGGATACTGATATTGTAAATGCGAAAATAGATCTGTATATCTGCTGTTTACTTTCTGTCTCTTCAAGAATAAACGATTGACTCTTATTGATTGGATCTTAATGAAATTTTCCGTATGATACGGCAAATTTCAAGCCGATATAAAATAAGTAGTATTTAAAACAAAATGTAAAAGTTTTAAAATTGGCAAAACCAAGGTTCCCACGTGGACGACTTTATACAAAGAACATTATAATCGAAAGAAAATTATTTAATATAAATAATCATTTACATGCCGTCATATTTAAGCAAAATATATGATCAAACAGGCTTTAATTAAATTTTTATGTAATTTCAAGATCTACTCGTAACAATTAATTATTTCTGTTTAAAAAACCGACTAGTGTACCACAAAAAAAAATGCTGAAAATAGGTTTCTATCTTTTTTTATATTAATTATCTAATTATATATCTATGTAATTTTCCGAAATATCAAGTTGTGACGACGGAACTGATGTACAATTTCCCATAACTAGATTAGATTTGAAGAATCATTATTTTACTTACCACCTTTTCTTAACACATCAATGAAAGACATACTGCTTAAAAGAGATTGTCATTATTTATTCATATTTATTATTATTATTATATTCGTTACTTTTCCTGTATTATTTATATCTTGTCGTGATTTTTTTATGTAATTGGATTAATGTAATGGTATAACTGTAATTACTTTGTGGTAATGTGATACCACTCATGCGCTGCTTTAATGAGGTATAAGATATCATGCTTTTTATCCCGTAAATTCACTACCTAATTGTACTCTACAAACAAAACACGGCTTACAGTGCAAGCTACTCTAATGAAATAATAGATGAGATAGAATAAATTTAAAATTCCATTAGAACATTTTAGTATATGTTAAGAAACACATAAACTATTATATATACAAACCTAGTAAAGGGTCAGACAGTCAACAGACGATTAAAGTATGTAATATACGACAAAAGGAATTAAAGTCATAAATTAAGATTTATCTTATAATTTATGAATATAATCCAATTCTGACTTTAAATAATTAAAACAATTAAAATTCGTTATGTATTGAGTCACGGAAAAAGATTTGCTAAGTAGTTATGGCAAAAAAGAGCTACTGCTCTTTTTTGACTGAGATGCTATGCCATTTTTTTTTTAATGGCATTGCACCTCAGTTTTTGGTAATGGCAATTAACATGAAGCCTCATACCTAAAGTTATAGTTAGTTATTCGTTTTTGTGATGTCTGTAGTAATATTGTTCTAACATAATACTTATCATATTTCACCACCATGTTTACTCTGTCTAATCTCAATTATCGAATACAATCTAATCCAATTTTACTATTCTTTTGAAACATAATAAAGACTAAATTGAATAAATCGATAACAATGTCAGGTAGTACTTTATGGACTTAATAAGATACCAGTATTTAATTCAATAGTATAAAAATGTGAGACAATTCTATCGGACGTTTTTTTTCCAGAGTAGACCGCCAGATAATTGCCAGTTTGTGATTTCAGTAACTGAAATTTATAGTTAATAATTAATTTCCTCAAACAATAATTATTTGTGTGACATTAATTAAAGAGTTTAAAGAAATACAATGCTATATACTTTGGATACATTATATGTGTTATTTAACCCCAGTTTCCCTTAAGACGCGTACTTGAAATCATTGAATGACAATTGACAAAAATTATCGGTTAGTAATTAATAATGCACTTGATAAAAAAATAGTATATAACGAAGAGAATATGTTATCGTTGTATAGTGATTTCTAACACGTAGACGGAATTACACTCACCAAGAATGAAGATCGTACTCATCACGGCTGCCGTTCTTGCCGTGGCTATCGCTGGTCCAACAAACCGGGTCCATGTTGCAGACGTGCCTGAACCTGCTCCCATCGCTAGCGGCCCCGCCTTAGTCGATAATCTGGAGCCCATTATAGTAGGCCCTCCTAGTATCGAGCCTATCATTGTTGCTCCTGTCCTTGTTGACAACTACCAACCCATCGCTAACGGCCCTGCCCTGGTCGACAATCTAGAGCCCATTGTAGTAGGCCCTCCTAGTATCGAGCCTATCATTGTTGCTCCTGTCCTTGTTGACAACTACCAACCCATCGCTAGCGGCCCCGCTCTGGTCGATAATCTTGAACCCATCGTTGTAGGTCCTCCTAGTATCGAGCCTATCATTGTTTCTCCCGTCCTTGTTGACAACTACCAACCCATCGCTAGTGGCCCTGCCCTGGTCGACAATCTAGAGCCCATAGTAGTAGGCCCTCCTAGTATTGAGCCTATCATTGTTGCTCCTGTTCTTGTCGACAACTATGAATCCATCGCTAGTGGCCCCGCCCTGGTCGATAATCTCGAACCTATTGTTGTAGGCCCTCCTAGTATCGAGTCAATAATAGTAGGCCCCGCCCTTGTCGACGGTTTCGAGCCCATTGCAGTTGGGCCAGCTCTTGTTGATAACCTTGAGCCAATTGTTGTCAGTCCTCCTGTCGTCGTTGGACCGCCTGCCGTCGTTGGACCACCAGTCATTGACAACTTTGAGCCCATTGCTGTCGGCCCTGCTCTTGTAGACAACTTTGAGCCAATTGTTGTCAGTCCTCCTGCCGTCGTTGGACCGCCTGCCGTCGTTGGACCGCCTGTCGTCGTTGGACCGCCTGTCATTGACAACTTTGAGCCCATTGCTGTCGGCCCTGCTCTTGTTGACAACTTTGAGCCAATTGTTGTCAGTCCTCCTGTCGTCGTTGGACCTCCTGCCGTCGTTGGACCGCCTGTCATTGACAACTTGGAGCCCATTGCTGTCGGCCCTGCTCTTGTTGACAACTTTGAGCCAATTGTTGTCAGTCCTCCTGTCGTAGTTGGACCGCCTGCCATCGTTGGACCACCTGTCGTTGTTGGACCGCCTGTCATTGACAACTTTGAGCCCATTGTTGTCGGCCCCGCTCTTGTTGACAACTTTGAGCCAATTGTTGTCAGCCCTCCTGTCATCGAGCCTGTCATCGTGGGACCACCAGTTATTGACAACTACGAGCCCATCGCTGTTGGCCCTGTTATCGTTGAAGACAACGAGTCTGCGGCCAATCCATCTGCCGTTCCTGGAACCGCTTCTTTAGTACAGATTATTGTGAATGTTTAATAAGCCAAATAAATGTCATACGAGTCAGTCATGAAATCAAAATACAAAATAAACATTTTATTACTAATTTGTTTACATTTTTTTTTCATCTCTTAATCCATAAATAGATATAAATATTAAGCTTTAGTGATATGTAGTAATTATGTAATATATTTTAAACTAAATTGATCTAGAACTGAAAAAAGGTTTTTCTATCTATATGTCATCTTACTAAAGTTAAATAAGAATTTTATTAATGCAGTTCATGTTTAATTGCAGAGATACATTTATTATTTAATTAAATTTTAATACACAGCAACAGAAAGATCAAAATTATATTAATATTTTAAATTAACTGTTTAGCTTACTTTTATTATATAGTTTGTGTAAAATATTCTATCATTTATTAATTAATAAACCATAAGCATCTTACTTCTTAGATAAAAATTGTATTTTTTACTGTACAGCACAATTTATTTTTTTTAACTATGTATGCATAATAAGTATGCATTTATAAATTGTAATTACTGTTATAACATATATGACAATTTTTTGTATTAATTAGTTTAATGCTCTTAATACTAGGACATAATCTTTATGTATAATAGATTCGACTCATGTCCTAATATATTGTACATTATTGTCCTTCCTGCCGTTTTCCCTATGAATTTTAACTTATATACGAATTCATAATTTAAAAAAAAGTAGATTTTAAAGTTCTAAATGAGATTAATAAATGGTATTTTAACTGAAATTGAAGTGATTTGAATCTGACGAACCTAACAGTACCCTAAGTCATGCTATTAAAGTCAGTAACTGACTAATAAATTATTATTTAAAAAATTCTAAATTATTAAAAGACGATAACCAAATAAACTGTTTTTTCAATTGAATGGTAATGAATGTTTGAAAAATATTTATTATAATACCCAATGGGGTAATCAGACAGACTACGCTATGGTGAACAGAACCTGACATGGATATAGATATGACTTAGTTTTATTTCGACTTCTTAGTGGTAATCAAACATTCTCTGAGATATCAACAACTTTAGATAATAAAAACAATAAATTTGTTGAATACCAAGTTTTTATCAACAAATACGTGACAGAATTACAACATCTTTTGTACGTCAGTAGAGCAATGTCTTTTCATTTTATCCCGCGTGGGGATCTAAATTTCATGTAAACGTGAAATAAAGTCTAATAAATTCTTCGTTTGTTTCTTTTCAATCCATTTTAAGATAAATTAAAACAGTTTATATATCATTATTTCAGGCAATACGAAATTGGTAAATCTCCATAAAGTTTAGGGGTAAATAAATTTCTCAATAATGGATCTGTAATTATTGTATTCTACAATATATATGTAGACATTTCGCAATGCAACAGTGCTTAAAGCAAAAATATTTATAAATACATACATATATCAGACTTGTTTTAAGCTTGTTTTTCTTTCAATATTTTGTATTTTAATTACATGACTATCAATAATGTTGCCCATGAAACGGCCTCGGTGGTCTAGCGGTTTAACACACCGCTTTACTTCCGATGTCCGTGGGTTCGATTCCTAGCGAAGTGCAAACATTTGTAATGATTGTTTGTATCGATCTGGGTGTTTTCTATAGATATTATGTAAGAATAAATATCTACACATACATATTACAAAAAAATATCTAAGTATTTAAATCAGATGTCTAGTACCCATAATATAAGCTCCGCTTACCGTGGGACTAGATGGCGCTGTGTTAATTTGTCCATTATTTGGGTTATTTATTTATTTTTATAAAAAAATTACCCAAATGTGTACTGCTGTCTAACTAAAGGCTAGCCTATATTGGACACTAACACACTGGACTTACATAGCTTTAAACCTACTATAAACATAATTTATGGTACCAACTTCTTCCACTTCATAATTACTTACTTGCTATTTAGTTAGGTTCGTAATGAAAATTTTATATGTTATTATTATTATGACTATAGTAATAACGACAAATGTCGTAGTAATGCATAGTTATTATATATTATAGTATATGCCATACCTAGTCATTTTCCAAAGCATATCAATAAATTAAAATATTGCCTAATTTCAAATCTTGCGGACTCGAAGTCTACTAACATTTCACAAGATTGAAATTTATAAGGAGTTTGAACAAATTAAAAATATTTATTGATTAAATTATATTTTATTCTTTCTCTGTTCAAATAGTAATACAAAAATATATCCCATTGTTGCAGATAAAGATCTCCGTATCCATAGGAAACTTTTGAAATAGTTTGAATATAATTGCTTATAAATGGATAAGCTGGTTGTTTCCATATATGATGTAACACAGTTATAGACAATAAATGCTTACATAATTTTTTTCAGCTTAATTTTTTTTAGTTAGTTTTTCACGAAGGTCAATGTCGAATGCAAGTCGAGATGGGTCAGCATGGAAGACGGGATCGATTGGGAGAGGGGAAGAGTCCACCACATTCACAGGGTCATCAATGGCTGGGGTGTTTACAACCTGTACGGGATGAGCCTCCTCGATATGATCACTCTCAGAAGCGCTGTCCACAATCTGAACGGACTCAATGGTTTCTGGCAGAATATCAATATTACGGGGAATAGCTATAGCTCCATACTGAGATGGCTTGATGTTTAAGATGATCTGAACCAGAGGAACGCTGTTGTATTGAATAGGCTTGTCGATGATGGCTGGTCCAATTGAGATTTGTTCATAATTATCAATGACACCGGATTTAATATTATTTGGTGATGGTTCATCTACAAGAACTGGTCCAACAGCAATAGGTTCGTAGCTGTTGTTGGAGCCAACTGCACTGGCCTCGAAGTTGTCAGTTGTTCCCATTGCAATGGGTTTCGGAAGAATGCTGGGAGTAAGTCCATCAGTGGCCGATACTCCGACGCTGGCAGGAACATTCGGTTCTAGACCAGTCACCTCAGGAACAACCAAATCAGGTTGAACGGGGCCACCAATGGCCACGGAGAGAATTGCAGCAGCAATCAGAACGAATTTCATATTTGCTGAAAAGAAATATATTATCATATAGCAATCTCAACTAATATACAAATAATAAAAGTATTACCACTTGTTAACAAGTAACTAGTTATATATGAACCACGGAGTCGTTGTCACCTACAAAAATCTCTGTTTGCATTCCTTGACAAGGTGAAAATAATGTACAATACTAAGTTCTTTAAAAAAATAATATTAAAGTACAGAGTGCAGATATAAAAGCGACTACTGTGTTTTATGATTTTCCATTCTTAAATCCTTGTCTCATCTCCGTAACTTCAGTTGTACCATAAAGTGAATGAAGAAGAATATATATATATATACCTATATGTAAATGGAAATTACAGGATATGTTGCACGATATCCTACACCTTTGGAATGGCGACGCATGAGTTGAGTCGCGGGTGTCACGGGATAACGTGATGTCCGTAGTGATTCATGTATATAGGTCCCATTTACAGCTTACCATCAGGTCGTCTGCTTGCTTGCCATTCATATTAGGAGAAATTGACACTGATACAACGTAACTGAACCACGTTCAGACTCACAGTCGTTCACTCGCTGACGTCTCGTTCCTACCTAAGTAAGGTAAAGGGCCATATTATGGAACATTGTACTAGTTTATAGTGATAAAAATCTGAATTACAAATAATTTCTAACGTATTCAGTATTTATAATATTATCTTTATGATCTTTAATAACCTATTTATTGATTAAATTAATTTATTTTGGTAAACACCTTAAAATGTATAGAAAAAAAAATAGTGAAATGCACGTGTCAGGTTGCATGAAAAAAGACTGTCTTTTAGAGTTAGAGAATGACAGGTGTCATCACAATTGTTTTAACAATTTGAAATATTTGTCAATGATTCAAAAATACTTGAAACATGTTAATCAAAAGTTTGACTTATAATCTATTGATTGATAATGAATTTAAAGTACTTTAATAAGGTATTTATTTTTTATTTAGGTGTTTCATAATTGCCGCAAAAATTTCTAAACAGACCGTATTTATGGAACAGTATATTCAATGTTCCACATCCCCCTCACATTCGATTTTCTAAGTTGTCCGTAATTATGAAACAGCAATAAGTGGACAATATTTAGTTAATTTCGTGTTAATCATTGTTAATGAATTATAACAAAGCAATTTACGTTAGAACAGTTTATATTTATAAAAATTTGCATTTAGATAAGTACATAGATTGTAAATTTCCATGAAAATAAAAAACTAACCTCAAAAATGAATAAGCTGGATGATAAATATTGTTTTATGTTAATTAAAACATATGCTTAAGTGGAAAACCTGCCTGAAAAAATTAATAACACTTTATTTTATTCAAAATTTTTACGAAGCACCTACATATCACATTTTTATAGATGTTTTTAAATTAATATTTTTTGTAGGTAGATACATTTTTTTTATTGAATTTGATATCTTTATTCTATAGACTTGTTTTATATTGTTATTATTAATTTTGATTGTTTGGTATAATTTTTATAATTTGATATTGGTTGGTTTTCATGAAATAAATAAACTAACTGTCAAAGAAGTGACGTTGGTAAATTTTAATTTTTAGAGAAAGAACAGAACAGTAAGAAAATAATTTGATTAATAATCAAGTCGAATGATAAAACTAATGATTACATGACACTTAACAATGATTGTCATTCTTCTAATAAATATTCTCCTCTGATAAATACCAGTACCCAGTCTCAACAAAGCGGCCATTCCTGAGGTAATTACTGTATGAAATTATAGTATAAAATGAACCTTTAGATATGGTTACTGAAGCTCATTCTGGTATTAATGAAAGTAGTAATTTAAATTGACTAAATTTAACTAATATTTTGTTAATATAAATTTAATATTGTGCGTAATGTTGGTGATGAATTAATATTTGAGTTGAATTTGAAGTCAAGAAAAAATGGATTAAAGTTGAGTCATCAGGTAAACTCAAACTACCTTCTGCTGGCATATCTGATCAATGGATGCAATATGACTCAAAAAAAGAAACTGAAGAAGAAAAAGTAAAACTAAAGAAGAAAAAACATAAAAGAAAACAATTACTTAATGAGAAAAAAGTGATAGCTGATGAACGGAAAAAGCTACTAGAGAACTCATTACTACAAAGTATCAAAGAAGAAATGAAATAGTTGAATTTTTGGTTTAATTTAATGTATATTTGGTTTTTATATCTTGTTTATTAATCCTAAGATTTGAAACTGTTCTTGTCATATTTACTTTGTAAGTGAATATTTATTTATTGCTTGTTTATTCGTATAATTTTTAAATCTAACTGTATTAATAATTAATAATAAAACTTTTGATACTATGAATAAATAAATTAGTAACTGAAAAATGTTTTTAATGTGAGTACTTCAGTTCATTTTGAGTTCCATAATTTGGGACATTCCCGATGGAACACCCGTACGTGTTGCTTTAGACTGTTTCATAAATACGGCCGTATGTACTTGTCTGTTATTTTATTCAATTTATTAGCATTTTCAACTAAAACTCACTTGATAATAATTATTATCACTTCAGTAGATATCAGGCAAACTATTAACTTAGAAAAATTCAATGTTTCAACTCTATTTTTTTTAAACAATGTAAAATATTCAACTCCTATCAAAAGGTGTTTCATAATATGGCCCTTTACCTTATATCTCTATATAAACTACATCTGTCTCTCATATTAAAACTTTGAATAGCTTTTCTTTTAGCTTTAATGGACCTAAAAGTAATGGTCATAAATTTTATTGCGAATACATTATATATGTATACATTTACTCACCAGATATTTCGTTGCAATCAAACACACTGTGATTTGAGACGAGATTATAAATCTTATATACCCATTGTTTATCACATAAATCGGAATATGACATGTAATTTATTGATAAAATTCCTAGATATGTTACGTTTTAATCCGAAAATAACTAAGACACACTTGAGATGAGAGACATTATCATTATATGTAAAAGGAGGTAGGTACTTAAATAAAGAAATAGTAACCGGAAATTTGATATGAAAATTGGTAAATTATATTGGTATGCGAATTGTAAATTTTATTTAAACTTTAAGAGAAATGTCACAAAGTATTTCACTTAATTTGATGTAGCTCTATCATCATTATTTAACAACATATATTGTGAAAATTTGTTTCTAATATTTATAACCCTTCTTACGTGTACCTTGACATACAAATATATACGATTATATTATCTGTAAAGTCGATGCAAGGAACAATGAAAATAATGAAAATGATTATAAAAATGTAATCAAAACACTACACTAGCTTTTCTACCTTGTCCATGAAACAGTTCGTGACCACAGCTTGTGCAACCTAGTCGAACCGTCGTCGAGAGAGTTAAGGAATAGCTTATCTAAATTGGCGGTAAGCTCTATACTGGAATGAGAAACCAAGGCTGTATTATGTATTACACAAATGATCTGGTTGGGCGGGGACAGCAACCTGAGTGGATATGTGTAAATATTGGAAAGGGACCTTTATACAGGGCGGAAGCTTTAGCCCAGATTCTTATGACTTATGACAAGAGTGTAAGTTATACCCGTGTCACAAATCTCTGGATCTGTGAATTCATAAAATGCTAGGAAGTTCGCCTCTGTATTATACACTTTTTTACACATTTCTTACAGATTAGTTAATATGCAGGTAGGTTAATGGAACATAGTTAGTTTCAATAGATTAAAATAATCCCGAGATTCTTTTTGAATGATAAAATCGATAGTTAGTCACAACAATTAATGTGAATTGTTGTGACTATCTGTTTGTTACCAGTTTTCAGGACAAAACGGCTGAGCGAATCAGATTGAAATTTTATTATACTAATATTAAAAATATTATTATCGTTTCAAATAAAGCAGACGTGTACTACGTTTTTTAATAGATCATTATGGAATGGTCGCCCAGCCTGCGCTAACGATATACGCTGGAGCATCAGTGGAGGTGAGCGTGAGGTCAGCTCAGTTAGCCCATTGTGGCAAATTCACCAGAAATTTATCACGATAGGTTCCAGCGTACATGTGGGTTTTTTTTTTTATTTGTATAGTAATATCTGCCGCTTCTTTTGTGGTGACATCCTTTTGGCCTATTTTTTTTTATCCTGCAGATGTGTTCTATTGTTTTTTTTATTATTATTAATATTCGTAATACCCATTTACCTGTGGGTTACATCTAGTAACATAAATAGTTTTTTATCTGTTTGTAGTGTTTTTAAGCCAGACGATATAGACCATCAAGAGGACCCAAGCTTAAAAATATCTGGTCTAGAAATAAAGCAGAGGTTGTTAGGTAATTGGACATAATTATTTGTTAGTTACATATCTTTAAACACAGGGACAAAGAATCAATTTCCAAAACTTCATGCTATGCGGTAAGATATATAAAAGTTATGAAGATATTTTTTACATAACTAAATAAAGATTAAAATAATAAATATGGTATTAATACAGATAAGAACAAATTAATGAATTTACTGGTCTTTATAAGTTTTCACGCCAAAATCTGTTTTAATGCACATCTCGTGTGATAGACAAGGACAGACATAGTTCACAATTTAAGGCCGAGAAGAGCCGGGTACACCCAAACCTTGGAAGAAAGTTGCCAAAATTTTATTTTGAATGTGCAGTAACTAGTTATTTTATAGGTTTGTAGATATGATAGTTATTGGTATATAATATTTATATTATCACAGATTGTTGTGATAACATCAAGTATATTTACAACTAACTGTTCCCGCGACTACGTCCGCTTGGAATTTAACTTTATTTTTCTAAAATTAAAGTACCTTAAATTACTCCTTATTACATCAGCTACCTGCCAAAAAAAGTCTCGTCAAAATCGGTCCAGCCATTTCAGAGATTAGCCGGAACAAACAGACAGACAAAAATTGTAAAAAATGTTATTTTGGTATATGTACCGTATTTACATATATTCATATGCATGTACCTAGTAAAAAACTGTTATTTCAATATTACAAACAGACACTCCAATTTTATTTATATGTATAGATAGTTCACGAAACCACACACGTTACCGATATGCAGATACGTGTCTGAGGTATATGGAACCTACAGATGAGCAGTCTACGACTGTTTATATAAATTTTTAATTTCACCCCACTCTCCTTCCAGGTTATAGAAAAAAGATTTGAGATATAAAAAATAAGTATTTCCTATTTTCACAAACACATTTTTTTCACATTTGTTCATGTATTTTAAAAGTATTAAAAGGTATGCAATGTGTTAAATATATTAATAGTGAAAAGGTAACTAACAGATAGATAGACAAATTTTTGCAATTGTAATATTAGTAAGGATTATTATCATAAACCCACTGTAATTGTAAATCATGATATACAATATTAAAATATTACAACTTGAGCATAGATATCTGTACTTGTGATAAAGTCTTAACCTATAGAAGGAGGGGGGCAGGGGCTTGTTAGTAATATGGCTTAGATAATTACCCCATCATCATCATCATCGCAGCCCGGAAGACCTAATTACCCCATTGCTGGGGGGAAGGGGATTGTTAGTAACGTGGACTCATGACCCCATTACTAGCAATGTACCATGTCAGGTTGACCTCCAGGCGGTTCCCCCTGGAAACCATCGTGATAAATTCCTAGTGAATTTGTCACGATAGGCTAACTGACCTGACCTCATGTTCATCGTATCATCCTCCACTGGTGCCCCGCCAGCGTATACCGTTAGCGCAGGCGGGTGTACCATCCATAAAAAAAATTACCCCTTGCATTTGCTAACAATTTACCAAGTTAGGTTGACCTCCCTGGAAACCATTTTGATAAATTCCTAGTAGATCTGACACGATTGACTAACTGACCTGACTTCACGTTAAACATGTTATTAAAATCTTTCAAATAAAAACTTGTATTTAACTAGATATCAGTATTATTAACTATACACTACACTACAAATCAAACCCTTACCTCTACTGTACCTGTTAAAGAAAATTATCTGAAGTACAAAGCATTGCACCTTTAAAGTTTATATATAGTAAAAACTGCTGAAAGATAACAGTTTTTAAACTAATGCATAATTAAAAAAATATATTACAAATGCTACGTTTGTCGCACACATACATATGTAGGTATATGTAAGATTAGTCTATGAGAAAACAACTTTAATTATGATCAAACTTATTAAAATTAATTAGGGTCTAATTTTGACTACTCGTGATTAACACTAATTGTATTTATTATTCTACTAACTATGCCCGCGGTTTTATTCGCGACTATATTTTATTAATATAAAATATAGCCTATGTGTTATTCTGATGCATAAGCTATATTACTGAAAAGTTTCATCAAAATCGTTACAGTACTTTTTGCGTAAAAGAGTAACTAACATCTTTGTATTTTTTTAAATTCGACACAATAATTATTGTTATGAATAAATAAATAAATAAATATGTACAAACTAATTAATTAATATTATTAAGATGATTGAAGCACAGATAACATAATATTTTGAAGTAATTTGACATTGAAATGCAGACAGTGTTATTATATTATCCTATATGTGGTGCTACCAAATTGTGTTATGCAGATTGTATGCACGATTTTATACTAGCAATAGTTAAATATAAATCGCGTATTGAGGATAACTAACAAAAAAATATATGCATACATAATAAAAAACAAAACAATAAGCAATAATAATGCAAATAATTTACATGAAATTATAGAAGAAATTCATTGTGACTAGCAGTGAATGTATTAATCTGATTATTTTAAGTAGATGTCATAAAACTTAAAATCCATGAAATATAAGATATAGATAGTTAACTGATAGTATTCGTTTGTTCTATTATAATATTAGGCAGGTAGGTATCTCTTAATAAAAATAAATGAGTAGGTAATAAGATTGATTTATTTCTAATTCATTTGATTTTGATGTATAATTCAAACTACATACAGATCATGATTACATGCTATGGTCATTTCAGAGTAAATCACGACGGTGAATTACGCAGGTAGAAATAAATTATTAATATTATTTAATTTAGTGAAGTTCAGCGGGGAGGGTGATGACGGGGGAGGGAAGCAGAGAGGGGATGTCGATGATCTGGACGGGCTCACCGACGGCAGAGCCAGACTGAGCCTGGTTGATGTTCAAGATGATTTGAACGAGGGGAGCGCTGCTGGATTCAGGCTGGGCTTCAGGGGTAAGTTCAGGGGTGGGGGGAAGGACGACTACGGGAGGCTCAACGACGGGGGGGAGGACGACGACGGGAGGGTTGACGATGGGAAGCTCAACAACGGGGGGGTTGACAACGGGTGGGCTGACGGGAGGGTTGACGACTGGTGGGCCGACGATGACGGGAGGAAGGACGACGATGGGTTCAGGAGCAGGGGAGAGCTCGGGGAATTCGATGACACCGGGTCCAACGACGATGGGTGCAGGGGGAACTCCGACGGGTGAGGAAGGCTCCTCAATGACGGGGGGTCCGACAACGACGGATTCGATTCCAAACAGTTCCTTCAGCTGCTGTTGCAGGAGAGCGGCGGTAGCGGGGTCAGTGGTTGGGCTCTGGACGGCAGCGATAATGGCGGCCAGCTGAGCCTCGTCGGAGGCACCGGGTCTGTGGGCCGGGCTGGCAACAGCCACGGCTACCAAAGCGACAACAGCGACGAAAAGTTTCATGTTGATTCTGAAATTAAATTGCATATATTTAGAACACTGCTGTATTTAACAAAAATTTAAAATACTTAAGATTCCTTATCATCATGATGTAGCATTAAATTTTCTACGTGACTGCAAAATGCAGCGCAAAAAGAAATTTATGAAAAATATTATACAAACTACACCTAATAAATGTTAAATATATAATATATATATATATTTATAATGACTTACTTTTTAGTGAGGTTTAATCCGACTAATGGCTTTGAAAAATTTGACCCCACTTTTATACAAATTGTCTGTAAAGTATCATATATCACGGGGATCATTGTAAATCATTGATTGTGATAGATAATTGTTACACTTTTATGAATTAAATCTTAATTTACAATCGTTGGATAAGATTAGTACTTAACACATGCTGCCTCAATGAATAATTACGTAGACACGACTTTATGGCCATTCACTCTGTATTTAATTAATCTAATATATTTCATAGATATTATATTACACAGATAGGATATTACTCATAAAGTTGAAGGCGTAAATGTAATATTTAAAACAAAAGAAATATATTAACGCGTCTATAATGTTTGTTACTCACATAGGTACGAGATTTTTAGTATAATATACATACAATGCTACATAAACGTCCAAATAAGTAAAACATGTCATTAAAGTTTAACAATTTAATTCAATAAAGACGAGACTTGGACTCCTTACTCCTCAAGTTAATTTAAATAAATCCTATAGATATCCAATTATTCTGGTACCAGCATAATGGACTGAAATGCAAAGAGCTAATTAATATCTTTTTTAAATTTTATGTGATCAAATAATGATTATTTTATACATTATTTATTACTATATGAATTTTATTCCTACATTTTATAACTAGTCTTAAGTGTTAAAAACTAGTCTTAAATTATCTTCAATTATATAATAATTTTTATTAATATAGCAGGGTAATTATTACACAAGACAGGACATCAAGAAATTAGTCCTTCATCATTGGTCTTCTACGTGAAATGTTCTTTTGGAAGCTAAGTATTTTTTCACTTGCTAAGTATCGTTTCACTGTTTAATAGATTTTTTAATAATGAATAGTTTTCTGAAATATGCTCCACTGCGTAGCAATATAGCCGTTCCTATCTCATCAGTAAAATGAGGATGTTGGTAGCAGGTGTATATATACCCATAAGTGTACTATGTGCCTAACAGTTCAAGTATTTCGAACATATTAAATCCTGCATGACATTTAGGTCTAAACTCATCATTTTAGAACCCTGATCCTACTTTTTTGATACTAGAACAATTCTAAAAACTTGAAATTTCAAACAACACATTATTCTAACTTGAAATTTCATTCTACACATAAATATTCTCTTATTTATTACAATTAAATATCGAATATCCTTGTTAAAACAACATATCGGTAATATGTACCTAAATGTTGAATTTTATGTACCTTACATGATCAATATCTACACTTACATGATCTTTGTGACATTTATTTACAAAGATTTAGATAATTTTTTAAATTTGGATAAGAAGTCCAATAGTCTAATACTACGTGAGGGCGGATTTATGCAGTGTGTCGTAGCGATTAAACATTATTATAAAGACATTCATTTATGTAGATTAATTTATAATAAGTATATCAAGCTGAACTGGATTAAATTAAATTACTAGATACAAGGCATGACATCTTAGTCCTTTTGAACGCCAAAGCTTGAGTACCACGGGTGTTATATAGGCATATGCCACCCAATTCAAGCGGGGATCGAAATTACGACGGTCTGAGCCAAGTTTCCTTAGCAGTACCCTCAGACTAAAGTCATATCCGTCAGGCGGGAGTTGGCCTTCAGTCGCTCCACAAGTCCTTCCGCGGGTCTGGACTGAAATCTGCACTCACCCACTACCGTCCGGTGAAGCTGTAAAGGCCAGCTAAGGCCAACAGCTTTAGAGTAGTCCGAAAAAAAATAACATCAGGCGGGTCGTCTGTTTGTTTGCCATTCTAAGTACATATAAATAGGAAGTATTACTTAATATTTATGAATCTGTAAAATCCATATGTCCAATCAAATCTAGGCCTCATAATCTGGTGTCAGAAATAACTTTATATATTACATAAATTGTTAAAGAAATAATTAAACTAACCATAACGTCAAATATTATTGTATTCTCCATTCGATAATACTATTCAAGCTTTTTTCATGTTTAAGGCTATATATGTGAGGGCTCAACCTGATAAATTGGCCTCAGAAGCTACAGATACACCAATGTTTGTATATTCTTCAAAATACCAAAATAGTGGCATCTCTTCCAAGAAAAATATTATTTTTCTAGTGTATTGTAGTCATGCTCACTAAAATGTACTTGTGAGTGGTGATATGATTCTGGCTCATCCGTCATAGGGACTGGTCTGCTCTAATCACTATGACTGATAGTCCGCTTATTAATTGTTTAACCAGTTGGTTATATATTCAATATTTTTTCTATTTGAGTATTTAATTGAATTAGTACTAATTGGTGGTTTGTATTCACACACTTAAACTTAAAAATGTAAAGTAATAATAAAATTATATATACGAGCGGTAGATTAAAAAAAAATGTAATATATAAGTTTATTTGAATAAATGATTTTCTATTCTTTCTATTCTATTCTAAATAGAATGACATTTTAATATATATTAACTCATCGTGGTGATTGTGGTTGAAATTAACCATAATTAAATTATATACTATAGACAAATAATCAATCCAAACAATATTATATTTATGTTTAACAATATACATAGAAAAATATTATTTTTCTATATAAACTGTAAGTGTGAGATATTTCGTACTCATCCGTCCGCATAGTCCGCAAGTTTCGTATAATGTTTTGCTCACGTATTAATATATACATATATAATTATTAAAATAACATTTAATTAACCTAACATCTATATAATAGCTTCATTATTTTTATACCTGTTTGTAATACTGAAATAACAATTTTTCCATTACTACATGCATATGAATATAAATACGATACATACACCAAAATATTTTTTTTTACAATTTTTGTCTGCCTGTCTGTTTGTTCCGACTAATCTCTGAAGTGGCTGGATCGATTTTGACGGGACCTTTTGGCATGTAGCTGATGTAGGAGTAACTTAGGCTACTTTTATTTTATTAAGATAAAGTTAAATTCCACCGTACGAAGTCGCGGAAACAGCTAGTAATAAATAAATCAGAAAAGTCAATCATAATAAATGATGTAATATGTATATTAATATATTTATATATATTTAAATATATATGTATGTACATATACAAATGACTGTATATATATTATTAAATCCTTATTGCATATAAATGCACGCATCAAAGATTAACTGGTACTGAATGGCATTAGGTACGTCATTTCATTTGTCAATAAAATGTAATAAAAATTACAGATAATATAACATAATCACTTATCATTTAAGTAATTCAGCATATATCTCTATATTTAAATATAATTGTTCTAACTGACCCATTAACCTACACCACAGCATAAACATATTATACATAGTTGTCAACACCCTGACTATATCTGCTTATTTAAATTAAAAATATCAGTGATCATGGCGGTTGAAGTCTGCCGAAATATCGGGAACCCTATAAAAATAAAATGTGGTAACATTTCGTGGTTTTCCTAATTATACGTATAAAAATATCTTGCCTGTCCTCGTGGAACATTCCATATTCACATTTTTCATTAAGATCCTGCTTAGTCCTGAAAAGGAAACCTAAAAACTCATAGACATAATATCATATGAAGTCAGTCAGTTAATAAATAGCATACCTTCTCGAGATACTAGCTTCTTTAAGATTAGTAACGTCTATACGTTACTAATCTTAAAGAAGCTAGTATCCCGATGTATGTCTATACATACATCGCATTTATGATATTAGTATGGAATTCATAGGCATAACAATATTTTAGACTGCTGCCCCACCCTGTGGTGGGGCAGCAGTCTAAAATATTATGTAACTAGCAAACTATACCTGCCGTCTTACCCCGATATTTTTTCATACAAAACGATTACACCCTAAAGCACCCTGTATCTGCATGTTATTATTAGTGCCGACTGTCAAATATGAACTTTATGGATATTAAGTATCATAGTTAGTACTTCGATCATTTATTTTTTTAGCCTTGGTTAAGTATCTTACTAGTCAGAGCTTGGGTAGGGCAGGTGGGGCCTTACTCTGATCTACTGTGGCTGCTCCCGTAATCGAATTATGAATTAGCAACTATACAAGAACTTGCTAATGATGTTCATAAATATTAACATCATTGGCATATTTCATCAATACGGCGTCGGTGATCTAGCGGTTAAACACACCGCTTTACTTTCGATGGTCGCGGGTTCGATTACACGAACGGTGCTATCATTTGTATTCACAAGTACGATTATTTGTAACGATCAGGGTGTTTCCTATATATTTACAAAAATATACAAAATATCTAAGTATTTATATCAGTTTTCTAGTATCCATAATATAAACTCTGCTTACTGTGAGACTAGATGGCGCTGTGTTAATTGTCCACGATTTTTTTATTTTATTGGTATCTTGTACTTAATGTGTTAGTAGGCTTGAGAGTTGTTTTTCTTAACAGATGATAATGAAATGAAGGCTGGTGCTAAAACGTAACACCATGAAGGTAATCAAACATAGTTCTTGTTTCTTATACTTTATTCTTGTTCTTTACTAATTAATACCTTTTTTGTATTATCAACCAAAGCAAAATGGCAACAAATAATTATATTTTTTAAACATAATAACAATTGCCAATCGTGACCTCTTTTCGATTACGAGAGGTACCTTTACAATTTTACATAGTTTAGTTGCAGTTCATTATTTTTGCTATATTTATTTTCAAGGCAGTTTTTTATGAATTGAAATAGCAAAGAAGGTGACAGCTCATTAGATGGTAAGTGGCAACCGTCGCCTATACGAACTGCATCATGTGATGCTCTTGTGAACTGCATCATGTGAACTGCATCATGTGATGTGTATCCTTCACGCGTTGTCCGATGAACTGTGTTATGCCTTCGTATTCTATAATTTCACTGCCATATCCTTCAGCCAAAACCAAGTTTACAAGTTTATTAGCTAAAATATATGTAATATGTGATATAATTAGTATTTGAGACAGATACACGTAGACTAAATTGTAGAAAGTCTAAATTGGTAAAGTCGGTTATTTTAATATTAGTACCTACCTAGATGTGATTTCCAAAAAATGAAACACTGTTTGCATTGCCAAAGCATGCATGCGTTTTGTTTTTCAGTCTCGAGTCCCTATTTAAAGACAAAGAACCTCTACATCTCAGGTTTCAGCACTTTATGGAATTATTTTTAGAAAGATCTGAATGTTTTAGTTATTATTGTTTTTATGCCTTAATTTACGCATACCTTACGAAATAAAACAAAGATAGTCTGTGTGGATAACTTTTGAAGTTTTTTATGTTCAAATTTTCAAAGTTTCATATAAACCTATAAATCTAAAATCTAAACTATCTGTACTTACATATTTTAAAAGAAAACTCCAGAACTAATTCGTAAATTCAACTCGAAAGTTGTATTATTCCAGAGCTATTATAATCCTATTAACATTATAAACGCGAAAGTATTTATTGGATATTATTTTTGTGAGTATATAATAATATGGATGTTTGTTACTCTTTCACGCAAAAACTACTTAACGAATATTGATGAAACTTTACAGTAATATAGCGTATACATCAATATAACATAAAGGCTATAAATTACATGCGAGTAAAACCGCGGGCACAGCTGGTATGTAATATATACAAAGGTATATGCACCCGTGTGAAGCTACTAGTTAGTTAATATTTAGTTAGCAAACATATCTTGGTATTGTATTAGGTATGTGTATCTATAGAGTCCTATACTTAGTACTTTTAGTTACTACTACTAATATTTTATATGAAATACTTCAATAATTTTCAGAGTCTTTACCGCATTGTTGACACACTGAACATTGCACAAATATAGCTATAATACCTATTACAAGAATCTCTAATAATGTATTAGGCGTAGTAGTAGTAATAATGTATTAGCTTACCCAATTCTTATTAAATTGTATAGTGTACATGTACATAATTCCAAAAGGTTAGATCATGATATATTTGAACCATGTTTCATTCATTTACACATTCCTGTGAAGGAATTTATTTAGCAATATATATTCTTATTACTCAAGATATATACGTATAGAGTAGTTACCTACATATTCGATTAAACAAGGATCAGTAAGGGATGATGTATTAGTTAAGAAAATAAAAAGAAAAATATGTTTGGATTGCTATTTATTTGAGCATGTAATACAATATTGAAAACACAATCAAATTAGATATTTGACTATGAAATGTTTATCTATTGACACGTTTATATTTTTTAAGGCACGTTATGTACCATTTTGTTACATAATGTTGATATCCGGGATAATATGGGGTGACAGCGACTGTCACCTCATCAAGAACAACAAAACTTGTATGTTCTTAAGCCTGGTTGATGTTCAAGATCAGTTGAACGAGAGGAGCGCTGCTAGCCTCAGGTTGAGCTTCAGGGGCGGGCTGAGGGATGGGTTCAGGGACGGGGGGGAGGACGACTACTGGAGGATTGACGATGGGAGGAGTGATGACGGTGGGAGGGTCAACAACTGGAGGGTTGATGACGGGAGGGTTGATCACGGGAGGGGTGATGACGGGAGGGTTGACAACGGGAGGGATGACAACGGGGGGGTTGACAACGGGAGGGTTGACAACGGGGGGAACGATGACACCGGGAGGGGGGATAACAATGGGTTCGGGGGAAGGAGGAAGCTCGGGGAATTCAATGACACCGGGTCCAACGACGATGGGGTCGACGGCAAGGAGCTCCTGCAGCTGTTGTTCAAGGAGAGCGGCGGTGGCGGGGTCAGTCAGGGGGCTCTGGATGGCCTCGAGGATGGCAGAGAGCTGACCATCGTGCAAGAAGCGTGCAGGGCTGGCCACGGCCACACCCACCAAAGCAACGAGAGCTACGAAGAATTTCATGTTGAATCTGGAATGCAAATTATAACATCAGATTAAAATGTTAGTAACAATAATTAATGTACACTGTTACTACTTTTAAATATTTATTTTTATAGCCTGTTTTACTAAAAGTTGTTTTACTATATCACAAATTTCAAAGTACAAACAGATAAAAGAATAACAATATAAATAATGCGATGAAATCGGCAATAAATAATACTGCCTACTTAATATAAATTATGATAATCTAATCTTAAATGGCGGTAATAATATGAACATACCGATGACAATACATCAACATAACTATTTCATAAGAATTTCTACTTGCAAATTAAACATGAAATCTATTGTGGTATATATGTTAGCAAGGTACATATGTCATATTTACGTACTGAAACTGAAAATCTGAGATTAGGAATAGAAAACAAATGGATTACACAATTGATAGAAAGCGATTACTGGATTTATGGTCCTTAGAAGAAATAAGGGTTACATCTTTACATGACTTTGCTTAAATTTAAATTAGTATTTGAACTTTGAACTAATTGAAAGTTAGAAAGTTGCATTTAAAATTAAATGTATTTTTAAAAACAAACACAAAAACCTACTTTTAATGTTTTTTTAAATATTACACTTATGCTCTTTAAAGCTCAAGTTTCTTTATAGTCACTTGTAGCTTTATTAGAAGCTTTATTTGAAATTGAATTATCTATCACTGTTGAGTATTACTCATCAGTGATGATTGTGAGTTGATGATGATGATGAAATTAGTAAGAAAACCTTTATTATTATACTTACCGCTTAATAAAGGTCACTATTAAACTGATACCATTTACACATTTCGTTTGTCTTTTTATACTAAATACATTATCTTAATAATAAATAAGTCATAAATTATATTCGAAATAATACTTCATATCTTTATATCAAGGTATTATTTAGAATATAAATTATGACAGTAGGTTGTTTGGCGGTAACCAGTGGGGGCATTAAGGGGTAAATTGGATCTAACATGATAGGTTCTAATTCTGAGTTTAGAATTAATTTAAATTTCTTTTATGAAATTCTCTCTTTTTATATTTATTCATTTTATTTAATATAATTATTTCTAAATAGTACAGTAGGATTAGACTTTTCTTTTTCAATAAATAAATATTTTTTTTATATAAAATGAAATGCTTTTAAATTGCAAATTAACTAATAGCTCTTATTTGTCATAATGTAATAGCAAGGCAAATGCAAAATCGAGCCGGTGAAGCTTTTTCATTAAAATAACAACAAAAAAATTAATCAAAGTAATGTAAACAGTCAATTGACTTCAGTTTCTAGCATATGTGATAATGATGATGATCAGATTTTAATATTATAATAAAATTGATATATAATACCTTTATTTGTTAACCATAGTAGTCGGTTTTTTAAATATTATATGATCAAACAATAAATCAATTAACATGAAGATGTATTTATTTGAGACCATTCATAATATATCTATATTTTATACAATCGATAGTTTTCAGATATTATTCTCAGATATTACATAAGTAAGCGTTGTCTATACATACTATTAAATCTTTCCGCTTTGATACTGAACCCTAAAAATTATCGCTCAAGTTTTGATTACTTAAGCATATACATTATTACTGTAATAAATTATATATCTATCTATCAATTACTCCTTTGTCTTTGATGCAGGTGGTAAGTTAATACAAATTTCTAACGGTAACGTAACACAAGCATATACAAACAAACTGTATAATGTAAGTTATATTTGCTAATAATGTTTAGTTAGTTATAATATTTAATGTTAGACCTAAATGCCTTAACACGTACAGAATTTTAACTATCATTTGAAAAATAATAAATTCCATTCAGTTATTTGCCAGTTCTTCTCAATTGAATCTATCTCTAGACTGAACTGGACAGTAGGGGAAACTATAGAAATTAAAGAAATTCAATCTTTTCCAATATGATGATTTTTAATGTATTTATTTTAGTGTTTTGATCAAAATACTGGAAAAATAGTAATGTATAAAACGTGTTCTATACTTATAAACGAGTAAAATGTTCTACATGAATTGTCGATTTTTTTATTTTGATGTTAATGTTTTATAGTATACCCTTACATATTACCTAAAAATGTACTAAGGTTTTTTTGTGCCACACATACACTATATATCCGTTACCATTCTTATCCGTTATTATATGACGGCCTCGGTGGTCTAACGGTTTAGCACACCGCCTTGCTTCCGATGGTAGCGGTTTCACTTCCTCACACTGTACAAACATTTATATATATGACTAGGATTGTTTGTATCGGTCTGGTTGTTTTTTATGTATATATCAATATATAGTAGGTATGTATTTATGAAAAAGGTTTCTATGTATTTACACTTGTCTAATACTCATAACACAAGTTCTGCTTAGCTTCGGACTAGATCGCTCTATGTGAATTGTAGTAGGGTTGTTATTATTATGCGCCCCCGTACATTGTAATTTCACTGCCATGTCTTACCCTTCAAAAGAAAATAATCTCGATACAAAATAGTCAGCGTGGGTACCTCTGTCCCACCTATTTCTGCCGATAAGCGCCCTGCTTTATTATGTAAGTACTATTAAGGGATTAGTTATGGCAATGGAATTACAAGGTACGGATATTAGTCCTCCCAATGGCAATACTTAAGTAGGAGATTTACATAATCGTGGTCTATTTACAGTCAGGTGGATCGTGAGCTTCTTTGTCATTTCGCTTAAATTAGAATAATATAATAATAATAATCCGGGACAATTCACTGAGCGCCGTCTATTCCGAATCTAAGCAGAAATTGTGTTATGAGTACTAGACAACTGTAGAAATACATAAGAACATATTTCTTTGTAAATTTATACATAAGGTACATAGGAAACACTGAAACCAATACAAACAATCGTAGTCATGAATACAAATATTTGTACCATGCGAAGAATTGAACCCAAAACACACAAAGAGGGTCAATCAAAATCATTGTGGAATTGCACCGACTGGGTCTAACTTCTTGTTGTATGCCGCAACACTGATCACAGCGATGTAACTGTCCCGCCTACACTACGCACCAAGGGACAGGACATTGTCGACTATATCCGGACCAAGAGTAACCTGAAATAATCTAGTCAAAATAAACCAAAAAAAAATGGCAACTTAAATTCACATAGAGCTGAAAATTGGTTTAGACGTTAAATAAACAAATGAAATGTCAAAAATCCCCTTCGATAAAAAACCTTGGATAAAAAGTTTTGCAGAAGTAGGATCTAAGGGCATTTTATGACATTTAATTTGTAATGGTCTATTCAACGTCTATACCAATTTTCAGCTCTATGCGAATTTTGGCTAATTTAAATCTCTATTTTGACTGGACTAAAAGTGACGCAGTTAGAATTGAGACACAACACGAGCTTCAAAGCGTTTATGTCCCCGGTTTCTACCAGCATTCTGTCCATCTTCATGAAGCAAGACTACTGGCCGAAGGGAATGGTATATCGACGCTACGCCATAGTGAGTGTGGTGACCACAAAAATAGTATTAATATTTTATTTTATATATATGTTAGTCCATAAGGTTTATGGGCCAATATTTATCAAGTTAGTTATAATATTACCTATATGTACTTTCAATTAATGAAGTATATTTTAATATAAGATGTATTAAAATATCCTTTTTTATGACTATTTGTGTTTCAATATGATTTTAAATTAATTCAGTTTGTTTTTATATTACTTAGAAACTAAAATGCCTGTCTCGATGTAAGTGTCTTTTATTTTTGACCATAAAAAGACTTTGTATAAATCTTGTCTATCTCAAATATCTTTACAGCAATATTAAGGCAAATAGAATAGAAATCATTTATTCAAATAAACTTACATGATAAGCATGATGCATGCAACTCGCTCCTTACATGAGAGGTCAATCATCGCAGTATATGTCCTAAGGTCAGTTATTTACCATCTGGAAGCACTTTGGACTGTTTGCCATTCTAGTAACACAAAAGTCTTGGTGCAGTCTTTTTTATTAGTATATTTTTTAAAGACACAGTATTTTTAAACTAAAACTAAAACCTATAATAAGTGTTGTACTATGTGTTGTTGATTTATAACAATATGACAAATATTAATGGAATAGGTTGTATTTATACAAGACTCCGAGGGAGTTCCAATAAATTAAATTATTATAACTATCTCATGTTATTTTTTGTTCCATGCCCGTGAATTGTATAGGGTTGGGAGAATATTTTTTTATTCATTATTTTTTAATGTGTTTGGTTGTTTTTAAGAACGGGATACTGTTGTAACAGGCTAATTAAAATATCATTATTTTCTAAATAAGTATTTACGCTTACCTTGTGCTTACTTACTACTTATACTGTTCTTGTACAATAGTTTTTACTTCGCTTCTTGACAATCCTTCAAATAAATCTCCTATCCGAATATATTTCTTATATTGTTATTTGTATGTATATAAATATCAAAAATTGTAATAGAATATATGAAATGTAACATAATGTTATAAATTTAATGTAATATTTTATTGTTATGGTTTTTTAGTTCTCTATGACTTTTATTAGGAGCAGGTAAGAAGTTTATCGAGGAATCCTTCTTCGTGGTTTCCTCCCACCTAGACCTGTATGCAGGCTGTTTTTATAATGTGCCTATATTTCTACATTATAATAGAGGCCGGAACAATTTAAAGCACGATGGTTTCCAGGGTTTTGACAATTAGCAATATCTATTCCTAAATCTATCCTAATCACGAATATATATTTGATCTCCTACTATTTTATATAGAAGAGAAAATATCGTTAGTAATAGGGTCTAGTTGCTCAATTGCTAGCAATGTGCCACTTCAGGTCGAGTTTCACGCGGTTGCGGCATGAAAAGTACGTATCTAATAAATTCCTGGTAAATTTTATTTTCATTCCTTATTCATCCACGTAAAGTTTGTTGCTATATTGTTGTTATATGAAATAAAGTGGAATTTACAAAAATGTGTTCCTTTTGTCTTTTCAATAATTATCCTTTTTATTAACTGTACTATACTTCGATTGTATGAATGAAATTAAAGTTTTAATATATTATTCGGAAATAGTATATTGATTCTAATGGTCGCAAAGCCGATTCCTCACATGGTACAAACATCTATATTCATGAATTTTTATATCGTTTTAAGTTTTTAAAATTTAAATAACACTGAACAATCAACACAGCGCCATCTAGTCCCACACTAAGCAGAACTTGTCTTATGGGTACTAGACAAGTGATAAAAATACTTAATTTTTTTTGTTTTGTGACACAACACACATAATACACATAGAAAATACCTAAACCGATATAAACAGTCATACTCATGAATACAAATGTTTGCATCGGAAGTAAAGCGGTGTGCTAAACCGCTACACCACCGAGGCCGGCTACGTACCTGTGTAGCAGTTATCAGTTATTGTCTAGTATCCGTGACAGAAGCTCTGCCTAGCTTGAGACTAGATGGCTCTGTGCGAATTGTCCTGAGATATTATTATTAGATTACTCTGATGAAATAAATGAAATAATGAAGTAAATGTCTCTTAGTACTATCAGAAATGAAGTTTTTATTTATTATATATATTTATTAAATTTGATTATGGAAGATGTATAATTTGTTATAATAAATTGTACATCTTCCATAATAAAATTTGATACTAATATACATACTAAAATATTATTTTAAATGCCAAGTCTACTTATTTATGTATATACAATAGAAGTAGTTTTTAATTATATATGTAAGTTAATAATCTTTATTTTTATGTCCATAAAAAATACGTACCATTGTATTCAATTTCTATAAAAACTACATACTCCAATAATGGCAAAAGTATTTTCAGATGTCGAAGTATTATAGAATTTACCTACACAATAACAGTACCTACTATTTTATTTTATTTGTTATGAAAGATCACCTCCTACTAACTATTAATATGATAAAGCGAAAGGTTGTTTGAATAGAAATAAATAGATAGAAAAATCTTTATTCAAATAAACTCATTACAAGCACTTTTGAATAGCCATATTTTGATTCTACCACTCATTCGGAATGCAGATTCATCACAAGAAGAATGAGCAAGAAACTTGTGTGTTGCTGTTTTGAATAGATGTTTTTTTTTTAAATAATTACAGTATAACAAGCCGACACTCTGCAGATAGGCTTATGTGCCAATGTATATACCTATTATGCGATAATCAACATAGAAATCGCTACGCACTCATTATATATGTGTAATCAGATAATATTGTCAGTGCTAATGGATTTATCATATTTTTTCTATAAAAACATTATTATCGTTAACGAATTCTTCAATTTTATAGTAAGCTATATATATATATGCAAAGGAAGTGTTTTATATGACATTTAAATCTTTTTCTGGCAGATTTATAACAGACTCTGGTAGGGTTGTTTTTATTGTAAAACCTTACGCAATTGCCATAAAACGAATTACTAATTTTAGCCAAACGACATTTAGGTAAAATCAGTTTGTTATTGTTACGTAAGCTTTTATTAGTGTAATCACTAATTCTTTTGAAACTGTTTATATTCTTCCTGGCATACATGATATTTTCATATATATATTGAGAAGCAACGGTGAGGATATTTGATTCCTTAAAACAGGACATTGTCGAGTTACAACATGTATGAAATGTATGTACCTACATTAAAATATAATTTTTGAAATGTATGAAATGTATTTGTGATAATTTTTCATTTATGAAATTGTACCTACATTAAAATATAATTTTTGAAATGTATGAGATGTATGAAAAAAATGTAAGTACCTACATAAAAAGTTCCAGCTCTACACCAAGATGCACCGAACCACCCACCTTCATGGAGAAATACTACTTTCCAAACGGGGTGGTGCTAGGTATCTTGGTGTAGACCCGGGCATATATACCACCGTGGCAGACTCCCGTCATCAGTGCCCTAACTATAATTCGACAATGCTGGTTGGTCACTCTATTCTCCCAAATTTAAATTTAAATAAACTAAATGAAATTTAAATAACTGATGGTAGATTTGACATGTCCTAAGAGTCTGTAATAGACCTATATGAATAAGGATATTTTGAATTTGAATTTGATGAAACATGAAGAACGAAGTCGTTATATCCACCGGCGTTACCGTGGCAGACTGCCGTCGTTTGTGCTGTGTCCACAGAGACAATTTATATTTACATTAATATTATTTATGTATTTTAATCTATAAGGTGTTTATAATGTGGTCCATTACTAGCCTGAAATAAATGAAATAATTATCACTAGTGTCTTAGCACCTCCATCTTAATCCTAACCTTTCAATATTTGCCTAATAAACATACAGCTAAAATGATATGTGACTAAAAATTTTATAGGTACATCGATTGTGTTATATGTTATACATGAATGATGCAGACAGTGCTCTCTCTTCTATTTTAAAAGATTTACTGTTAGTAAATGCAAATAAAATAAATTTACGCTCTGAAATGTAAGGAAGGTAGACTCAAAAATCGTATTGGAGAATAAATTCATTATTTTGTTGATAATACTGTGTTTCTAAATACCACATTATATGCCAATTTGCAATGGGGTGCCCATATTTCTAAATTGGCGAGTAAATTTAGTTGGGCTGCTTATATTGCAATAGAAATGTGGTAAGAAGAATTAGATAATTAACAAATGTGGCAAAGGCTAAACTTGTCCACTTTAACATTTTCATTGCATTGTATTGTATGGTATTTTATTATGGGGTGAAGCACCTGATATAAATATAATATTTATTTTGCAATAGTGAGCCATGCGGTCCATTTATGGTATGTGTTCCAGGGAATCCTTGAGAGAGTGCTTTAAGGAATTAAATAGCCTCACAGTTGCTTTCCAATGCATTTACGAATATAAAATGGCAGGAAAATATTGACACGTTTCGAAAAAGTTAGTGATTATACTAATAAAGGCTTATGTAATAACAACAAACTGGTTTTACTTAAGTACGATTTGACCAAAGTTAATAATTCGTTATATGGGAAATTTTACAACAAACTGCCAGTCCGTCCTGAATCTGCCAAAAAAAAGATTCAAATGTCTTAAAATGGTTTAAAAATGATAATAATGTTTTGTAGAATAAATCTAACTTAAAATTAGTGCTTACAATATTATCAGATCGCAAAGATTGAGTGCGTAGCGGTTTCTATGTTGATTGTCGCAGGCCTAATACTTATTAATGTATATAAACAACATTTATTTAAAAGAGCAACACGCAAATTTCTTGCTCATTGTTCTTATGCCAAACTCATCACAAGAACAAAGAGAAAGAAACTTGCGTGTTTGCTGACTGAGTGGTAGAATAATAAATTAGGACTATTAAAAAATGCTTATTATTTAAGTTTATTTGTATAAAGATTATTTCTATTCTATTATTTACTACTTAATCTTTCTAGCAAAGTTTTCTTAGAAAGATTAAGTAGTATAAAATACTTTGTTTAATTAAGGAGTAAATAATTAATAATAATAATAATAATCTCAGGACAATTCACACAGCGCCATCTAGACTCAAGTTAAGCTAGCTAAAGCTTGTGTTATGGGTACTAGATATCTGATACAAATAAATTGATATTTTTTTCGTAAATACATACATATTATACATAGAAAACATACAGACCGATACAAACAATCATACTCATGAATACAAATGTTTGTGCCGTGCGAGGAATCGAACCCGCGACCATCGGACTTAAAGCGGTGTGCTAGACCCCTAGACCACCGAGGTCGTCAAATTAAATAACATCATATCCATTCTCGCGATACAATCTTCTTGTATAAGAACATTAATATTAATATCTTGATTGACAAGGCATAGATAATTTTTTATTTAAAAATGCTATTGCTATTCTAATTATCTGTATATCTTTATATAATAGGGTATTGATATTTGGCTTGTAAATAAATAAGTTACTTTTAGGTCCTTTTGTGTTTTTTCATCGTAAGGGTAATTCATTCATATCATACATACGTCACTCACTAGTTTTTTAGTAATAATAAAAACAACAAAATGACTTATTAAATTTTATTTTAATAGATCTTTAATACATTATCACTTTCAACTGGATGTTTGGCTATTTGTGAAAGTTTATACAATTACATATTTCTATTTTTGAGGTACAAATATATACAATTTAGTTAAGGCTATCGGGGAGGGTGATGACGGGGGTGGGGATTAGTGGGGGAGCCACGATGATGGGCTCAACGGGACCAGAAGGTCCATCTACAACGAGCACGGGGTCGACAACTACGGGGCTCTCAACAACGTGGACGGGGTGACCGATCTGGGGACCTTCCACAACCTGGACGGGTTGTCCGATGATTTCGGGGAGGATAGCAACACCAGGGGGGATGGCGACGGGGCCAGATTGAGCCTGGTTGATGTTTAGGATGATTTGGACGAGGGGAGCGCTGCTGGCTTCGGGTTGAGCTTCAGGGGTGGGTTCAGGGGCGGGGGGGAGGACGACTACGGGAGGCTCAACGATGGGAGGGCTGATGACGACGGGAGGGTCGACGATGGGGAGCTCTTCAACGGGGGGCATGATGACGGGTGGGTTGACAACTGGTGGGTTGACAACTGGGGGGCTGACAACTGGGGGGCCGACGATGACGGGAGGAAGGACGACGATGGGCTCAGGAACTGGGGAGAGCTCGGGGAATTCGATGACACCGGGTCCAACGACGATGGGTGCAGGGGGAACTCCGACGGGTGATGATGGCTCTTCGATAATTCCAGGTCCAACAACGACAGGCACGTTGTGGCTCACTGGGCTAGCCACGGCCACGGCTACCACAGCCACGAGAGTTACGAACAGTTTCATTTTGAATCTGAAATTAAAGTAAAACGTCAAATTACAACACACTTTGAAAATTAACAACATTCAACAAGAAACAACTACTAATTAGAAATATGTTAGACATAAGTTAATTAATTATATGTATGTTTTATTACACATATATAACAAAACTTATATATAATTAATTAACTTATAGTAATAAGTAGCAAGGAAGCAATTTTTAACACTACATCAAGTGTTACTACGTACACTACATGCATTAATTAAATAACACTTTTTAATGTTTTCTTATTAAATTAAATATTAGTTAAAATTCAATAGATTACAGATATACAGTTATTATATTCTTTGTTTTTTAAACGAAATAAAACTATGGCTTATATTTAGACGTATCACTAAATCACTATACAAACTCTTATGCAACTAGTTATCACTTTGTTATTAATTTATAATTATTTTTATATTACAACTACAATTTTATGTACTGACTGTATAACACTGTTTCACTTACCGCTAAATAAAGCTTTGACGAAAATGATAACAGTCAAGAAAATATTTCGCTTTATATAGTAAGAACATTATCTAATAAGCATTAAAGATACGAATTATCGGTAAATTAAAATATAATTTATACCCCTCTAAAACAATCTGATAATTTGTCAGACAATTGTAATAGTACAATGTATTAGTACAAATGTAATAGTAGTACATAGATAGTCTTTGAACGAAGTCGTCTGCGATGATACCTTTGTCTCACGCAGTTCCGTCAGTCGCAAAGCATCTTTGTCAACTGTATTTAGGTTTGAAGTGATATTAGTCTGTGAAATTACAAATCAAATGAAATCTGTTAACAGGAAAAATATATAAGTAATTACAGTTCACAAAATTTCCGAGCTAGCTTTTTAAGATGTGTTTAAGTTTAAAGGCATTTAAATTTCTTGATATATCGCTCACATGACCTCTCATGTGAGCAATGTATCCAGAAATTTAATGGGCATCACATGATAATGTGATGTCCGTGATGCTGTTCATGTACTATAGCCGCTAGTTACACTTACATATAGGTAGACTCTCAGCTTGTTTGCTATTCTAGTTACGTAAAAGAAATTAAAAACAAAAAATACTACATTTAAATTGTAATTCACGTGAATATTAAAAAGCAGGTTCTTGTAAATGCATTAGTTTTCAGATTATCTTAATTATTGCGAAATATTTTTTTGTTTAAATACAGGTTTCTTCCTTTTACTTTATTAATCCTCACTACACATTTCAAATTAGGTACAGTAAATTATACTACGATTTATATTAAATGATTCCATTTTAATAATAATTAAACACCTTACGCATGACCCAAATCAACTTAAGTCAAACATTGAGTTTACGACATTTTTGTATGACTACGAATCACACATAATGACACAAATTTGTCGAAATTTCATATTTATAGAAATGGAATGAATACTGTATGTAGTATTAATATTTATAAAAATGTAATTGTGTGAAAAACATGTTTTTTTAGAGTAATATCTTCTAGACAACTTTAGGAAAGAGAATGTTACTAAAAATAAAGTAGGGTATATTTATCTAACTATCTAGATAGATTATTAATTAAACTATCAAAAATACGAAAAACAATCTAATTGCATAAAATATACTCAATATTCAAAATTTCAAAGGAATGCTTTATAGTTGCCGGCGAAATTTGTTATCGGATGCTGAAATTCCACTCCTATTGTAAAACTAATCAAAATGTTTAATGTTAATATAAAAATATGGATAGAGCGTTTTATCTATATCTTCATAGTAACGTGCTTTGCCTATTAGGTACAGACATGTTTACAAAGCGTATGTATGTAAGTATACCGACTTGGCTGTTTGTGCCAAAATTTATTCAAATGGTTTCAAAGATTTGAATTCAATTCAAAAGTTTGAAGCAATAAGTAAAAACTATAAATTCACTTATTTCAAATAGGTACTATTAGGACTGGAGTTCAAGAGTCTAAATCCGTGTAAATTGACATAGAATGTATCCTATCCTTTCTGTTACTCTCAGACGTAATCTTTTTGTGTATATTTCATTTAGGTAACTACACGGAAACATACCATCACGACTTTTATCCCAGATGGGATAATCAGCGATATTGTCAAGTGTCTACGTTGTGGTGATTATAACACATGACATCCCTATAATGCGCTCGATATATTTAAAATCTTAACTTGGTAGCGGCGAGCCTGCCGCCGCTTCTCAGATTTTTTAATAATATTCTTATTACCTTCAATGGAGGATTTGTTAGAATGGACATAAAACATTTTTTTTTAATGATCAGATTTGACCTCATCATCTCTTAAATAGCGTTCATCGCACAGCCTAAACCATCTATATCATATAAAGCACATATTTTTTATATAAAATATATGAGTAATATTTTATATTTTTTCATTAATGTAAAGTTTGATATAATCTGTTCATAGTTTTTATGTGAAAGAGTAACAAACATCCATCCATTCACACTCACAAACATCCGCGTTTATATATTAGTAAGATTTACTACAACATCGATTGGATCCTGTCACTTTTAGCTATTAATATTCAAAATGGAATCAATTTTCTGAAATACTTCACATGTTTAAAAAATGTTCACATACGAATCTTCTACAAATTAATAGAAAAAACATGATCAATAAGTTAAATGGCTGTTAAGTTATATCATGATCAAGGAAAATAAGTATTCAGTTTTTTGTGCTTAGGTAGGTCATTTTATTTAATACGTGACAAACTAAACTAAATAGAAACTAGAAAATTTGAATTACTATAATTAGATAGTAGGTAGCAATAAGTGAACACAAGTTCCGCTCACACAGCACTGTGTGAAATGTCATGAGATATTACTGTTTAATTATATAAAATTATAGTATATTTTATATATGGTTTGATATAAAATGTCTATAACCTTACTACTTTTTTCTGTAACTAAACATCGGGACATTGCTATTAATATTCTAAACAAAATTTATAATAAATAGTCTAACATATTATTCATTGTTAACTAGTCCTAAAAGAAGCAGAACTATGTGTGCAAGATAACTGGTGAACATACCTACTGTTTATTTAGTATACAATAGAAAAATGTCAAGTCCAATAGGTACAAACAAAAATTATAATAAATAGTCACGATTATATCACAGATAACAACATAATATTACATAGTTATATAGACTGATGATCTTATTGCTAGCAATGTACCATGTCAGGTTGACCTCTACGCGGTTCACCAAGAATTTACCCTGTAAACTATCATGATATATTCTTAGTGAATGTGTCACGATGGGCTAACTGACCTGACCTCGTGCTCATCTTATCTGGAGGATCCAGATGATGCTCTGCCAGCGTAAACCGTTAGCGCAGGCGGGTGCTCCATTATCATCATAAAAAAAATCTTACCACCAAAGTAATGACTACGAGTATACCTATCCATAATAACTTTGTAAAATGTTATCTACGAGAGTACTCGCCTCACCGGGTAGGTGAGGTGATTACAACTGCCACAGTTTGTTTTGTACGCTATGTTTAGATTGAAGAATAGACAGTGACGTTACATGGATAAATAGTATAATATCTTAGTCCTCCAGACTGTAACATCGCGGATGTCGATGTCGTGGTATTGTTCATGAATATTGGCGACGGTTACCTAGGTGATAACCGTCGTCTATATAAAAAAATCCTAAAGCCCATTAGGTGGTCCTACAGATATTTTTCCATTCTAATGACATAAAAAATGTGTTAAAGGTGCAACTATATATTATCTGTAATTATAACTAAGGTGTCATTTGATCTAGAAGTAAACAAAAACTAATTATGATCCACAACATATGTCATCTCCTTAAATTTCCCTCTCATCATCTAGTTGTAACTAGCAAAGGCGAGGTACATATTTATATGAATTACATATCTCTTATTTATTGGTAAGTTATTTTGTACTGTAAAGTTTATGGAATTGTTCAGAATTCTCACTTTATAGTATCTTCTGTTAATTTAAATTTTCTAGTTTATATACTTAGTATTAATAATTAATTCAATGTTGTCAAATTTTTAACTACGGTAATGACAGACAAGTATACGTCCCATCTGATGGTAAACGGTTACCGTGGCTTATGGATTCCTGAAACATCAGAGGTCACGTGCGCGTTACCGTCTCTTCTAATAAGATTTTAGACGTTATTGTTTGTAAAAAAAATCGGTTCAAACAGTTGAAGATATCTGCTTCGAAATTGAGGTGCAAGATTTTACCCGAACGATATGTTTGTTGTTACATACATTGTAAGTTAAACAAAAGATTGTAATTAATATGGTACTTATGTATATATTATTATGTATATAAGTATTACTTAAGTTAAGTAATGTCATATAATTACATATTTGTTTCCTATTTTTAACTATATTCTTTCTAATATGTCTAATTTATAAAATAATTAAATAATTATATTTTTGTACAACAAACAGTACACCTAATCCTAAAATATTACCCAGACATTATTTAAAAGTATAATGTATTAAGTTCTATATATATGTATAGTAGGTATATTATACGATTTTTGTCACTAATTAACTGTACTTTTGTATTTCTTTATCGTAACGACCATACATTTCTTTCATCCAGCGAACACTAAAGTTTTTCTAGTAATAAATAAAAAACAATCAATTTTACTTCAACAGATAGATTTATTAATTAATATAGGTATTATCACATTTCAACTGGCTTTTTGTTTAACTATTTGTGAAAGTTTTTGCAATTACATATTCATATTTCCGAGGTATCGTTATGTATTATTTAGTTAAGGCTATCGGGGAGGGTGATAACGGGAGTGGGGATTAGGGGAGGAGCCACGATGATGGGCTCAACGGGACCAGAAGGTCCATCTACAACGAGCACGGGGTCAACAACAACGGGGCTCTCAACAACGTGGACGGGGTGACCGATCTGGGGACCTTCCACAACCTGGACGGGTTGTCCGATTTCGGGGAGGAGAGCAACGCCAGGGGGGATGGCGACGGGTCCAGACTCAGCTTGGTTGATGTTCAAGATGATTTGAACGAGAGGAGCGCTGCTAGCTTCGGGTTGGGCTTCAGGGATGGGTTCAGGGGCGGGGGGAAGGACGACTACGGGAGGCTCAACGACGGGGGGGAGGACGACGACGGGAGGGTTGACGATGGGAAGCTCAACAACGGGGGGGTTGACAACGGGTGGGCTGACGGGAGGGTTGACGACTGGTGGGCCGACGATGACGGGAGGAAGGACGACGATGGGTTCAGGAGCGGGGGAGAGCTCGGGGAATTCGATGACACCGGGTCCAACGACGATGGGTGCAGGGGGAACTCCGACGGGTGATGAGGGCTCCTCAATGACGGGAGGTGCGACAACGATGGGCTCGTTGCCGAGGATTTCTTGCAGCTGTTGTTCCAGAAGGGCACCGGTGGCGGGGTCGGTGCTGGGGCTCTGGATGGCGGCGATTACGGCAGCCAGTTGACCCTCACTTAAGCGGGCTGGGCTAGCCACGGCCACGGCTACCACAGCTACGAGAGTTACGAGCAGTTTCATTTTGAATCTGAAATGAAAGTTAACATTACAGCACACTTTGAAATTAAAATTGAACAATTAACGATGTTTAATTAGAAAAATAATTAGACTGTTATGTGTATTTATTTTTTTACAAATTAATTTATAGTAAAATCCTAAGATTTATAGTACACTAGTAGAATTATTACACCTGTTAGTCTTATTATATTAATGTCTGATCACGCTTGAGAACTAAGTTAATGAAATATTAGTATAAATAATTGTATCATTGTATTTCTTCTGTGAAAATTACACTTAGTTATTGAAATCTTTAATTCATGAACGCAATATCGAATTAAGACGATGGCTTTTATTAAACGTATCACTAAATCACTGTTTACAAAAACGTATGCGTCTATAAATCACTTTATCATTAGAAAATATTTATTGAATCTAAAAACTACAATTTTATATATGGACTGTAGAACACTGTTCTACTTACCGTAAAGTAAAGCTTTCACGAAAATGATATCGGTCAAGAAAATATTTCTCCTTATATAGTAATGATTAAAGACATTATCTACTCTCCATTAAAGATATAAGTTATCGATAAATGGAAATATAATTTATGACACTCTAAAACAATCAAATAATTTGTGAGAAAATTAAATTAGCAAAATCATTTAATTAGTCATACATAAGCTGAAAGTTTTAGGGTTAAGCTTTAAATCAAAACTCACAGTTTTGATTTAATGAAAGTTTGGCATATGTTACGACACGTTATATTATTGAATACTATACCTAGTATTCAATAACAAAAAATACCGTTTTTAATATAGTTGGAATGACAAATAATCTGTCGGCTGACCTGATAGGAAATGTTAACCGCCGCCTATTTACAGGAACAGCACTATGAACATGGTTATTATGTGATGTCCGTGACATCACTCCGTTGCCATTCCAGAGGACAAAGATGTTATGCCTCCATATCCTGTAGTTCAACTGCAAATGTAGTTACGTAAAATGATGCTTGGTGGCCAAAATAGGAGAAACTGAGGTATTCACACAGACGTCTTACTACAAAGTCTACCTCAGTACCTACCAGAATTGAAACAAAGACATACTTATACTTATTCAAATACTTTTTTCTAAATACGTATATATATGTCTCCATATATACTTACTACAGTGCTTATAATATTTCTGTCAACACACAGCACGCTTCTTTTTGGTTGTGTTTCCACATAATGTGGATTTTCAACTTCATTGTAGAGTCAGACCACATTACTACTCCACTCGTAAGTGTTCGCGTAAATAAGCCCCCCCTAATAAGGGCTTATTTACGCGAACACTTAAAGTAACAGCAAGTTATACCTAAATGGACAGTTATATTTATTTTATTTACGGGCAGTTAATTGGACAGTTATATTTCACTTGTCTACTCACTACAGACAGACACACAGAAAAAAAAGTAAAGTTGCTACATCTCATAAACCTATCACATCCTATACAACGCTACAGTGATGAGTTGATGACCCATCATGCTACAGGTATATATACAAAATTAAAATTCAAAAATCATTTATTCATGTCATTTTAGCCATTTATGAACGCCAAGTTTTTTGCAATTGATATTTTTTTCCCTACCGTCAAACAGTACTTAAAGACAGCAAGTTTGATTATTAAATATGTTATGAGTACCTGTGGCTGTTTTTAAAAAGAAGAGTTTTGGGTACATATAGAATACACATAGAATACATCCAGATACACAATGTCATAGATATTCATGACTACAATCTTTTGTGGGAATTGAGCCACAGAATAATAGACACGATGCTAGATTGTATGAATGAGAATGCATTTAAATCATTTTAAGAATGTGAGATGAATGTAAACAACATTCTCTTATCATCTATTTCTTCCTTATCCCGTTCATTTGGTGTCGGCGTAATGTTTTTCTCTTCCATTCATCTCTGTTCGCAGTCATCTCGTTATTTATTCCCTTTCTTTAATCCCTTTATCATCTTTCACACGGTCCAATCATATCATTATCGGTTACCATCCACATTCATAACATCTATTTTAAAATAATGTTGATATGTATTTATATTTACAATTTAAAATTAAAAACCTAAAAATTTGATAATTAAAATATATTATTAAAAGTAGTCCCATTAGGCAAGGTTCTAAAAGATAACTGAAAAGATACTGGCAGCGTTCTCCCTTTAAATGGCTAGACTAATTTTTATTATATTATATTTTTTTCGCGATAGCTGCCAGCTCTTCGGTCTTCTGTGATGTCGACTAACCTTTTTGTTATTTCCTTGAAAAGCCTTATAGCGCTGGGACCCCACGGACCAAGGGTATCGACACCGAATGCGACAAAATCATATTCACCCCTGTATTTGCATGCTTTAGCTTTTTTAACCGCTTCACATATTAATTGATATGGCACAACCTTTCGACTATAAATTAAATTATTGCAGCTGTAGTAATTTTTTTTAACTACATATAATATGTTAAATATTTAATAAAATTGTACCTGAAAATAATTTATATTGAAACTCAGTTTATATTAAAAATTGTACTCTAATACAGTGCTATTTCCGGTATCACCGTTTAGTAAAATCAAGTTTTGGTACATTATACGGTTGCGTCTCGACTTTATACTTACATCTACTTTTTTACTTTTTTAAAGACCATTTTTATTCTGATATAATTTTAATCTGGATATGACCTTAATGCTTAATAATTCGTATTTATATTATTACTTGTCGATGTATTGATTAACGATAACGATTGAATTAGAGTTTTTGTGGACTGAACACGGGTACAATTATTTTAATTTGCCTTTATATAAAAATATATTAAGATCAGTTAAGCCGTTTAATTATGGTAAAGTAATAATCAGATATAGGGGGGGGGGGGGCGGAATTATGCTACCATCGTGATAAATTCATGGTTACTTTCCCTCGATGGGCTAACTGACCTAACATCATGCTAACATGCTCATCTTATCTTCCACCACTGGTTCCCCGCCAGTGTAAAGAATAAGCGTAGGCGGGTGCACCATTTCATTATCATCCATAAGAAAAAAATATAATAATAATAATAATAATAATAAATTTATTTCATTAACATAGATATAAGCCGGGGCTAGGATCTCCTTGTAAGCATAATTAAATACTTGTGATAGGAGATCACGGTCTTCTAGGGTTATTTATTATTATATTAAGAATTTGTTTCTACTGTAAAAGACTGTGTGTGTGTGTGTGTGTGTGTGTGTGTGTGTGTATGTAAGTGTGGAAGGGTGTTGGGTGCAAATGTATGTTTATTAAAATATTAGAAGAAAAAAATATATACAGAAACAGACACACTTCCGCATTTATAATGTAGAGAAGAAATAGGTACCTATGGATCAGAGTAGGCCTACACCTGTTCCATTGTATTGAACACACCATATTGCTTGGACTACCTACAGCTAAAGTTCAATTCAAGACACTATTATATACGTATTTAATTCAAGAAAATCCTTTAACAATATCTTTAAAATAATTTCTAATTTAGTTTTCGAGTATTTGTAGAGTTTATGCCTTTGCCTATTTAATAATTAATATTAATGCTCGTTTAAAAAATTAAACCAATATTAGCTATATTTTACACATGAAAATATTCTCAAATTGAATCTCTATTTTAGTCCGTTGATAACACACCTGGATACAAAGTATGTATATAACCTAATGCAAATAAGACATGTACTTATTATTTCATTCGATTACCTATGCGTGCGCATAACAAGATTTCTATTCTATTGAAGGTTGTAATAGTGTACCTATTTATCTATCAAAAACAATAACATTAGGAAGCACGCAATAAAATGACGTTAAATATATTTATGCTATGGAATTAACATAAAATAATAAATTGTTGATAAATTTTTACGGCATCTAAGACTAGTCAGTAATAAGTAGACATAATCGAAGCAATAAAAATATTATGAGATTATGTCGCGTGTTTTATTGATAGATCGCTAACGTAAATCCTGCCTACGTTTTTTCATTGATTAAAAAGCCGTCTACCTGGTAAGATAACTATATATTTATTTAAAAAATGTCTAGGTATAACTGAAGTACTTAAGTCTGAAACATTGTCTTCCGTCACTGAATTTAGAGGTACTTCTTGATATTAACGTTTAAAAATTTCATCAATGAAATCAGTTTATTCAGATAGCCTTGTAATACTCATTAACAAATTCATAAATTCTTTATTTAAATTAAATTTAGAAATGCATACTAAATTTAAATTAATAATAAGTCTATTAATATGAATTATTATTGTGCTAAAATCTTACACATAATGTATAGAACATTGCTACAAAATTTTAATAGATTTTGATTTATTTACAATAACTGTCGTAATGAAATTGAATAGATAACCATTTAAAATTATTTCGTTTTATATTACAATTTTAACATTGTACCAAATTGCAAGGAACTATAACAAAAAATCTCATATCACTATTTTCTACTGCTTGCTTTGGTAAATTTCTTGCTTGATTATGGAATGCAATGTAAAAACAATAAGGTACTCAAGTCACTCCAAATCAGTCATAGCCATGTGTCGATTATCTAACATAAACATATTTGTAAACAAAAACATAACTCCATATTATGTTAAATGTTTTTAAATAATAACGTGCTATCTTTGTAGCTTGCGTCTTTGTTACTTGCATTCTACAATACGGTTATGTGGTGGACTATTGTAATGTATTTAGAAGTTGGTCCGTAATACAAGGCTCTACATGCCATGTTGGTGTTTCGACCCATTAGAGTCTTTCAATTGAGGTCCAAGTCACTACTCGTGTCTGATGGTGGTCTTGTCATCTAACTAAATATGTCTTATCCAATATTTTACTTTTATAGTGTTTTGGAAATAATCTGCATGATTTTTTGAGTATAGATTTTCTCTTTGTGTTGCATTCTTAACTTTAGATTCAATACGGAAAAAAAATAAACATACAGAAACCAAAATAAAAGTGTTTTAGCCGTTGAAGCCACAGCATTTCTAAGAACACTAAGTATATAGGTGCAGATTCAATTGAATGCAGTATTATCAGTAACATTCAGTTGACAGATCTCTGAACAACACTTCAATCTGTTATATGATATGGCTCTATGTTTAGATATATATTTTTTATCTAAACATAGAGCCACTTCATCACCGCTAGACATCATATTCGTAATACTACATAAGTACCTTCAGTAGAAAATTAAAATATAATCCTTAAGAGCGCTTTAATTAGAGTAGAGTATGTTAGCTTTAATTTTAGACTTTAAAAAATAATTCTTAATTTTTTTAAACGTTTAAAAATAATCTATTTACACTTTTAATTTATATGTAATTAGAATGAAAATTACGACCCACAATTAAACAGTAACCGTCACTATATCCATGAATGGCCCTAAGACAGTTAGGTACCATGTAGATAACTAGATGCCTATTCTGGTAAAATTCCATTTAAATAGATAATCCTGTTTTTAAAGATTAAGTTTCATTTTGGTGAAGTGAAATCTAAGTTTACTAATAAAGGTTTTTTTTATGATAAGTCCATCACCATATATACTCATATTTCATAATGTTTAATACTAATGCGTCATATAACTTACTTATTCTTTATTCTTTATTGTACACACACACACATAATAGAAAAAATTATACAGAATAAATGTAATGTACAAGGGCGAGCTTATCTCTAAAAAGAGATTTCTTCCAGCAAACCTAGAAAATGTTATAGGATCGTGTATTAAATAGAATAGTCATACATACGTGTACGAAAAGAGGAGATATTAAAATTTTACCTACAACCTATGTATTTAAGTAGGTAACATGAGAAAATATTAACTTTCTTTTAATATTATAAAAGAAAGTTAAAATAAATAGAAATGTGGCAATTTTGTTTAGCTACACTATTTTTTAATCTTCTCAACATCGCCAATTTGCTGAAGGTATAGTTAGGTCGTATAATGAATTTAATAGAAAATAAGATAGAAACATACATATTAAGAAATTTAAAAGGCATCTTTTGGTCTATTAGCGTTATAAATATACCTATATTTATGCACACAACGTAGATGGAAATATTAACACGTAGGTACCTAATATAAACACGCAATAAACCTTATTAACACTTTAAAGACCGCATGCCCAGCGGTGGGTCACTGCGTAAAAAAGTAAATTTACTCGATGCGGCTGATGACCCGTGGGCACTTTAATTCAAATAAATCTAGGAGTTAAATACCTAATGTCTACCTCAAATTATTGTATTTACACTAAAAACATATTTAAAAAGTAATATAGGTACGTAATTAACAACAAAAAATGCCGGTCCCTATGTGAGTAATAAGAATAATTTTTTAATGCGATCGTGTTAATGTGTCTAATAAATAATTACAATAGACAAGCATCTACATAGAAACGATAAAATATTAAATATCTTTGAATATTGAAGATGTATAGAAATAACGTAACGTCTATTTGTTATTTTCGTCTCAGCTGGGGGCAAAGGTCGCTTCCTTCATGAGCACAATGACAGAATTGAAGATGCATATCAAAAACATTAAAAATTTACATTTCTTGACACAGATGAAAAAACATGCACTGACGTCAGTGGTAAATACATATTTTTTCAGCTGTTTTAGGTTTCGTTAATACAATTCAAATGTATGTTTTTAAATCTATAATTAAAGTTCATACCACTGGTTAAATTAATATTAAACAAAATAATATTAAATCAACTTTAATTCCTTATAAATAGCTCAATTTATTAACAACCCAAACTTCATGTTCGTTTATCATAAACTACTTATTCTTAGGTATATGAGAAAACATAGATACATATTGAGATTTATATATCTTTTTAAACAAGAAAAATACTTAAGTAAAAGCCTCAATAAAAGAAATATATCGTATTCTCTAAAACTTCTTGATACCGTGAAACAAAATTGCGTAACATTAGTAGTTCTTACTGATTTAGACAATATGCAAGGAAAATCTATACCTGGCTATATCGATAGGTATATAATCCTAAACCGAAATTAATTCCTAACCCTAAATATTGCCTGGAGAGACGGGTCATCTTTTGAGATCCAGAAGACTACAGTTAAGACATTATTACATATCTACCTATGTAATTATTGTATTAATAGAATTTATTTTTAAAAACATTTTCGATTAAGCTATATCTACGTATAATATTTGATTAATCTCCATAATTCATTTTTTCAAGCGAATGCCAAAACATTTTATTTATATTTTCGCTATATCTACTGCCGCATAAAATTTGAGGATATTTCTTAACAAAGTTCACCATTATTGTTGCAAACGGTAAAGTATTTTTTTTATAATTGTTGCGTCGGTTTACAATTTTAGAGTAACTAGTGTTTATTCATTTCCCGGGAAAGTGTTAACCAAGATGTCACAGCTCATGCGTGGGCAAGTCATAGAAAAATATTATTACAAGTAGATATAATTCCTCTAGAAAAATATTATTACAAGTAGATATAATTCCTCTTAAAACAGTGTTTCTTTGATTGTTAAGGGGGGCAATTTGAAAATAACAATTCCTCAATTATATGCTTTGAAAAACACACTTACGTTTTCATGAACAATTTCCTAGTGATTTCATCCTAAAACATATTATAAAGTTTGTTAAGTTAACAATTAATTTTTTTAATGTTATAAATTATGTAACATACTGAAGTGGGGCATGTCATTAAAAAGGTTGGGAAACACTGTCTTAGATCCATGGTCTAAGTTAGGTAGTAAGTTAGGTAGGTTAGGTATAAATACCATTGATCTAAGAGGAACGCATTCTTATATTAATTTTGGCTAAGTGATCGGAAAACGCGGCTACTGAATAAGTAGATGATATATGGTAGCTTTTATTGTATTTTTATGACGGCTATATTAAATATATATTTACCTAAACTTAACAATTTATAGATACATATATATATACAAATATGACTGTCATAAAATATATTACTATACAATGGTACAATTGACAAAAAACCTATATATTATTTTTATTAGGTTAGTATTATTATTTGACTATGTATGGACCGTAATTATAATTAAACTTCTCGATAAACTTGTTTATCAAATCTGTCTATTAATTATTGTAGAAAAAGACAACATCCATAATTAGATGTTGTAACGGGAATTCTAGAGTACAGCTATGTCGAAAAGGAAACATTGCTTAAAATATTGTAGAGGTATCGATATAAGAGAAATGGACTCCAAAAGAAATGTCCTACCAGATCTAAATGACGTAATAGGGTTGCTAGAGGTTCTAACAATATGTAGAATCCTGTCTTACACAATCTACAATGTGAGCCTTCGCCGCCGGACTCACCGTAGACTCCGGTATCAGTTTTTTTAGTTAGTAAAAATCACATACACTCCCCTTTCCAACCCTCTACTGTATTTGTGAAGATTTTACCCCATGTTTAGAAACAACATGCTTGACCGTAGTCCGTAAGCTTGTTTTCCAATGCAATTAAAAAATATATAAAATTCCAAAAGAAATAAAAACAAACATATCAGCACCAATTATGTATACAATTTATTAAATACATTTATTGACAGACTGCAATGAATAAATATTATCCATTTCATGGATACACAGAATTGTTACATTGCACAGCACAGATTAAATACATATCAGTCATAAATTTAATACAAATATTAACATAAAATATATTGTAAGGTACAATGTGACAGGATACAATGGGTATGTACCCCTGTACTTAGGTATAAATTAATATCTTATCAAATATTGTCTGTCTATTCAACTGAAGAATTCCAATGTTTGTAGATCACTGAATTTATTGCCAGAGATAAGAATAAGTTTATTATCTAACACAATGAGCAGAAGAATATTAAGTGGAATCTATTTGTTTTAAATATAATAAATTATAAATGGTATCAATTTACTGTTTTGTTGCTCATTGAATTTGTAAACAAATCTTAGTATTCAAATTAATCTATTATAACAATGTTTTAAATGCATACCAAATTTCCCACTATGCACTGTTTAGACATTAATAAAATTGTTTTTTTAAGACACCTTAACCAGTAATATTCGAGTTTATAATATGTGCACAATTATTTCGTTTTCACATAGCCATTACCTATAACTTTGACTATATAAATGAAACAATAAAATGCTGTGTTTTACACCTAACCAAGATAAATAAATTACATAAATAACAGTTAACAAGCAACAATGGAACATTGTATAAATAATTAATTAAAGAAACCATCTTTAAACAAATATTATTTTTAGTATTTATTTTATTCATTCATATAATCCCACATCAGTCACCCTCTGATGATTCTCATAAAATTAAACTAAACAATGTAAATATTTCATATTTTTCTATCATATGTACGTCTTCTTTGGTCATCTATATGAACGAGGTAGTATGTACCAGGGAATAAAATGTCAATAGAGCCTGCGGGGTCATATGGAGCTGTGTGGTAATTTGCAGTTCTCAATTCCATTATCTCTGAAAACTTTATGGGTTCCACACTTTCTCTTTTATCCAACAAGAGAGTAGTTTCATTCAATGAGTTTATCAATTTAGACAATTTAGAACCAGCACTCATGTCATTACAGATGTTTATAGAGTACATTGTTGATGCTAGTCCAGAGCCATATGAAAATAGTGCAAACTTTTTGCCTATCAACTGATCAGGAGACTTACTTACAAGGTATGAAACTAGGCCACCATACAAAGAGGCTGTGTACATATTACCTACATTAGAAGCTATATGGAGAGATGGCATTGTCTTCTCATTGAATAGCTTCAGACTGTACCCCATGAAGGCTTTCTCAACATCTTTATCAAAGTAAGTGTCCTCCAGTTTATAATCTTCAAATTGTGATAAACCTGGAAATTGGGCTTCCCGTTCTTCTGGTGATGCATTCAAAAAGTCATTGAAACTAATTCTAGCTAAAGACTTTTGTACCAGTCTGCAGTATGGTGAATGGAATAACATACCGTCTAAACTGAGCAGCCCTTTGAAGCTGGGGTCAATTTTTCTCATTTTCTTACAGAATAAATTGTAACAATTGTCTAAAGCATTGAGGTAGCATTTTATAGAGAGTTTTCCATCTACATAAGGAAATTCTGATGCAAGGTCTGCTTTATAAAAATCATAAGCATGGGTCATGTATGAAGCTCGTACTCCACAGTCGAACACCAATGGAGCATCAGGCCCTACGAGCATTGCTACTGCCCCTGCACCACCTGTAGGTCGAGCAGGACCTTTGCCATAAACTGCTATATCGCCAGCAATCACTATAGCTTTCCTACCATCCCATGACGAAGACTCCACCCAGTTAATTGCATTAAAAAGAGCAGCAGTGCCCCCATAACAGGCATTAGTCGTGTCAATACCTTCAATATCAGTGGCACCTTCTTTGGCAAATAGAGTCATAAGGAATGTCTTAACACTTTTACTTTTATCTATAATAGTTTCAGTGCCTACCTCCAAACGCCCAATATCATGGAGGGAGATATTGTTTTTCTCTATGAGCCTATGTAACGCCGTGAGACATAATGAATTTATATCTTCCCGATCTGAACAGAAGCCCATCTTGTTTTGGCCGAGACCAACGGTATATTTTCCTGCGGATACCTCGTCAAATTTCTCCAATTCTGTTTGGTCGACATATTGAGACGGGAAATAAAATTCCATGGCCAATATGCCGACATTCTCGGCGCGACCACTCATTGTTAAGTTAACTTTCACGGTTAAGTCGAATAACTTTTTAACTGCCGCAGTTAAGAGCGGCGTGTAGACGGAGCGGTTACCGGCACGGACTGATATCCCCGCCACCGACTCTGCGGAAACCCGTCTGGTATCTACGTCAGCACCCACGTTACCGGTTCACCATTGACCTCCATTAACTACTTTCTTCAAATACCACGTAAATTGATTGATTGCACTGCACGAAGATGACACAGAAGAAAACTTGGTTTATGTATTAAACTCTTAATTACGTCAAGTTTACGAGTTGCATAACTACTTATATGGACATATTAACTAACTTTTACGTATAGATTTTTTTAATAAACAAAAATTTATAATGATATTCGTGTGCTGGTCCTGGTAGAATATTTTTGGATAAATCACATTCTATTTGAATTTGACATATATGTCAAAATTGACTTTGACGTCCTTCGCAATAGTGTTCCCAAAATTGTGAGTTTATGAGAAGTACAGAGCAAATAATCACTAGGACTTCAATACCGTTCCCGCACAAAACAATTTTATTATAGTTGTCATTTATAATGAAATCTGTAATAATGTAGATTTAAAATATAATAAAATCTTTATTATATTATATTTTTTTACACATAAAAAATTTATTAAAGATTCTATTATTATCTTTATATTATTATATTATATTATTGACCTGCAGGTCATGCAATTATTTAAAGAAACATGTATTTATATACAATACTATAAGTGTGGTTTGTCTGATTTGCATAATATATATATTTCACAGAATATACATTTGAATTGTATGATCTAAATTCAAAAATAACTGCGGGATAGGTAACCCGTTACAGGAGATTCAGTCAGAAATATAAATGGCACAAAAAGTTTTTTTGGATAGGTCAGATTTCAAATCACAATACATATTTGGATTTTAACTCATGGTAGCAAACCACGAGGGCACTTTATAGGTACGTAAATATAATATGTAGGTAGTAGTTATAAATTATAACACCTCAAATGTTACTTTCTTATCTGTTATAAGAAAGTAACATTTGAGGTGTTATAATTTATTTACGTGTATTTTTATTATGAGCAATGGTTACTACGTAGACCGTCATATACGTAAAATGTATGTATATTTAGTTATTTTTTATACTTTAGTCTGTGAATGCAAACAAGTCGACTACTAGCGACATTGTGGGTTTTTGTTACTGGAAAAAATTATGTAAACACGAAACTAGCAGAAACTGCTTTAACTAAGAGGTAAACAAGAGTAATCTAGGCACTTTTGTACATTATCCTTACCTACAAATATTATAAATACTAAAGTAACTCTGCCTGTCAGTATGTCTCGCTTTCACACCAAAACTACTGAACCGATTTAAACTAAATTTGGTACGCTGATAGTCTAGACCGCAAGATAAGATATAGCTTACTCTTAATGCGAAAATAGGGTAGAAAGGGGAGATGGAAGTTTGTATGCAACTATTGTCATTTTTAAAGCTAGAACGATGAATTTTTTTCTTTATTCAATTAAGGTATATACACTATAACAGGACGGATGAAGTTGCGGGGATAGTCATAGATACATTATTTATTTGGATACCATAATACATTATCGTGTCATATATAATTTACTGGCAATACGTAGAAATGTTTGGAGTTATCAATAAAGTCACAATGACAAAGTAGATAACTCATGATACGTGACTGTGCATACTCATAATAGGGCGGCTTAATTGAAGTATTTTATTCAAGTTAAATTCAGATAGATTCAAAAGCTGCATTCCAGAAATGCTTAAGAAGCATACAAGAGCACGCCTCTTGAGCTACGACCCATGAACCTTTTTTGATATGCGAAAAGAGATCCGTTGTACAACAAACCCCGACTGTACTACTGTGTACCGCTGAGTATTTAGTTATACCACAGATAGCATAATAATAATAATAATAGTGGCGTTCGAAAAATAAGTACCAGCCTGGGGTTGTTGTAGAAAAGTAGAGCGAATACAGAAGGCATTCTAAAATTCCTGCCTGACAGATGTTCTTTAGTATGAGGGCACAGCTAGGAGTTCTAGTTTTAAGGGTAGAGACCTCGCATGTGACGGCCCTGGGCTCTTACGTGTCCATAGGTTATGGTAACCATTTACCATAAGATATGCGTATGCCCAACTGTCACCAGTGGACAAACGCTGTGGGAGTCAGCGAAGAATGCTTACGCGATCTAGTAACTCCTACAATGACGGTAGGCGTGTGGTGTACGGTAAGAATACCACACCTCCAGCGATCAGCCTCCTATGGTCGATGAAGATTTTCGAAAATTCAAAAAAGGTAGAGGCAAACAAAAACTTAGGCACACAATATAAGTATAGGGGGATGCACTATTAGGTTTAAGATAATAAATTAAATACATATTTACTTTCAGTACCATTAATTGTTATTTAACTAAAATCCTATTTACAATTTATACCTACTTATTTATAATACTTATATTTAAATTTCCTTCGCAACACTTGAACTCTTTGGTATGAATTTGTAGAATTTTACACCTGAAAAAATAACACATACATTTAAATAGGTAGGTAATATTAATAAGGAAATGAAGAATGTAAAACAAATATCCGTAAATTTGTTTACACAGTTTGAATATCTTATGAAGACGCCTTTGTGTATGACTGGGTGTTTTCCACGGGTTTTATTTGGGCTGTATCACTTATTTCCTGTTCTTGTTACTATTGTCAAAAATCATCTTAAAAAGTAAACCTATATTCTAATGATAAGCTTTCCAGATTTAGTAGTTTTGGCTGTGCCTTGGCTCAGGATAATTTAATTTGTATAGATCTGAATTTTGGATCTCCAAATTCTACTTATATGGGACAACAATAGTATATTACACCTAGATTTTTCTAAAAAAAAAAATATTTATTACAAAATAATATATATTATTCGTCAATTCTTCTTTTAACATACGTAGCTTTTGTCCTTCCTCAGAGTGCAAGGTTTCGGTACTAAATTTCATCAAAATCGGTTTAGTTGTATAGCTATAAAAACATGGAGATAAATCAAGGCAATTTCGGTTTCATTTTTAATACTTCTGAAATAGAATCACTTTGTTGAAAAGAAACGAAATATGTACAGCTGTTCCATCCAATAATATCACTCCACAGTCACTATTCCATGCAAAAATTACAAGACCCATTCAAACGAACTTTGGTACACAAATAAATCATATCCTAGATGAACATAGGATATGTGTCTATTTCAATGAAATTTAATGTTTAATTTTATCCTACTCTGTTGCTAGAAAATGATCAAATCATCAAATGATAATATATACAGTACCTGACGGATTAATCCTGACTTCAAACTCTTGATTAGCCTGAAGTACCTTGTCAGCGTCGTCTTTATATAGATCCTAAAAATAACATGTAGATGTGAAAGACGAGGTATAAATACATGCATTAATATGAAATATGTGAACGTGTCCTTTCATAAATTTGTGTAAGAATGCACTACAATTTATTTGCCATATAGTATAAAAGTTTTTAAATATAAAAGATTTTAAATAAATACACACAAAACATGATTCATCATATCAAATTCTTCAGTCCATATCATATTAGGTTTATATTATTATTCCTGTATAATGTCGACTATTATTATTATTTTGCAAAGTACCTAACTTACATAGATTTATATCAGAGTTTCTGTTAAAAGAAATAACAGGAGACACTTTGCTATCTATAATATTAAGTCATCGAAATCCAGGAATACTTGTTAGTGTAAAACAAAATATATTTTTGATTATTAGGGTCAATACCTGAATATCATAATCCTGATTGGTCAATTGCATCTCGTCAAAAGTAAAGGTAGCTTCATATGGTATTCCATCATCACGTTGACTTACAAAGGCGAGAGCAAATGAACCATCAGAAAGCTCGCGTTTCCAGATCTCCAAATTTTTTCTCTACAAAAAATCTGCTAGTTAGTATAAGATTCTAAAATTGAAGTAAATACAATGGGCAAAAAAAAGACAAAAAAGTTGCATGCGTCCTCAGTCTCACCTATTATAGCCGCCAAGCTGCTTGCTTTGGGGTTTCTGTTTTGCTTTTAGGCAGTGAAATTAAAGGATAAGAGTCATGACATCGTAGTTCTCTGGAATGGCAACGCATGAGATGTATCATGGTTATATGATCATGTTATGTCCATAGTGTTATTGATGTGTACAGGTACAGTTACCCCTTTAGTTACTATCAGGTGCGACATCAGGTTGTTTACCATTCCAATTATATTAAAAAAAGTTTTAAATCTTAAACTTATTACAGTAGATTTCGAATATAAATAAGACAGAAAAAATATTTATTACTAGATTTATCCTTCCGTAACCTATAATTAATAAGCGTAATATAATTTCAAAGCCATATCGCTTCAAACGAGATCACAGCTTACTTGAAGTACCCCATATTAGTAAGTATAAACATTAACTTTCCTATCGTCTGTCAAAGGAACGGTTCTAATCCACTTGCTAAATACAGTAATGCCAGTAAATAGAAAATAAATCGAGACAAAACTCGAAACCAAACCTTATTAAAATGAGAGCGGTGATCTTGTTTCTAAGTACTAAACCTTGTCACCAGTAGCGGCTAAGGCAAAAGCGCACCCTTGGCAAATGGTGTAATTCAGGGCCGGGAATTATCAATCAACGATTCAGCATAATTTAGATACATCTCAGCAGCAATAATTAATTAATAACAACCTAATTCTCGGGCCCCAAACATTATGGACCCTTGGTTGCTTAGGCTTTATTTCGATCATAGTAGTTTTGCTTAGTTACCGGACCAGCGTCAGTCTTCTTCCAAATCCTCAAGCCTTGTTTCCCCAGAATGTCCTGATCGATAGCAATGACGTCCTCATTTAAAAGAATCTCCTTGAATTCCGGTTTGATTGTGGCCAAATCCACACTCATAAGGAGCGGTGCTGCCAAGATTGACCAGACTGCCATCTGCACTCGAGCTTGGTCCACCGTTAGCCCAAAGTTTCCTATCAATAGCTGAAAAATTATATTTATAATAATTTACAACCTGTATGGCTCTTTATATGGTATTTAAGGTATATGAGGTTAGGGAATTATGCTCCATTAGTCCAAATAATAAAACCAATTAATTATTAAATAAATACATATATATAGGTCTAGTTGTTTAGCACAATGCCTTGCATAGTTACGTATTCGATTTCTCTCAGGATGCAAATATTTCAATTCATGAGTATGTGTGTTTGTACTGGTTTGGGTATTCTCTTTGTATATTATGTACGTTTTGACAAATCAATTAATATAAGTATAGATCAGTCGTCTAGTACTCATAACATAAGTTCTGCTGAACTTGGGACAGAATTCTAGTTATTATTCTAATTGTTGTAACACATGAAGATATTATAGGATCCAGAAAATATTTTAGTGATTGTTTACATATGAGAGAATAGTAATTTTTTTCATTACAAATCGTGTAATAATATAATACTTATTTAGGCATATTATTTCGAAATTCATACCATATCTGGGTCGTTCCAGTGCCCCGGTCCTGCATGTTTCGCTAATCTATCCTGGTGATCGCCGAACCAGTTCATAATTTTGGTCATGGAAGCCCAAGAGTCTTCTATATCATCCCAGTTCCTCCACAGATTACAATGCTCAGCAATTGCGGCATAATCAGGCTAGAATTTTATATTTTATTTAACAAAACTTTTTATATCATAGGTCATTAAAGTGTTAACACAAAAAATATCTATATATCTATATATTTATCACCTTGCTCATCAAATAATGCAATAGTAGTCTCTATAGAAAGTTAGTCAATTTTTATTGTTATAAAATCTATTATAACTGAAACTTGGCTGATCAGGATTCTTGCCTAGGAAACATTGTCTTGGCTATGAACTTTTGTTTTTTTTACTTGTCAGCTAAAGGCGTCCATTTCTTAAGGGATAATAGAGAGTATAAAGTGTATTTTTATTTATTTAAAACAAAAATATTTTCATACCAGAATCTTCGCATCCTCTTGATAGGCCGGCCAACTGCAAGAGTACAAAATCTGGCGTCCAGTTTCATTCAACATCTTTCCAAATTGTGGGTATCCTATAACAAAAATACGACGGTAAATAACAATCGCTTACGATCAGGCCAACACAATTACTACGCCATAAAATATTAATTCTGATATAAAAAAAAATGCATATTTATGATTTCCATATAAGGTTATAAACTATAAATATAACGGAGAAGGAAATAGTTAGTAATTCCGTTGCTGACAATAGACAACATTAAGTCAACCTCCATACGGTCCCCCCAGAAAACAATCGTAATTGATTCCTGACGGGCTTACTGACCTAATTTCATACTAGTACTTCTTAACTGGTGCTACGCCGCGTATATCATTAGTAGGCGGTTGCTATTGTCCATAAATTTAAAAAAACTACCTACTATTACTTATTTCGCCGTATACAATAAATTTTATAACGTAAAATGTACGTACCTGCGTCCATGTCAGTTGGTTGGATGTAACACCCATCCAGTTTGAGGTAATCGATCTCCCATTCAACAAATGTGTCAATGTCCAACTTCTCACTGCCAAGCACGCCTGGGTATCCGGCGCACGTGAAGTTTCCATAATCCTGGTACATGCCGAACTTCAAACCGCGCTCGTGGATCTGAAAGTTGAGTCTGAGAGTCTGAGGCTTTGGTACAAATCTCATCTGACGGCTACTTTCTATTTCTATATTTCTATCGAAGAAGTAAAGCCTTCAGTCATTTACTGGTAAAGAAATATCAAGCACTTTCTATCCTTGATTTTATTGACTAAGGACGCAAAATGGTAAGTATGATACCGGGTAATAAAATATGTGCAAAACCTATATAGTAATTATGTATTAACTAACTAACCCGCGCTACTTCATTTGCATCACACATACTTACTTGATATTTATCATTATATTAAATTTACAATATATGTTATTCTGATGTCACCATCATCATCTGCTTCTTCCTTATCCTATTCGTTCTTGCCATATCATCTTTTACACAGTCCACACATCTTTTTTTCGGCCTTCCTCTGCACTTATAACCATCCACATTGATATGTAATACTTTTTTTTTTAATTATTCTTTTCATTTCCACGCATTACATATGTTATTCTAATCTATATGCCATTATATATATTATTGTTAAGTTTCGTCAAAACCCGGTCACTATTTTTTGCATAGAGTAACAAATATACATCGATCCATCCACACCCACAATTTTTTTTGTAATATTAAGTGAGAGAAAGATAAAACCTGTCTAGTTACTGTATTTGATACTTACAAAATCGGAGAGTGCCTTCATCCCGCTTGGAAATCGTTCCCTATGGGGGACCATACGCCCATCAGAGCCACGTGTCTTCTCCAGCCAGCAATCATCAATGCCAATATAATTGTACCCTGCATTGAGGTAGCCCTCGTTGACCATCAGCTCTGCTGTTCGTTTGATTAAATTTTCACTGAAAATAATATTGGACATGAATTTAATTATCACACTTTTAAAGATGGCTTTTAAAGATGTTTGCTATAGTGGCGTAATAATTTATGAAGACCTCGGTGGTCTGGCGGTAGCGTCTCGCTTTTCGATGGTCTTGGGTTCAATCTCCGCACTCCACTCTTCGTTCTTATGAACACTTTTATTTATAAATATATGAATTTGGGTGGGCGTTTTACATATTTAAAAAATATATCTAAATATGACTGTCTAGTAATCTAATACCATAGAATAAATATTAATTGTTACTCTATACCAATAGTACATAGATCTCTGATTTATAAGTATTTGTTTTGACTTAATTTTTTATTGTTTTTGTCAATTTTTATTTTTATCATAGTTGCTGCATTTGTGATATGAAATCTATGTCCATTCTTGTGATATAATCTTATGTTTAAATTTCCAGAATTCCATTACGTTGCTTTCAGCAATTTATTTAGTAAAAGGTAAAACACAAATAAGTAATAATAGCGTGGATGTACCTGATGCACTCCTGAGGGTACTTCTTACAGTCCGTAATGCACCGGAATCTTTCCCACGAAAGCCAGCCCATTGGCGGTGTGAGAGCCAGCCCATTATCCAGAGCTAAGGTTCCAGATAGAAAACATGAGAACACCAACCACAGAAACATCTGGAATTCAAACGTTTATTTATATATAAATTATAATAACTTAAAATAGTGAAGGAGATTGTTAGAAATGTACACTGATGACCCCATCGCTAGCAATGTACCATGCCGGTTGACCTGTAAGTGGTTCCCTGTGATCATCTCCATCATGACAAATTCCTGAATTTGAATTCCTGAATTTTTGTTAATGAACATGAGATCAAATAAACTTTGTCATAATCGGAAAATTTACCTGATTTTATGTTCATCCAATAATTCTCCACTGGTACCTCGCTGGCATAAACCGTTAGCGTAGGCGGGTGCGCCATTCCTATATCATCCATTAAAAAAATATTCTAAGGAAAAAATATAAAATAAAAACGGAATATAATAATGTAATACCACCTATAGTGAAAATATACTTTATATATTTTAAACTTTCTTAGTTTAAGTCTATAAAAATTTAATGCAAAGTGTGAAATACCTACATAAATAATATAAACCGTTTTCATAAATAACGATGCCTCTAAATTACCTTATTAGCTACTCTCTGGTTCATTGAGTGCAGTAGGTATTGATTTTAATATAGAATATAAAATATATGATTTAGCAAATAGGTACTTATTTAAATATAATTATGTTTAATTCGCAAAGTGTATATATACTGTAGATAAATTCTGGAATTTTATTACTACTGTCTACTTTTGGAAATATTTATTTCAGTATGTTGATATTAGAAGAAGTGCAAGTCCTACAGTCTTATATATAAGTTAAGGTAATAAAAAAAATTAATATACATACTATTGATTTCATTGTTAATATAAAAAAAAGTAAAACTCCTTCAATAAGTAATTCAATGTCAAGAATTTGAATTGAAACCAAACTCGATTTAACTGTCTCCCTCGTTCTCACGTTCCAAGAGAAGGTCAACGCTATTTGGGTAATGACCGGTTTTAGTATGCAGGTCGCGGCCGTAAATCAATAGGAAATAAAATCAATTGGATGAAAGTGCAAAACTTGTTTTGTTATCTATATGTAGTATTATCAGAAATGCGATAGTAGCATGACCTATATTTAATTTCAGAATAACGGTATCAAAAATAGGTAACTATGTACTTGCTACTCAATATTACAGTTCATAAATAAGTATCCTTATTCTTTCCACTTTTTTTATTCTTAGTAGTATTAAAAATGCGAAAGTGGGATTGCCTGTCTGCCTGTGTACCTATCTGTGTTCTTACTATCTCACAAACGAACGCCTGAATGACTCTTAATTGATGTCTAAATAAATAGTAGGTATTACAAGAGTCAATGAATGACTTGAATGACATAATTGTAATTTAATGCATAATAAATAGTATTACGAGAACGGTCATTAGTTATCTGTTATCTCAAGAAAAAAACAGACAAAGTTAGAGGTAAAATTAAATACAGTTAAATTACATGTTCAGTAGAAATAAATGTATTTTTTTTATTATTGGAGATTTTACATGTTCTTGTAAAGCTGTTTTTCTTTATCTACTTAGCTTTTCCCGCGCGGAAGGACACGCACATAATTAGAGCGTATAGGATTCTTTTTTTTGTCATATGAACTTAAACTAATTCGTAAGTTTTATTTATTAATTAAGAACTTATTAACCTTATTAATATATTAAAATAAATAAGCAGTGGTTAAACTCATAAATACCCAATATCTAATATCTTAGACAAATATGAACAAAAACCCTGGTTTTATAACGTATATTTTTATAAAAACAAGTCGCAGAAAATACCTATACATATACGGGTATTTATCAATCTATTTATTGTGAAAATAAATTGTAAATTTCATAATATAAAAAAAATCTTAATTTAAGTCGTCTAAATTCTACCAATTTTTGTAAGTAGACTTCTATTCCATCCAATATATATAAATTATAAAGCTAATAATCAGATAGGTTTGTTACAAACTCACGTGAAATTTTAATAAAAAAAAAATTGTAAGACAAAAATGAACATTATCACTAAAATATAATATACAAAAATTATAATATGTATCTACAAACCTTTGTTAGTAAAGTAAATTTCGTTTCGAAATCCGAGTGGTAACTGAATCAAACTCCTTATGCACCGATGAATAAAATTGAACACGTCTGTTTAGTCCTAATCGAGCGACAACATTGCATCGAGTCTACCTACATTACTCCTCTATATCCTCTCTGGCCATGAGATAACAACAAAGTGCATTAGTATGCGAATGCCCTGGCTATTACTGCGACCCAGGGCTTAGGGAAACAGAAACCGAGGTTATAAACATGGGTGAGAAACTTTTAAAGCAGAATTTATCATGTTAAATAAAAAATAATGTATTGTAATCTATGTATATATGGAATACCAGGTATATACCGTAGATATGTACCTATTACAAATAAAAATATACACATATTGAATTAGTTAATCCACGAGAGAAGGATTGTAGTTAATATACAGTTAACCTTTTTTGTGTTTGTAATATATTTATTTTTATTTGTAATATATAGGTACATACTTAGTATTGTATATAGATTATAAATATATATATAATTATAATATAAAAATTATATTTTTTAATGACATAGCTAATTTGAGAGAGAGGAATTGTAGTTAAAATACTGTTAAACACCTATAGAAAAAAATACTTTGATTTTCCTGTCCAATCGGAATAGGATCGGAATTGCAATTTTATTGCTTTTTAGTAATATAATTATATTTTTTCATAGATGTAATATTTATTTATAAATGAAAATGCATATATCTCATATTTAACAAATTAAATATCCGATCTATGATGCATTTTCATCTCATCGTTAAGCATTAATATTCCTATAGATATAAATTAAGAAAATACTTAGAAATTACGAAAACTTTAGTAACAAAGAAATCTGTTTTATTCTATAGTAAATTTTGCAAATTATGTTTCATATAGACAACGTAAGCAATAAATTCTCTACATAAGGCATAATGTGGTATATTTTGTATTTTACGCACACTCATTTATTGATCACTTTGACATGCGCGAAAATGGTACCTATAACATATTGACTGAGGTAAAGTGAGGAGAGGAAAGACTATTGTTAGTATATGTTAATGCCCTCAATACTAGCTATATCGTCTTAGGTTGACCTCCAAGCGGTTCCCCCTGGAAACTATCCTGGTTTATTCTTTGAACTCGTCACAATGGGCTAACTGACCTTACTTCAAACTCGTCTAATTATACACCAGAGTATACTTTATAAACAAAAATAACCATGTGAATAAGATTGCAGTAGTTATTGTGTACAAAGTCATCAGAAATCATGCGAAAATAATCGTTTACTTATATTATCATCGAGTCATTCTATTGTGCTATTAATTAATAGCTATATTAGCTCAAACGGCCATTAAGTAACACTGAATCAATTCCGTCATAGATCAACAATTGAATAGGATTATAATGTGTAAGCCAATTATTTCCACTTCAACACGTTTTTGTGCTATGCATTTTTTACATAATATCTGTAGAACAAAATTCTCTTTTGTTTTATGAACGCTTCCATCTCTTCCATGCTTACTTGTCAGCCCATTTCACAAAGGGTTGCTCATATTCGTCAATAGTGTTTTTAATAGAATGAAACTACTCTCGGGTTCCATATAAATACCTATTAACGAATTTCGTCATTATTGCAGAAGAATTAATTCCTTGCTAATTGTTTATAACATAAATGTCATTAGAAATTACATTTAGTGTCTCAGCTAGTACGCGCTAAGTTGTCAACGAAAAAGAAGAAAATAAGCAAGCTGTAACTAATGCAGGCTGTCTCCAGAAGCATGTTCTCCCCAAGTTGATCCATCCTCCGATAATCGCGTGAAAGAACATTATATCAAATTTTATGTTCACCTAGTAGCACAACCATACCACCTGAGTCACATTGCAAATTCATCGGATGTGTAGATACTTTAATTAAACACAATATATTTAATAAATTGTGTAAATAATAAATGTTAGATGTCTTTAAACATTTAAAGGCATCTAACATTTATTATTTATATTCTCGGTCTCTGGAACCTCACGCACAAGTTGAATCCACCTTTAAAGAAAGAAACTTGTGTGTTGTTCTTTTAAATAAATGTTCTTAGGCATTATATTTGTAAGATTTTGTGTGAATACAAACTGCCAAATAATAAAGTTGACATAAGTAAACAAAAAGTTACTTGACTAACAAAATAAATCAGTAATTCCGATAACTATTATCGGAATAGACCAGTCCCTAGCTGCATATGCCATTGCCATATTTTAGGAAGCCCAAAGACCAGTATGAAGAGCACTTGATGCTTACATGCAACGGTTACCGCTCATCATCAGGTCAGTATAAGAATCAATATCATAAATCAATATTATAAACTAAAAATTAAAAAAAATCTAATTGATTACATATTTCAAAAGCCCTAAAAATGTAATGCTGAACAACATTTATTTATAAGAGCAACACGCAAGTTTGTTGATCTTAATTTTTGCGACAAGCTTGCGTTCATAATCAGCGTCAAAATAAAAAAGTATATCTGGTAAAAAGTTTAATTGAATAAAGATTTATTATTATTTTGTCTGTACTTTACACAAACACAAAAAAAAAACATTAAAACAATGAAAGGGAAGGGAGACTAATGATATTATGTTATCTGTGCTAATAATTTAAATTAGATATTCTATATAAATTCAAATCATTTACACAAACTTAAAAACTCATACCTACTTATATTGAAATAAGATAATAGCAATGTTAGGAGGTATGTACCTATGCTGCATAAAAGTTTATTCGATGGAGAAAGTTACTTTTCTAAATAGATTAGGTCCTATACACACTACACACGCTGTGGGTGGGTATTGTATCCTGTAATAGAATGACAGATAGGCATATCCCGCTACGGATGAAAGGGTTGTCACGAATTAAATTTATTTTACTTTTACTGATTTTATTGATAGATTAGTCCAAATGTTAGAAAAATGTATACGTGTAGTATTTATAAATTATGATGAATACAATATAGTATGATTTAGTAATGTACCATGTCAGGTTGAACTACACGCGGTTCCCTCTAGAAACCTTCATGTTTAATCCCTGATGAATTTGCCACGATTGAACTGATCTGACCACACCCAGAAGCGGGCGGGTGCATCATCCCATTATAAAAAACTACAGTATGATAGCGAAGACGCCGTCCAGCAATACCGCTGGTATACTATATAAAGTTGTATACGTGCATAGGTACTGTGAAGACCTATGCACGTATATATGCATTCAATAACCATAACACACCAACCCACTCTAGCGCAGAAATTACTAGCTATCCTGCAATTTCACTGCCACATCTCACTCTTCAACCAAATCCCAGATTATAAAGCGACTTTGCAGCTGCTTAAAATGAGACTGAGATACCCATTGAGTCTACTTTTTCCAAAGTTTGGTGAATAACAGCAACTAATAACAAAACAAATAAATAGTGGAGGCAACCCTAAATAAATGATATGATAATATCCATGTGTTTTGAATTTAAGATAACTACAACTTGAAGTCATAACGGTAAAGGGGACACTAATAAACAAATGTGACCCACATAAGAGTCACTGACCCCAAACCAAGTGGTCATGAATAAGAAAAGCATGTACTCTACTCTCCAAATAGTACATAGATGTCAGTTTATTGAAAAATAAAAACAGCTTGTCACATATTTGAGATTAGATTGATCGGCTCACTTACTTTGATTGACAAGTCAATCTGATCGTAAGGAATGGAATGAACCAAAACATATTTTGATGTGACCTACTTCGTAGGGTTGTCGTTACGGTTTGAAACAAAACATGGATTTCGCCTAATTAGCATGTAATGCGATCTTTCAAGCTAGTAAACCTAAATCAGTTCCGTTTAATTATACTACGTAAATCTGTTTTATAAAATTATTCTTTGGCATTTTTTTCTCTGCTACGAAATTTAATCAGATGAGAGAGAGAGATGCTAGAAATACATAAATATCAGCCCCGAATGGTTTGTAATTGCTGAGAAAAATCGAGATTACTGACGTAAATATGTAGTAACGTAAAAAATAGTGAATGCAACAGAAAGATAGTATAACCTGAATCGTAGTGTTAGTGGCATTTTTATCAGGAATATGTATATTAATAGTAACAAAATCGTAAGTCACAATATAGCGGCATCTAGTCCCAAACTAAGCAAGCTTGTCTTAAAAGTACCTACTGATGAAATATTTCTGTATCTTTTTTGTAAATACACACATAATATACATAGAAAATACGCGTACAATCAGGCAATCATACTCATGAATACAAATTATTGAATGATGCGAGGAATCGAACCCATAAAGCGAGTGTCCGCGGGTCAGTGTAAATAGCTAGACATGGTGGCCGCCAATTAATAGAATACTTCTTTATTCACTTAACTTTTACTTAATATTAAAATTACGATGCCATTAATTTATATTATCTACATTTATTACATGCAATTCTGTGTTAACATACAAGTAGTAGTAAGTCGTAGATATATGACTCAACTGTTTTAGCAGTTTGGCAGTTGTTTTGCAGCGGCTGTTTAGATTTAAACAGAGATATGGCGATGAAAGATCATGCTACGTTGTTGCATGTTGTATGTAGACGACCGTTGCCATTAGCCATCAGGTAGCCCATTAGTTTCTTTGCTATTCGAGTTACATAAATATATCTGTAGAATCCTCAATATATGGAAATATAAATAAGCTATTTAAAATCGCCATAACAATGCTTAAACTGAGATGGCAACCCTCAAAATTTCTACAAGGAAGTGTGGGGGTTGTTAATAATGACTGCAATATTAGGTTGACTTCTACGCAGACCGTCTGAAAATCATCATGAGATTAATTCATAGTAAATTTGATACTATGGGCTAATAACTAGTCTTCTTAGCTTCTACGCTAGCGTATACCGTTGGTGAAAACAGGTGCATCATTCCTACTTTATTCCCTCATTAAACAATTTTTTTACTGTTAAAATAGGCGGGAAAACTATTTCATCGCCAACTATTAAAATATTTATATAACTCGTCACATTATAGATGAAGAAGTCGTTCGGACTGTAATAATTAAATTATAATGTGAACCTGTTAATAAACCCATTCGAACCGGAGATCTTCCGTCCAAGGAATGAAGTCAGTTAATTTGATAACTGCGATTAAACATGTTTTTTCTGCATACTCAAGAAAGTCCAATAAAAGACACATTTCATTGATTTTGTGACTGACTTCGAAAAAAGAACTTTGAAAGTTCTTTTTTATATTGTTTTATATTGTTAATACCAATCAATACTATATATATTTACTTGTACTAATACTTGTACTACAATAAATTACTGTCGTGAAAAAGGGACCCCTAAAAGAAAAATTAAATAATGATAGTTGAAATCTATATAGATAGAACTGTGAAGAAATAGCTCGAGTGTTGTTCTCCAAATTCAAATTCATTTGATCTCCTTTTCAGTGATGGAACAGGCAAAGTGACTAGTTTTAAACTTTTTTTTGAACAAGTGATGAGGCCAAAGGCCAATTCTTATGTATGTTTATTTTTTGTTTTCATTCGTGTTCAAAATTTAAGTCTTATATAGTCCATATCCTTGTATCAATTATTTAAAGTTTTATCGATATCGAGGTAACATATAAATATATGTATATATGTTTCAAAAAAAACCTTGTAAATGTTCAGTAAATTATCAATAAAATAAAATATTATAAGCGGAACATTCGAAAAAATGTGATTTACTGACTGCTTTATAGTTAAAAATCTTGACATGCATTTGAATCAATTATTTTCATTCGGCACAAATGACTATTGAATCTAGCGTGACCAAAAAATAAGGAGTGTGTAAAATTTCCGGTTTTTATAAACTCTAGATTTAGTGAACTAGGTTGAGGAATTAATATTTTTGTTAATAGAGTAAAACCAATTACCCTTGGTCTTTAGCGAGAATTGTTCAACCCATTTTTAACGAAAACTCTTGTAAACTATAGAAAAACAAACGTAATCCTTGACAACGCCAATGTCATTGTTGGTGATAGTTCTTGCCAGGAAATCTGCGTTTTCATTGCCAAAAACACCAATATGTGATGGTGTCCATAATAAAATAATATATAACATCCAATTAAAATTTTTGAAAAACTATGATATAAGTTTTATAATGTAGTTTGTTATATTTATTGTCTGTGACAATTAAACAATGTATCATCTTTTATATAACAAAGTGCATTTATAGCCAAAGATTCTGCTGAAAAAATCAAATTCTTTATGTATTCTAGTTCCATATATACTTGGTGAAAGCAAACCGGCAAGATTCGTTTTTAGAACCGTCTGTAAATATGGATTGATGAGTTGAATGTAGACAACTTGTTATAAACTTCTTGTTTTCTTAACTCAGAGTCAATTACAATATTAATTTTTGGAAATTTACTTTCAAATGAAGTAACAATTCCAAAATCTATTGCTTTTGTGAATTTTGTATTATCAATATTGATTAGTCAGAAATCATGGGTATACAACTGTTTTATAATTAGAAAGGGGATAAAGAAGTAATATGTTTGAGCTTTTGTAAATTAAAGGATAATAATTTTAAGATGAATCTTTGGTACCAGAATCTCAGGTTTAATGGTGGTATACAGCATGTATTCGTTTTTATTTAATAGTTATGTATCTTCGATTATTATTCTGAAGTACTTCAAGTTTATGAAGCGTTTTGGTTGAAAAAAAACATATTCAAAGTGGCTGAACCAAGGATTTGTACCTTTTTCACATTTATATACAGTTGATAATATTAAATGCTTTCTTTATTAAATAATCAAATATTTTTCATGTGTTAATTCAGCAGTAATAGGTTTTGAATTATTATATAATATTTTAATGTTTTTGTAGGATTTATTAGTTTTAGAAAATATTACTACTTTAGATATATTATGCAATACAATAACAATGAGTACTTAGTCTTTATAAGATGAAAAGTATATAACTCATCTGCAAATTGAAATTCCTGACATCCTAAAAAACTTAATGTAGATATGGACTAAGTATTCCACCTTGACACACATATAAGAAAATATTATTAACTGCTTGTTAATTTTAACAAAAACTTCTCTACCATTTAAAAAGTTATAGACCCAGTTTATAATTTTTCCAGGTATACCAATAGAAACAAGTTCCATAATGTGATGATTGACATTATTGTGTTTTCATTGCATTTTTAAATATATCAATATGGAGATGATAACACTCTCAGAGGCAGATTTTCTGAAAAAAAAGTCTGGCACTCTCATAGGATAATCTTTGTTTTAAAATTGCTCAAATATTTTTCCCATGCGTCAGGGTTTGGGTCTGTAAGAACTATTTCATTTGCATTTTTGTTTGGTTTTATTGAATAATACAATCTTTTTTCCAATCGGAAGGAATAACTGACTCTTTCCACAGTGCATTATAAATACATAGAACAATATTTTTAGGTTAAGATGAATAATTTAAAATGTATGAGACCAAATGCTGTATCTCTTGTAGATATGGCTGCATTGAATTCAGAAAAAGTGAAGGGTTTATTTAAATAATTTAATTTGTTACTATTTTCATTAATGTGTGATTTAAATTGGGTCTCGACAGTGTCAGGAGTATATTTCTTAAGAAAATCTGAAATCAGTTATTTTTATTTGAAATCTGACTATATACATAAGTTTTATTAATATTAAATAACTGTAATTGTATATTAAAACAAAAATTATTTAAAAACTATTAATTTTTTTTTGGCTTGTAACCTTTTAAATGTAATATAATTTGCCTCTGATAAAATAAATACTTTTAGTTATCTTAGTGTATTTTGTAATGGAATCCTTTTATTTTTAAATGAATATCAGTTGTAGATTTATATTTTGATTTTGATATATAACTTTTGTCTAGAGCTAAATTGAAAATATCAATTAATTTAGTATACACTGCAGGGGTGAATTACTATAAGTGTAAAGTGTAAAATCTTGTAACAAACTATTCTTATACATGGTCCAATCTTAAGATTGTAATTATGAAATTTGATAATCTTTCTGGAGTGCAATTGTTATTAATTACTATTTTTGTTATTACAGGTAAATGGTAGCTACCTAAGGGATCATTATGTACCATCCAATTTGAAGCAAGAGAAACAAGGGGATGCAATATAGGTTGCATTACTCTGCCATCTGTGTGCTACTGTAAGGTACCATCATTTAAGATGACCAAGTTGTTACCATCAATACATTCAAGAATGTCACGACCACGAGCATTAATAGAACCCCATGCTGTGTGATAGCATTAAAATCACCAGCAAAAATGTTCTGGAATACTATTGAAATTACTATTTATTTTTGTTAAAAGACTACAATTATTTGGGCTATAAAACTAACAACTGACATTTCTGTGTTTTTATATTTTGCAATATTCTGTAAGGAATCATCACTATATGTATCAATTTTATAAAAATAAAATTGCTTTAGACATCTTAACAATGTTAAAACCTTTAATATTTAATTTATAGTAGGTGATATCAGAGCAATATGAATATTGTTCTCCAATAGAAAATGTGTAAAGATTTGTTGATTACTTACTACACTTTGTGCAGTCCACTGGACTATTACTATATGGTCCATAAAGAAATAAAAAATTAAAGAAAGAAAGATTAATCTGGGTTTTTTTTATCTGTAACTAGGAGAACTTGTTTTATAAAACATTGGTTCTATTCAATGTTATAATTTTAACAATTGATTCTAAATGTATTTAAAATTGGTCATTAAGTAGGGATATAAATTTCCAGGTTTTTAGTAATTGAGGAAATGATTTCTCTCTAACAATATCAGCATAACTTTGTACTTTATTTTTACTATTTTCTTTTTCTTAATAGGAACTGTGATGAAATATATATGATTACCATTGCATGACAACATATTTTTATGCCGAACAGTTTCTGAAATTATGATTAATGAATTTGTGTCTTACAAAACTTAGCGATGTGACCATACCTTAAACATTTAAGACACTGCTTTACAGGAGGTATATAAGGCCTCACCACAAAGCGCCAACTATTCAGGTCGACGGTGTCAGGAAGTACAGGACAGGAAAATGTGATGGAGACGGTTTTAGTTGGCTGCATTGTAAAGGTGTTATCATCACCTTTAATACGCCTCATGAATCTGCGTACACAAACAATATTTTTTCTGGTTATATTAGAGTATATTTGTTCGTTCGATAGATGCGTAGGAACATGCTGAACTAAGTTACTTCCGTGGCTGAAGCTGGTATACTTGCCTTTAATTTAAATCCGTCTAGAAATTTTTTATTAAAAACTGCATCAAACCGGGGCGTTCAAAAATGACGCCGATCTTAAATTTATTTAATTGCTTAACTCCTTTATTATATTTTTTATATATAGCTAAGGACATCATATATCACCGATATTATGTACTCTCCATAAATACAATGTATTTTTTTTTAATCTGGTATTTGAAATGCCTTATACTTATATCCTCAGGTCCGATTACAGATAGAAAATTAATATCATCGGATGTATCATCCGATATTTCCCTCTTCTTTTTTGCTTCTTACTCCTCTTCGTCATCTTTACTGGTTTTGACTAAAAAAAACTCAATAAAATATAATCTCTTTAGTCGCTTTGAAAGTTCCCGCGCCTCATTTGATAGATGGAGGTGACTAGTGTTTTTTTTTCTTTCACAATTTGTATTGCTACATGATTGCCAGCTATAACTGAATACTATTTAAAAACCATTACAATAAATAAAAATTACTAATTAAATACTCCTATTTATAGTTAAAAATCTCAGACTGTTAAAAAAAATTAAATACTCAATGAGTGCGTAGAACGAAACGCAACAAACTTCATAATGCCAAAACCACAGCCAAGTATTTGACAGCCAAACAAAACAAACGTAAACAAAGGCAGGAAGTGCAAACTTGACGTTAATTTGAAAATATATAACATTTAAAAATTTTGAAAAACGAATAAGAAATGTGTTTTTTATATTTATTTTCGTATTAACAATGTATAGTGTTTGTTTAACACTTGTCAAAATGTAATATATAGGTGAAAGCAACCGGCAAGATTACTCAGGAAATGATTCATGTGAATACTCAAAACTTTCTTACCACTAATGAAGAAATACTGAAATTATTAACAACTACAGTCATGGGTACAACGTACCGCGATTTATTTAAATTATACGACTTAATCCAATGCGGAGATATCAGGTATGTATTCGTTTTTATTTAATACGTATCTTCGATTTTAAAACTTCGCGTGTGGTTGAAAAAAACTCTTGCCTTTTTTCTACAGTTATTTGGTTTCTATTCTACAAATGTATCATGTGTTTTCCGATTGCTTTTTGATAAGTAGTAAGTGCATAATATATTATGCAATACAATAACAAGTGTACAGTATAAGATGAGTCATACTTCCTATATCCAAAACTTAATGTAGATATCGTATTAGATATCAATACAATATCAGATAATATTATGTAACTCTGTGAATTTGTCAGTTTTTAAAAACGATTGCATAATGTGCAGTATTTGTGTTTTGTTTTTTAAACAAAATTAGATTATTCTGAAAAAAATTAAGTCTGACACTCATAGGATATGAATTAAAAAATTAAAACACGTTTAGGCTGTAAGGACTAACTACTATTGCCTGACCCATAAAAGAAAAGGTTAGATGAAAGAAAAATGGCTGTACAATTGTACAGTAGCACTAGCGCATAATCTTATTGATTCTAATTAAATTAATATTAAATAACTGTAATTGTATAGTAAAACATATTTAAAAACATTATAAGCAAAATATGAATATATAAAACTTTTAGTTATATTTTGTATGCTAAATGTTCTCAGATTTATATTTTAGTTTGTTACTAGAGAAAATGACAAGAAAAATTAAAATATGTGTGAATTGACAAATAATGCATACATTATGGAATAACAGTAGTGGACAATTTTATTGTGAATTTTATGCTTGTTGATTTCCAGATTGGTGGAATCATTTTTGAGAGGGACCAGAGTAACAATAAATGATATTGTACCATGCAAAGGTATTGGATTATTACATCTAGCTGTGGGCATAGACCCCATAGAAAAATCGAAAAAGTGCACTGAAATTATATTGAGACATGGTGGAGATCCAAATTTATGGTAAGGTTATTTTTTTTAAATAGTTTTATACATTTAACTGTAATTCTATAAGTGATTGAGGCATTGTAATGCATTGGTACTTACAAGTTACATTTTATCTACAAAAACATCATTATCTATATCAATGGATAAATGTACTTATTTCATATAAACTTCCATTTTTTAGTATTATTTTAACTTTCACTTTTAATGCACATTATTAAAAAAGTTGTATGTCCTATCACAAATATTTTTATGTTAAATAATGAATTTGTGTCTCAACTAGGGTTCATGACGCTTTTCAATTTTGTCTCGAGAAATAAACTTATCTCTTGCGAGAAATTTATATATTGTCATATTATCAGTGGTTTTCCTCTCAAATAAAACTATCAAATTAAACTTTTATTGAGTATATAAAAACTTAATTTTTTTTTTTAATAGGCTTTTTTACATATGAAACGTTTTGTATATATACTTGGATCTCAAATATCTCCTCGGTTAGGAATTCCATTTCCAAATTATTTGGAATACTATGCTATTCACTTTGGGTCACTCACAGCATACAAAATGAAAAACTCAAAATATCGCATTTTATGAGTACGAGTTCCGCTGTGGCACCAGTGCTACACGGTGCTAAACGGCTCGAAGTATTAATGATGTGTATGGCAGTGGTCTCGCAAAAGAAAACACGTGCATTTTTGGTTCCAACGTTTTCGTTCTGGAAATTTCGACCTGCAAAGCAATCTCCGTGGGCGGACGGAATCAAAGGTGAAGAATTGAAGGCTATTGTGGGAGCAGACCCATCGCAAACCCGTCCGAGTTAGCTGCAGGCTGCGGTGTTAGTGACAAAACTGTTTTAATCCTTTAGCAAATTGGGAAGGTGAAAAAGCTTGAAAAGTGGGTCCCTCATGAATTCAATGGAGTGAATCGACAAACGCGCGTAGCCTGCTGCGTTACATTAATCAACCGGCATAATAATGAATGGATTTTAAATCAAATCATTTTCTGTGATGGACAGTGGATCTTGTACGATAATCGGAAACGCTCATTGCAATGGCTAAACCCTGGCGAACCAACCAAAAGCCTGCCCCAAGCGAAAATTGGCTCAAAAAATGTTACTTGTGAACGTTTGGTGGACTATTTCCGGTGTTGTTCACTTCAGCTTTCTTAAATCTGGCCAGACGATTACGGCAAATGTGTATTGTCAACAGTTGAGAAATCATGATGGAAAAGCTAGATAGCTGCTAAACAACCGAGACTGGTCAATCGCCAAGAACGCTTGACCACATAGTGCACAACAGACAGTTACCAAATTAGAAGAGCTTTAATTGGAATGTCTAAGACAACCATCGTACTTCCCGGACCTTGCTCCAACAGATTACCATTTTTTTTCGAAATTTAGATAACTTCTTGCAAGGGAAAAAATTAAACTCCGATGGGGCAGTCCAAAGTGCAAAAACAAAAGGCAAAAGTGCATAAATAGAAATGGTACATACTTTGATTAAATAAATATATTATATTTTGAAAAAACATACTTCAAGTTATTCCCTTACAAAACGCCAATTTCATTTTTTTAGGACCTGATTATTCAGACTTATATTTATAATGACAGCACCATTTTTGTATGCTTATTTAAAAAAAAAAAAAAACAAAATAGAATAATAAAATAGTTTCTATAAAATAAAAAAATAACATGAAAGAAAACAAAAAAGTTAATATCTTAAATTATTGCACCGCCACGCAACAAAACAAAGGGCAATTTCTATATAGGTACATGATTTTCGAGTTCTCGACTTTTCTCGAGCTTGATTTCCCGGGAACAAAACCCATGAAATTCTCGGTTCGAGAATTCCCGGAAATGAACCCTAGTCTCAACATTTCAGCTAGTTAACAGTTTTTTGTGTTTTAGTGGTGACAATAAATAAAATTTAGCCCCTCTTAATGTATACCTTAATAATACCTTAGTCAAAGATTAAATACCAGGAGTATGATGTGTTATTAAGCCTTAAGAAACCTTTATAATAATAAATGTTAATGTACAATAATTATATATTAATCTATAATATAATATATGGAGCAAAAGCTTTATATCCCCCTTTACGAAATTTGATGGAGGAGTTTGAAAATTTGATTGTCCGACAGTGCCCTGCGAATAACTATCCGAAACCGAAAAATCTGTCGGATAACCTGGGGTCCACTGTAGTTCAATGCAGGAGTCAAATGGAGAATAGATTAGTATAGTTTGTATTTAATATTATTTGAATTTCGACCACTGACTACTGGTGACTAGTAATAATAAATTTTAATATACAATAAAGAAACATTTCTTTTATACAGCACATGCTGTATAAACGTTTTATGTAATACCATTGACTATCTTAATACCTATTTTTATAGTTATAAAAATAATATATTTCTTTTTTATTTATATTTTTACAATAAACTAATCTTCTAGTCATGCTCACTAAAATGTCCAGACATGTGGCTTTGGGCCGGGTCAAGCTAAAATATGGTCGAGCGCAGTGATGGCTGGCTCATCCGTCATACTCGTGAACGAGTGCTACTTGTAGGGACTGGTCTGCTCTTATCACTACGACTGATTTAATCTTATTGCATATTTATATTTGACCCAAAAATTAGTGCTTGTTGGTAGTTTGTATTCACACGTTTCGACTTGTAAATGTAAACTTACAAGGATTATTTAAAAGAGCAACACACAAGTTTCTTGCTCGTTCTTCTTGTGATGAGACAGCTTTCCGAACGAGTGGTAGATAAAAAACAAATTGTTATGACTATTCAAAAGTGCTTAAATTAAGTTTATTTGAATAAATGATTTTCTATTCTATTCTATTCTTCTACTCTTTTAGCAATGATGATGGCATTACTCCAGTTCATATAGCTGCTATATGGGGGAGAGTGGACAACCTGAAACTGTTGATAGGATGCGGGGGTGATCCCTCTCGCAGAGACTTTGATGGACACTCTGCTTTTGACTATGCCGCAAGAGAAGAACAGTGGGATGTGTATGATTATCTACATAATGTAATAGATCCACTGGATGATTCATTAAGTTCGAAATGCGCTTATACTTTAAATTTGGGTATGTATTTACAGTTTATTTAATATCAATCATTTACAATTGTGTTAACTATATCAAGCTATAAATTAAATCATCTCATTTAAAAGATGTTTTTAATGTAATTAATGGTTAACTAGTTAATGAACTATCTTTTTATATACATAAACACCAGCAAAACTTAATCTTGTAATGATATCACGCATTGTCATTCCCAAAGGCTTTATGTACCTCTGCAGAAACTGCAAAGTATTAGTAATTTCTACTACATTATATCTACCCATTTTTATACTTTTACTTTTTGATTAATTTTTTATTGTAAATATAATAAACTTTTTTATTCAGTGAACCTAAAAGCTAAAGAGGTATTAAATTTTTTTATATATTTTATATATTGCTCCTAATATATTAGTGGTTGACATCTTATTTTAATGTTTCAGAGAAAGTATTGGTGGAAACCGATCAAATGGTTGCAGAGTATGAACCAATAATAGAAGAAAGATTAAGTAATCTTAATATAACAGCTTCAAGAAAGTCTGATATGGTACGCGACTGGTGCGAGAAAACCAGTTTAGTTGTAAACAAATTATATCCCACTATCCTTGGTGATACATATTTATTAGACAATGAATCGGCACCTTGGAAAACAGGTGACTTTACCAAAAACACGACACTAGATCACACTGATCTAAATGTTTCAAAACGGAAAGAATTCAATGATACAAATAGTAGTTTCAAGACATGCCTATCAAAGAAACTGTCATATGAAGTGGATATAAGCGGTATAAAACCTTTAGACAAAACTATGGACCGAAATAACTGTAGTTGTTCAAAATCGAATTCAAATAATAATAGTAGTAGTAGGAGTAATCGCATGACTACCTATGAGAACTTCTCATTACCAGGATCTCCAAACAATATTACTCATAAAAATTACAATACAAGGACAAACATAAAGAGGGCAGTGTGTTGTAAGGAAACTGAGAATCACTTGCTAACTTTCGACAATTCACAGTCATTAATATCTGATGATAGATCAGTAAATTTAGACAAGGCTCTGGCTGTCGCACAGAATAGAACAAATGAGTGGTTGTCATTCAGTAGTAACAGTGATCCATCAAGATCTCATGTGAGAGGTATGAATACCAGGAGATCATCAGCTAGTAGTGGTGTGAGCAGTAATTATTCTGGCGGTAGCATAATGATTGCAAGCATGCAGGAGGAGTACAAGTACGAGGATAAAGAAGAAGATGTAATGCTAATCGAGAAGAGACTACTAGTTTCACCGATAGTGTAAGCTCTAGTATTTTTTTTATGTTAAATGTATATAACAGTAGTATAGCTATATGCTTGTATTATACATATAAGCCTTTTGGAAGAAATTCTTCGTATGACAATGTAAACTGCACCAAATTCAATATGGTTTGAAAGAGAAATTGATATATGTAAAAACCTGTTTTTATAAAATCATAGACTTATAAAAGCTTTTAATACAATGTAATGAAAAGACAAATTTTTATATAAAAAAAATTGCATTAGTATTTAATATTTCATTGTTACTAATATTACAGGTAACATAATATTACATCTAATATATATGCACTACATTTTATTCAAAATTGTTCCAGTCTTCCTCTAGAAGATGGAGCTGATACCACAAATGTGGATCAAACAATCCTATCAGTGGCATCCTCGCTCCCGCCGTCTGTACAATACGACAATAACACTTTACGAGCAGAGCTGATTCGCCTTGGTTTCAGACCGGGCCCCATACAGGACTCTACTAGAACATTATATCTGAAAAAGTTACAGGCACTCAAGAAAAACCCGATCATAGTACGCAACCACGGAAAAAGTAAGTTCATTTTATTAAACTGACATTTTTTTGACATTTTTTAATTTATATACAAATTAGATAGGTAGTAGTACTTGTTTACATTAATTTTATAATGATTTTTAATTTTTGAAATGGTGTTAAATATATTTAAATTACCTAGTAAAAATGTTCATACTTACCTCAACAAAGGTATGTTTATTAAACAGTAGTTAGCTATATAATATATACTTTTATATATATATATAGATAGAATTTACAGCAGCTTTTATAAAAGTATACATTATATATAATTGAAGAGTATCATAATTTGAAATGTAATAATGATGAAAACTATGGATTTTAAAAATAGTACAAAATATAAAAAATATTTTCGAGTCGTTTATATAGATGGAATAAACCATGTGATGATTTCATAAATTTAGTAAATATAGACAGTTTAAAACTATTTCCTTTGTAATCTGTTGTTTGTGGTGCTGTTCATTTCAGACAGGGTTACTTGCTCTTAGGTCAGGCGCCAGTATACTAACCATTACAATGGTATATATATTTTTTCTCAATATTCTCTATGGAAAGATTTTGGGTGTATTGAAATACTGTGTATTTTAAATTATCGACCTTGACGATTTCCAGCCTATAGCATCGAATTGGAGAAATCACTTAGTAACCATGACTGGTTGAAAAATCTTAGTCCATACATAGAACTAGAAAATAAAATCCGAGCAGATTTTGCAAATCCCAACAAAAAATGGAGAGAGGGCAATGCAAAAACCTCCTTTACTTATCTACTCCTGGATCCGAGAATTACTGACAACCTACCAGCAAAATCTGGCAAGCAGCCCGACCATGTGACATGGATTACATTCATCAATTCTATATTTTATGTTGGCAAAGGTAAGACATAAGTATTCCTTTAACTAGAAAATACACATATTGACTTGCAAAGGCAAAGGGGATTAAAAAAATATTTTGTCATTTCAGGTAAGCGATCAAGACCATATTCTCATCTATACCAAGCATTAACTCTCTGGAAACGCGACTTCAATTCGTCAAATGACAAAAAAGTCCAGCACATTCTGGACATCTGGTCACACAAGGTAGGCGTCATATGTCTCCACATTTTCCAGAACGTCATACCAGCTGAGGCGTACACATACGAAGCGGCTATGATCGACGTTCTAGGGTTGCCTAACTTAAAAAATCTAAAATGCGGTAATTACTACGGTGTTGCCGCGTCTTGGCCTTTAAAAGAGCGGCGAATGCTCGGATTGTATTTACTATACAAGGCGTTACAAATATTCCTCAGTGAAGGCGAAAGACAATTAAGGCCTGGCGATATAGACTGATTTATTGTATTACCATTAGGAAAATTAATTGAAGGTATTCAACAAATCTTAGTACACTGTATTATAACATTGTATTAACTGTCACTATGTTGGTGATAAAAAAATATCTCTCAGTTTGATCATGAGGTTTATTTGATTTTAAACTTTTATTTACATGACAAACTATTATTTTATACTTAACACAACTTAATACTAAAGTTAAAGTTTTAAACCATAAAAAAGAAAAAAAAATCCTGTACTATTTTAAAAGTTACTTGCAAAAAGTACCTGTATATAATTTTAGTGTATTTCATAGTTTTTCTTGACTTGACATTCGTCATTCATTCGATTTGCGTCGACCAAATTGTTGAAATGCTACATGTAGGTATGTAGGTTTAAAACAGACAGTGGGAAATCCATGTGGATTCCTTAATATAGTTTAAATGCAATTGTGTGGTATTTATTAGAATTTTAAAGTATTTTTTCATAAATATCGTTTTAAATTTGTACTTAATTTAATTTACTTGCCTATTTACGTTATCGATTTAGCTGTTTGATGATATAAAATGATTATTTAATTGATGATAGATTTCGTGGTAATATTCTCTGTGAATGTAAATAGGGTAATATAATTTTTTAATTGCGGGATATTTATTAGTTTATGTGAACTCATTATCCAAGTATTAAATGCTGATCAGGATGCTTGTACAGGGTAGAATTGGAAATGGTTGGAGAAGCTATAAATTATCATTATAAATGTCCCTGTATCAACAGGGACATGTGTATACATATTCGTAAACAGCTAAAACCTTCAGACGTTTAAAATAACGTCTGAAGGTTTTAGTTGTTTACTAACTAACTTTTTGTCACCATTTTACAAGAAAATAACACGAAGGTAAAGAACAAAAGAGAACAATGGCTAATGGTATTAATAATTTGTGTGATGTTTTCATAACAAGGATGATGTATAAAATTCTATACAACGATGACAGTAGTTTAAAAGTGATAAGGTTTCAATTTTAGATTTATACAATCTTTAGCACTTATCAGTATTTGTAATTTATATGCGTACATAGCTTGTAGTATCGTAGACAATAATATTTATTTGCTCCATAATAATTAATTCGTAATGGAAAAATATTTTTTATGTCCGTTAAAAGCGACTAATAAGGTAAAACGACCATCACAAAACCCACAGTATTCCGATTATTAGACGACAAAGCCTTATAATATTAGTATTGATAATTGTACTGCAATTAACAACCAATTAACCAAAGTAATAAATGACCACGTTATAGTATTACTTTAATTTAAAGGTATAATTACAGTATTTTTTCTTTTAGTTATAACTATATATGCATTTTAAGAATTAATGATTCTAATATACGCAACGAAGGGCATGTCAAATGTTCGATTCACCATTGACGATGAGAATTGACTGCCTCTGACTACCCAAAACAAAATAACAGTCATGACTGTTTATTATTATTGGACTATTTCTTAATCATTCCTTCAGATATTTTTTGAGAATTTAAGATAATATTAACAGTAGACCAACATCTTTCTTTTGTTTATATTTATTATTATATATGAGACTCGCTACCCAACAGTGAGAGTAATGGAACATGGTTTGTTATGATATATTTGTATTGTATCGATAATATATTGTATTTCACTTTGTTATTTATAATTTATTTGAAATAAGCTTTAATTTTTTAATAATATTTGTAATTAATTTGTACGTTACCGAATCTTTCCTACTACATAATGAAATGGTTTCCAGTTTTTTTAAATGCATTGCAATCATTTGTTGGTAACAAATGATTGCAATGCATTTAAAAAAATTCAGGAACAAACTCCAATATATTTGTATAATACAACGGCTGATATTTTCCTTGGATTATATAGTTTTACATAATTTTTAAGTATTTATTAACAAATGTCATAATTGTAGATAGGTATGAAATTTTTAAATAAGTTAAACATTTGTACTATGTACAATAGTGTGTAGACATAATTTTACTGTGAACTGCCAATCACAATTAGTATATATATTACTGTAAGAATTGTAGGTACACTTATTTGGTGTAACCTTTTATTATCTACGTACTAACTAACTGACTTCTGCCGCTATTTCAGCTGCCTGACCATTATTGGATGCGTGTGCCCTTCCATCTCTTGGTCTTCCCAAAATAATCTATCCTATGTGCTTAGTATGTGCATTTATGAAGCATTGAGGCGTGATATCATTACATGAACTATTATATTTTTAAATTATTGATATATTTGGTATTGACGTTAAAAATTATTATCATTTTCATTTTGCTACTAAAGATTTCTTAAAATTTATTCACTATTATATGAATTAACTAATTAATATATCATTTATGTGTTTGCGTATAGTATTCAAAAGTCTGTTTAATTGTCTAACCCAAATGCACATACTAAACGTGTAAAACTAATTTTCGTTTTTATAAATGTTTTTTTTATAATGAATAATATGTAAATATTAATACATATTTTGTATTGATGGATAATAATTTATTTACGTATTGATTTATTATTTTATGAATTAACTACTTAAGGTTTGTTTTTGTGTGTAGTAAGTAAGTAGTACTACGTAGAGTCACGATAGTAACAAATGCCAGTTATTAACCCTTAGCGCTCCCCAAGTTTTTAATACTATCTACGATACCACTGACCTGACCATGACCATGGCTATCTTTTCAACTTCCACTGGTAAGCCACCGTAAACCATTAGCGAAATCGGGTGCACCATACATCATTATCCATAAAAAGAAAAAGACAGGAGGTGGGTCATGGAAGGTCATGATCGATAACTCATTTCAGCAAAGTTGTGCCTGCAGCAACCCACCTGCAGTGAGTGAAGTGAAGTGCTAAGAGTTTTCTTTTATGTATGGTAATGGAATGGTGCTAACGGTTTACGGTGGCGGGGACCAGTGGAGCATGATACGATGAACTTGAAGTCAGGTCAGTTAGCCTATAAATTCTTGATGAATTTTTCACGATGGTTTCCAAGGATGGGGGAGCTGCGTGGAGTTCAACCTGATATGGTACATTGCTAGTAATAAGATCATCAGTCCTCATTACTAATGATCCACTTTCCCCCAGTGCTAAGGTTTAATAATCACCAAAGATCGTTTATACTGGAGGTTAACCAATTATCCTCATAATCACATACTATGCAACCGCTTGAGGATTACAAAGAAACTTTTACTAATTTAACTATGATTAATTTGGTATGTGTACCTGTGTATAAGTATTTTGGAAGAATATTTGTGTAGCCATAAAGTAACTATATAAATATACTTCTTTATATATCCGCGTTATAGTATGGTGAAGATGATCATTGTAATGTTTGGTTACATTTTACTGTAAAAGACGATACCGAGATACGTTCAAAGCAAGGCTAGTATATACATATAATATAGCAATAAAAAAACATGTGACGGTATTTTTTTTACAGTAATTTTGTGGAATTTAGTGAACCTTCAAAAACCATCTACATTTTACCTTTAGGTCATGGTTACCATGCTAAAACGCGTGTCGTAAGTGTTCATATGTAACAGTGATTTTTTTGTATTTCTTTACATCCTAGTCAAACTATTATATTAGTATTGCATAATTAATAAACATGACAATAATTCTAAGGGACTTTATAATGAAATAAAACGCATACTAAGAAATAATTTATCTTTATTATTCCTTTTTTAAACGTCTCGAATTCTTTTCTAAGAAAAATCAAACTTTGCTTTAGTTACATCAAAAAAATACACAAATGTTCATATTATAACATATACAGATGCATTATAAATATAATGACCATGTTCAATACCACGTTGTCACTGGTACTAGTGGATATAAAATAATGAAAGCGTAACGTTCGATTCGTGCCGATTGGTGCACGTCGCACGCATAATTGTAACAGGACCATATTCGGAAACCATAGGCCTTGTAATGTTCACATGATGACAGGCAATCACGTACAGTACATAATTTACACAGGACGCTGGAGAATTTCCACAGGGCTATCTAGTCCCATGCTAAGTAGAGTTTGTTTTACGGATCGTAAACAAGTGATAGAAATACTTATATATTTTTTTATAGATATATCTAGAACAATACAATTAATCGTACTCATGAATACAAATGTTTTTACCCTGCGAGGAATTAAACCCGAAATTGTCAGAAGGCGGTATGTTAAATCACTAACTAGGCTACCGAAGCTGTTATAAATATATAAGAAATAAAAACGATAAAAGAGTTTTATATTCAGTACAATTTAGAATCAAATGCTATATTTATCTTTACATAGTAGAAAATAACATCGCCTCCGCTATCCGTATGCTTAGATCTTTTAAACTACGCAACTGATTTTTATGCAGTTTTTAGCAATAGATAGAGTAATTAAAGAGGAAGGTTTATATATATATAATGCATGTACACCTGTGCGAAGCTAGGACCGGTAGCTAGTGATATATGAGAAGATTCTGTTACAAATATGCGTGGCGTATGCAAACTTAATGACAAATCAAATCTAAAATCAGTCTGCATTTGTTGACAATGCACAGAGGCGCTGCTGTGAGATCATATTAAGGTAGCTACACACGACGATGTTCTTGCGCAAGTGTCCTCCAACACACGTTCTAGCATACTTGTACAAGTACAGGGAAGCTTACGCAAGTAAATCGCACTCTCAGCTATATCCTGCCCATACTTTTCATTCATACTTATCCTGAGTAACTTTTTGTTGCTGTCAACAGTTTTATAATAAATTGTATCGCGTCATGGTATAATGTGCATATAGAAGCGTTCAAAAACTGTTGACAGCAATAAAAGGGGACACAGCTTAAGTACTATTCGAGTATGTTATCTTCAACATATTTTCGGAAAACAAGAATAGTCACTTGGCACTCGTGCTTGCCTAACCAGGAATAAAACTACACGAATATCTACTAACGACGACCACACTCTGTGGCATAATTTATTTAAAAACATTAATACGCGTTTTTCTCAGAGCGTTATCAATTAATATTTCTTTCTAGACTAATCTCAATGTACCTTTTTGGAAGTAAGTAGATAGTTATGTTGTATTCAGAATAGAATAATTCTAAAAAAATAACTCAGTCACTGGTCAATAGAATGTTAGAAAATCTTTAAAGTGATTAGGCCCCACTTTTGTAGAAATATTTCAGTAATTTATCAATGAACAGGTACATAGGTACATCGACAAAATGTCATGAAAATAATGTTTATTTGAATATAATAATCTAATGTTATAAAATTATTATCTACTACAGTGAAAATGCAATTAATATTTTGCTATCCGTCTATTTGAATCTTCGGAAAACATAAAACTACATACAGTGTAGTTATTTAAGTGAACCAGTTTATCTAAATCGAAACACATTTGCAAAACTTTTAATTCAACTGATTGGAAGACTTGTAATGAACAATTAAATCCGAATATAGGTATAGCATGTTTAGAAGAAGCCTTTTTGTATAGTAATGTCACAATCTCCTGTTATTTTTTTGTTATTTTATTATTTCTTTACAAACACAAAAATTTAAATTATAAAAACATAAAAATAGTTTTAATTCAATCTCAGTATATATAATTGTTGGTATAGTATAAAAAATATTTAAAAAATAATATGAACACAATATTTGTATATACTTAATTAGGATTAAAAAAAATGAAACATTGAATTTATGAAACTTATCATTACAACCAATGGAACAATCACAAATTCTTACTTATACTCTGAACATAACTTAAGAATAAATATGGTATAATCCATATTTCAGAGTTCAGAGAGATCCATATTTCTTCTTAATTATATTGAAAAATATCATTATGTTGTAGTAGTAACGATAAAATCACAAATTTAAACAGAAGATCCTGAGAATACTATTATTATTTGCAGACCTCTTAACATGCTAACGGTAATGGAACCATACAGCCGAAGTCACGTGAAAGATTGTAAATAAAATTAGCATTTGGGTAGTACATTAATTATTATGGAACTTCAGTTTGAATGGCTCCAACAACAAATATTAAATACAATTTGACACAAAAGTAATTAACAAACTGAACTAATTTGCAGCGCTGACGCCCGTTACATGCACGATGATCTTTTATAGTTTAACGTAACATTTGCTACACCACGATTTTTCCGTATCTATATAGGATGCTCCCATATTAGTGAATACAGCCCTTATACAGGATGTAGTATTACAATTATTAGATGTATACATTACGATAATGGTCGAATTTCGTGTCCACAACGTCACAATTGTTTTTATACAAATAAAAACATCAATAAATACAAATATTGTGTAATTGTGTTGTTTGGTGCTATAAGGGTCAATGAAACTGCCTTAGTGTCTATTTGAATACAGTGAAGAAAATTGGCTATGAAATATTTTTTTAATACTACCAAGACATGAAATTCCTTTATTATTGTAGTATATATAACTAACACTATACTCTGTAGCAGGAAATGCAGGTATTTTGGTGGTACCTTATATAGTACGGAAGCAAATTGTACTCTATTGTATGAACACTTGATTTTCCATCAACATTAAATGTCATGCCAAACACCAATGTTGATGGAATCATAGACATCCACGGTAACATCGTACGGTAAATTATAAAAGCGCTCATTGTGTTTGCACCAAGCATAATGTCGTGAATGACACCATTACTAACTACTACACAGTAAAGAGATACTGAAACACTAATCCCTTGTATGAGAATATCGGACTATGAGATTTTAAAAGTTATCATTAAAAGCCATACATACACATACAGCGATGTCCAAACACACCACGACTCTATAGGATGCTCTCTACGTTATACAATAAGTCATTCGTCACTATAGTCGAGACAGTACGTTTTGTGCACGCTACGATTCATATTGTATGATCACATTGACGCCTTACTTACACTATAATCACTTAAACATTACTCATTTATCCTTAACTTTAAATCTAGGTACGCTCGATTTTTTTGTGGAATGCAGTATTCATAAATAAAGATCTTACTAGACTGAATTCGCGTGATATCAAATTAGGGGCTTCAAACATCAGTACAATGCCCAGATGGAGAATTCGATGTTTATATTACATACTTATGGAACACTATGGATGTAAATTAATTTACACATAATACTAATATTTACATAACTAGTTTGTGCTTTCACTAGTAAACATATAAAACAAATTAGGTATAGAGGTAGAGGGCGAGGCAAGTCCCGCATGCCCCCTACTGTTTGGGTACACACAATGTCCACAACACCCATGGCGGAGTCTCAACACAACACTTGGTTCACTATAAAACAATTCAGGTAACTATTAGTTCAGACACATGCTATAACATTCAAAGCGCACATCACATACACATTCGTGGGTTACGCGAGATCACAGTGTTTAAATTATGGCTACTGGCATAGAGATTGAGTCCAATTGAAGAATTACATTTAGATTGTTTATTTTTCAGTCCATCACTGTCTTTAGAGTCACATCACTGTCACATTCAATTCCATAACGTTCAGGTCGGATCATGTCAATATTTGATAAAGCGACACTTCGAGACGCCGGCTTCAGCTTGTCCCGCGTCAACTACGACGCGAATAAATGAGGGTCAGGTCCATTAGTTGTCATTCCGTTCGATTCATTTGGGCGGCGTCGGGAATGAATTCACTACCGCCTGTGTACTGGCCAGTACTGCTGCCGCTGCAACACACAATCTCCATTACTCTCTGTAGTTTCTCTGTTTAGAATGACATCTCTCTAGGTGATAGCTACACGGGTTGAGCGGGGTTCGGCCGCTTGTCGGCCGTGTGCTATCGGGCCCCTGCAACCAATATCACACAAGTTAGGAATGGCCAACGATAGCCACCACTGGTTGAGGGGTAGAGATGATGTTTTTCACAGAGTCATGATTATAAAGTATAAAAAATATTTTTAAAATTGGAATTACCGAGTTAGGGTAGTCAAAGAAATGTACAGAGCTATAGATCATAAACAATTTCTCTAAATTTATTGGAATACAGCTTGTTAGTTGTCCCTGATTAATTGATAAATAACGGTGTTTACAATTTACTTTAATTACAGGTTTTACCTTATTTATTAATTAATCAGGCACAATATTGATGGCTTACATTTTATTATTAATTATTAGTAAGTTAAAATGATTAATTTTATATATCAAAGTGATATAAAGAAAGCACTTGAGCGTAACATATGCGTTTAATAAATAATAAAAGCAAAGCAGTGTTTGATTTATTTCATAAACACAATCAGTAAATCATTTAGAGTGTTAATTTTATAAAAATCGAAGTAAGTTGTTATCTATATTGTAATTCATTAATTTACGAAAACGATGCTTCATTTATTACTTTAAAGTAATTTAATTATCTTTGTGACTTGTTTATCATAAACTCAGTAATACAATTACAAATTTTGTGTCTTAATTAAGCGACTAGCTTAATTTGATTAAGAAATTAGTATTTATAGCATGTTTTTCTGTTTAATTTGGATTACTTATTTAACAAAAACATAATATATATAATGTTCTTCTCCTAAATTTGAATTTAAAAATGAATCTGTATTTTTGTAAACATGTACAAGTTCATTTTAAAAGAATAAGAGCCGAGATTCTTTTGAGTTCTTAGCTCGAAAGCACACTGAACTGAAGGTAAATCTACCGTCATATGACATATCATAAGAGATAATAGACCTACATGAATAACGATATTTTGATTTGAAATAGTATATCTAACACAGGTAGTGTTAGATGAAGTGATTAGCTTCAACTACAAAATACTCACCAGGATAAGGCGGCGGATAGAGCGGGTACCCGAGCCCGACGTGGGTATGGTGGTGCGTGTGCACGTGTCGCTGCGGGGGCGGAGACCGCGGTGGCTCCTTTGGCGGCTCGGGGCGCGGCGGCTTGCCCTGCGGCGACTTAGCGTGCTCCTGCAGCTCGTGGATCTTGTGGGGCGGCGCGTGAGACGCTGGCGCGTAGTACTGCGCGTGGTGGGCTGCGTGCGCGGGCGGCAGAAGTTCGAGCTTCGCTGGCGCTCCGGGTCGAGACAGGTCCTCGGGCGCGTGGTAGCGGGGAACGGTCCACCCGCCGCCGAAGCTCCCCACCAGCATAGGGCTCAATGGAGCGCGGTACACTGGGTCGAACGGCAATGCGCCATAATGTGGTGCCTGTAGGAAGTATCAACATATCTTCATATGTTTATTTTTTGACGGGATCGATTTAGCACACCGCTTTACTTTCAATGGTCCCGGGTTCGATTCTTTGCAAGGTACAAATTTTGTATTCATGAGTATGATTGTTTGTATCGGTTTGGGTGTTTTCTATGTACATTATGTATGTATTTATAAATATATATACATATATATTAAATTTTTATACCAGTTATCTAGTACCCATAAAACAAGCTCTCCTTTCCTTGGGACTAGAGGGCGCTGTGTGCATTGTTCAGAGAAATTATTATTTACTATTTTACTGTATAGTCTTTTATATATAAAATAATAAACCGTCATGACTATTATACCAGATGGTACAGACAGCGGCATTATAATATGTCAAAGTCGTAGTGAATGCAGTACTTGATATCCCCACATTTCGCTGGGTAACTATAGCTGGGTCATGTCAGGTTGACCTCCACGCGGTTTCCCCTGGAAACCATCGTGATAAATTCCAGGTGAATTTATCACGATGGGCTAACTGACCTGACCTCATGCTCATATCAGCGTAAACCGTTAGCGCAGGCGGGTGCACCATTTCTTTATAATATACAAAAAAACTATAGTTGGGTACATCTGGATATTTTATCCAACGAGGCAAGGGACGAGCTTGCCGCCGTCCATCAGAATAATTTTGTTTGATATCATCAGTTTCATCACCGGAGAGCTAATGAAAAATAAATATTGAAATTAAGTCTTGGTCTGATTCTACCTCAGAACATTTAGGTCCAAATCGTGGTAGTAAAACCAGATCACGCTCTCAATATAAATATAGGGGTAATAAAAATTTGGCGATCAAAATTATCCCTTTTTCCTACCTGCATATACGGGGGGAGGTAGTACTGTGAGGTAGGCGGCGGCGGCGGCCCTTGAGTCTCCGTCGTAGGCTTCTGCCCTTCTTGCTTCACCTGCGTATTGAGAACAATTACTATACAAGCTATAAACGAAAGCTAAAGTTCAGATCAATTGTTTATACAAAAAAGGATTAGACGGCCTCCGTGGTCTAGCGGCTTACTTTTTTTATAGGCTAGCTTTTTTTTATATATAATTCTACTGGGTTACACTATTACTATTAACTAAAAAACAAGGTGACCTACTACTACCTTGTAGGTACAAGGTGATCCCAACACTGTATTCTAAACCAAAATTGTTTTGAACAAAATATACATTTTTTAAGATTTTTTAACTGCTTTCTTACAAATTCTAGCTTGTTATTCATGTTCATCAAAGTAACTTATAATACTAAATTATTCTTCTATCATAGACTAACAACACGAAGAAGAGTTCCTAACCTTAATTTCTTCTTTGGGCTTGTCGTCTTTATCTTTAGACGGTGGTTTATGTGCGTGTTGTGGAGGCCGCGAGGCGACCTGTGGCGGGCCCCCCGGGCCGCCCGCGGACGGCGGAGGTCCGTTTCCCTGCCCCGAATTCGGCCCTGGCGGCTTGGACTCACTGCCCCCTTCTTTTCTTCTTTGCTCTAAGCTCATGTAATACCTGGAAACACATAAATACATGAAAATTTTAAAAACAGAGTTTGGTAATCGATTTACGTAAAGTGAACGGCTGACGCTAACTTTGTATAAAGTTATCTAGGTACTGTCTTATTTTAGCTGTTAACAGCTTGCTTTATAACATCTGTTTCAATTGAAGATTGAGATATGGTAGTGAAATTACAGGGTATAGCTGTATCTTAGTTCTTAGGAAAGGAAATGCACGAAGAGTACCATAGGAGTCACATAAGGAAGTGAAGTCAGTGGTGATCTTAATGTATATAGACGGTGACCACTTACCATAAATAAGATTAACCATGGAGTTAAACATCCATTCAAAATGTGCTAAAAGAGATATAAAAGCCAAAGAGGCAAAATAATGATAAGGATAGATGGCCAATAAATGATAAGGATAGAAAAGTAACCATTTAAGAAACATAGTCTTAAGTTTAAACAGAAAATAGGGTATATACCTTCTTAATTCCTCTTCCCGTGCATGCGGCGGCCGCTGAAAGGCATAAGGTCCCATCTGCGCCTTCATCTCTATGCTCTCCTTCAATATCTGATGGTTGTCATTAGGCCTCGCCGGATTCTCTTTACCGTCCGGTCCGCGGGGCTGCTTGCTCTTATCTAATGGGCTAGGTGTGGTTTTGGAGCGATCTGGCTCTTTGTTCTTATCATCTAATTGTGCCCCAGGCGGCGCGCCACTAGGTTCCACGTTGTATGGAAAATTCGGGACATAATTGTATGGAAAGAAATGCTGTGGTAGAACCTTCTGCGGACCAGTCTCAGGTTTGCCGTCCTGGAAAATTGGTTAAACAATATATTAATAACTAGCATACGTGACTTCGTATGCTTTAAAAAAAAGATAGTCTATGAGTGTGACATATGTATCTTCACGTAAATTTTATTAAGAGCCGTTCAGACTCAAAATGAAACAATCAGACAAACATTTTTACTGTAAGAAAAATATGGATTACAAAAAAATATGTTGCCAGATTTCTATATAATTGTCAGACAGAATAAAGAATTGTAATAAAAAAAAATCATTTATATAAACAAGTGGTAAACCCGTATTACCTTGTGCTCAGCTTTCGGATCTCCTTTGCTCAGATCCTCCTTTCCTTTGTCGACCGGGGGTGGCGCAGTCGTCGGGGGATGTGTCGGAGGTAGATACGGTGGCTGTCCATAGTACTGTAAATTAATATTACAAATCAGAATTCATTTATTGACAACAGTAATATAACGTTTTTCCACATTAAGTAACACAAAATCTGGTGTAGCATAACACTGCATTATTTGCTCGGCGGTTGGAATAGAAAATAACATCATAATAAAAATTTGATAATTCGGAAAGACTAATAAGTATACTCATAAGTATACTTTAACCGTAAATGAAAATAGTCTAAACACGATGGATATAATCCATAGAATTCCATAACAATTGCGATTGCCTATGTTGTTTCCTTGGTTCTAAAATATTACATGTATTATAATTATAACATTGTTAAAAAAAAAATTATTGCGGTGTGCTCACCTGATGATAGACGGGGAAAGGCCGGTGTGCCGGATCCGGATCTGCGGCGCCGTCCGTCGGCGCGGCGTCATCCGAGATGTCCGAGTAAGCCGGCGAACGAACCCCAGGCGTCGGAGAACGCCTCGCACGTCGCTTGCCTGGGGATGCGTCCGGCGGAGATTCCGTAGACTTGCGCTCCTCAGCCGGCATTAAGGCCGACCTTGGCTTCACCTATATTTTGATTTTGTTTTAGAATTAATTCTATTGCATAAAATGTACCGTCTAATTATCTAAATTTCTGAAATTATAAATCATAAAATAGTACAGACGTTAAATAGCTAACCTTAAATTGAGTCGGTTGCAACGTAGGCAAGGCTTCCGGTGGCGGCGTGGACGGCACGGACGGTGTCGGCGGCCGCTCGACCGCTGGCGGAGGCTCTGGCGTGCTCGCAAACTCTTCTGTAAACCTGGTCTGTTGCGGCGACTCTGCATTCACCTCCGGTTTCTCCGGCGACTTTTCTGGAGTTTTATCGCACTTCGATTCCGGTGACTTAGCCGGTGTTGGCGATTTCACGGGAGTCGCAGGCGTGGCGGGTTCCGAAGGCGGTCGCGCTGGCGATGCAGGTTCTACTGTAGGTTCTTCTTGCTCCGAGCTCGAGCCGTCCTTATCGTCGTCATCTGGAGCGCCGTGTGCGTGAGACCGGTGATATTTGAGCCCATTCGCGTGTTTATATTTCTTTGAGCAATTTGGCTCGGGACATTCGAGCAGGACGGGATCAGGAGGAGGCGACGACGGCGTAGGAGGTGGTCGCTTTGCTTTCGGTGTGGGCGGACGTTCCTCCGCTTCGGACGTACGCTTCCTTTTGGAGTCTGGTCGTGGCGGTGTGAAAGGCGTGGGAGATGGGAGCGCCCTCCGCCCTTTGGCCCCGCCGTTGCGGAGCTTACTGTGGACGGAGGAGCGAGTCTCTGTGAAGTTTGTCATGTCTGTGGGTGCAGAACCGCGGCCACGTTTCGCTCGTCCTTTAGGCGTCCGCGCATCCAACTCTTCGGTTGGTGAGTCACAAAATCTGAAAATTAAAAAGGTATTAGACATTATATTCTTACACTTACTACATAATAGCTTTTTGAAATTGTCGTCTTACTGATATTTGCTACTGGCCCTTAACCACGATGTTGGTAGCAAAACAAACTTTCACGACTTCTAGTTTATTTCTTGATGTAAAAGATATTGCCCTATGTTCGACATCGTAATACCCATATATTTCCATATTCAAATTTCGTTATGATTCATTCTACCGTTTAGTCTTGAAAAGCTAACGACCAAATAGACAGACAATCTTTCGCATTTGTAATAATATTATTATTGCAGTAAAAGATACAAAAACCTATGACATACTTCTCAGGAATGGTAATAATAATATCCCTGAACAATTCACACAGCGCCATATAGTCTCAAACTACGCAGAGCTTGTGTTAGCGTTACTAAACAACTATTAGAGACACTTAGATACACTTTTTGGTAAATACACAAATGATATCCCTACATAGAAGACACCCAGACACAAACAAACATACTCATGAATACAACAGTAATACCGTCTTTATACCGTACGAGATATCGAACCTGCGACAATCAGAAGTAAAGCAGTGAGCCGTTAGACCCCTGTCTAAAACAAAACATATATTTTATGATGTTTTATTTATTTTAATGTTTTCCACTTCCCCGCAGGTAATTCATCACAATGTGATGATTTTCCATTATAAGTCGAATATACAGAATGTTTTCTTTGCGACCAAACACGGCAATTTTAATTAGATTGTTTACCAATCCAAGTCATATATACAGGGTATAAAAAATATTGGTACTAACCGCGGTGGTGCCCAGTCGTGCCGCGTGCAATCCAGTAAAGTGCCCACATAAGTCTTCCCTCGCCACGTCACGTTCACTACCAATACACCTGCAACCAAACACTAAGCCGGTCAGATTATGGCTTCACGGAACAATATTACTACAAATGGCGAAATAAAATTAAACAAGGATTATTACAACATACAAATAAGGGTTACTAAATAAGTTGAAACATAGTCACCTCTTATAGTAATACATATATAAGGAACTTTACAATATACATAAATTATGTTTAATGATATTTCTCATCAAGATATGCCTTGTGAGTGTTAGGAGTCTGAACTAAGTCGAACCCTATACTAATAATAAGTATAATCTCATACAATTTCTGGGCACAAGTAATAAAGGCATTCACTGTGAGTTCACCCTCTCTGCTATTCTGTCATAACCCATATCCATAAATTATTAGGAGAAAATATCAACGACGACTACATTTAAACGAAGAGAACATTAAGACAACATTTAAGATTAACATGTCTGCGCCTGACAAACTTTATTGTAATAATTTATGTTGCACTCATAATGTCACGCCCAGTCTAAAAAAAATGCTACAATACGCAACTAATAATCTATTATTACCCTTTATTCAGAAAACCTAAAACGGTCTTTTACAATTTACATTTTTTTTATCTGTAGAGTTGAAAATGGTGGAGGCATCCTTTTTGATAAGATTATTCAATATTCAAAATAATAACAGAACCAACTGGCTATAGTTATTGTTTTGCGGTCCAATGAAAATAAGTTCTGAAACGTTTGACATTTTTATACAGTAGAAAGGGGTAAAAGCTTTTTTTAAATAGTATTGTAATTTTGTTCTATTTAGTTCTGTACGTTTTTTAAGAAGTTAAGCTAGAGAAGAGAGGCGTGTGATTACGTTTACACCGTTTTAATATATATATACTTATATTATATTTAACTCTACCTAATAAATGTTCCAAAGTATTTCAGACTATAATATAGTTGTAGGGAGGCGGCATATGTGTAATAATAGAATCCTACGACTGATCGGATAATTAATTCAACATGCACCCGAGATAAATGGAAAGATAATGAACAGCTGCAATGTTTACGGTATCTGTATAATTCAGATTACCATTTGTATAAAAAGTTAAACAGAATTAACGAATTTCTTATACGCGTAAAATTAAAAAGGTTAATTTTATGCTTATTAAACACAATAGAATAAAATCCGACTGTCTATTTAAAACAATATAAAGTGAATTAGATTGATTAGATTACTAGAAATGAATTATTAAGATTGGTTTACAATTTGCAAAGATATATGACCACCGCAGTATACACAAAAAGACATGTCATAATTATGCGCGTATGCATAATTATTGTTTAAAAAAAACGGAACGGTTTTTTTAAGTCGGTTAAAAATAAGTATCAGGTGGGGCAACAACAATTGATGCATGCAGTCATTTGGGACTGTTCGGTACCAATTTGTCACGATTCCCATTTACATAGTGGGGAAGCATGAGGGAGAGGAACGTGTCGCGCTCGCAACGCGTACGTGACTCTAACCGCATATTTAGAAGCCACCACCAGGGTTGCCTCCCCTACTATCCGGAACTTGAAATCCGAGAGAAAAAGCTATCGATTTTTCTAACTTGTTATTTTGTAACTTTGATCCAAATATATTGTTATATTTTTATCTAAATGTATAGATTTTAAACTATGTACCTACTTATGAATTTAAATAACTATCTGTTGTAATTGTATAACTCTAAGAAGCAAAATTAATAAATTAATCGGAGAGGGCGCTAGGCCTGGGTCCAGGCACGTCGGATTGAAACGTGAAAAATTATGCCCCCAATAGAAATTCCGGAAGAATTTTGTTTATCTTAATTTTATTTCGGGAGCCTGAAGATTATCAGGGCAAATTCTGCGGAATTCTTGAAATTTCAGGAGATGTGGAAACCCTAACCACGACTTCTACCGCGCCACCCCTGTTCTTATGTGGTAGCGTGTTAACTTATGCAAATTCAATTAATACTCCACCCCCTTCTACAACCATTTTATTATTTGAGATTTATAAAAAAATCCACTTAATCGTGACAAAATTAGTAATATAATCTTAGTGGTTTTCATATCCGTGCACATTAATACATCTGAATTTAGAATCTAAATATCTCGTAATAAGTGTAATTTATAAATTACTTATTTATTTATTACTTAAAAATATATACACACAAGTGACATCGACTAAATGTTTTGATCAATTGTTTTGTTTCGATATTGTAAGAGAAAAAAGTATTTACACTTCGAGAAAAGTCAAAATAAAACTTTATAAGATGCGGTTACATATGTTTATAAGTGGCGAGCGTTGTTATTTTCGGCTGAATTACAAAAGTTTTAAAATCCTAAATATTACGTTAAACAACAATGAAGACAATTCAGAACGAGGGAATGCAGTCACAAGAATATTAATTTTAAAATTTTGGTGAAGTTCAAACACTAAGTTTTTCTTATTATTATAAATCCTACTACATAATACACTACAAAAAAGACATAACCTATTTTGGTCTATATATTTTTTGCAGACCTATTGTAATGTAATTTCCAGCGAGTTAATCTTCTCTTTGTCCGCAAAATGTTTTTCGTAAACAAGATGAACAAATTGAGATAAAAATGAGGGTCTCGGACAATCCCTTTTTAATCCCGAGCGAGCGCTTTCCGAGACTCGATTTTATATAGCGGTCTCGTTGAATTGTAAATAAGTACCTGCTTAACATTTTAAAAAGGTTTAATGAGATTTTAGAGGATACGTATCTAAATACCTCTCAAATTTGTGCTTAATTAATGTCCGTCATTTCACAAGTTAATCCGTTTTTATGTGACAGTAGCTTACTAATTAATTTACAATACGTAAATGTTATTCTAGTGAACGTATCGCTAAAAACATTCGACTATATATACATTATCACATTAATAATTCATAGTACAAACATAATAATTTTAAATCTTGACGTGTACAATGTGAAAACAATAAATATCTTTGTTAATGACAATAATAAGTACAACTGTTTGATATCACATTCTTGTTCATTTAAAACATGACTATTTCTAAAACAACAATTGTAAGTAAACTGTAGCAACAGATAAACGTACAGACATAAAGATAAAGACATCACAAACATCAACACAATGATTATTTATAATAAAAGCCGTGAAATAATAAACTTGCATTTATGCTCTGCTTGATAATAAGATCAAAGGTAAAACAATTACTCCACGACGATGTTCAAGCAGTGTTTATCGTTTCACGGAACAATGGACACATAAAGCATTTCTCTATAAGCGATTAGCATAATATTCTCGTGATCGAATTATTTACGCGAGACGTTTAATTGGATGTGATCTGACAAATAAGGCAATTGGTCTTGAGTTAATAACTGTAATCATTTTAACATTACCTCCTGTCATTGTTTACTAAAATGGTGATTGCCTAGTAATTTGTTTGAAACCGTTAAAGGCGAGTAACTTGTCAACTCATTTCTTTCCCGTACAGAAGAATATCTACGTTAATAATAATTAAGGAAACGTTCTCATGGTATCAATGGACAACCCAGTACAACACGGGTATTATAATTGCTGTAGGTCTTGAGAGTTTAAAAATTTTCTATGGTTATTTTTAAGACAAAATATTTCTGGTAGCTGAGAATTAGAACACACTAAATCGGTAGCAATTATGTAATAATGCGTTCCGTCATTAGTTTAAATCATTACACTCATAAAACAAAAGCCATATAATTTTTAAATAGAAAATAAAGGTGAGATGAACAATACTGCAATTAAGCAAAGTGGAAAGATAAAATAATTTTTAAAATTTTCATACAAGCTGCGCGATCACATAATCAATTTCCACTATATACCACTTTATGTGTATACTTTTAAAGAAAAAACAAAATAATAGCGAGTTCGATGTTCCGTTTTCAAAAATATTTACTTTTATTTCTTTATATACCTAGTAGCTATGGCATTCGTAATTGGTTATTATCCTGTTTTCGCCTACGAGATTTATTTTTATTAACCATGTAGTACCCTCAGTACGACTAGCCATTCCGCACACAATATTAAGCGTAGTTGGGGTAAAAATAAAAAAGTGGGGAGAGCTCTCCCCTCCACTCTACTTCGCTACAGTATCGTTGAGCAACCTCATTCCTTTGTGCGCAAGCGCCAAGACCGCACGCAATCACGAATATATTTAGAGTCTAAAAAAAAAAAAAAAGAGCAAAATGCCTAAGCGATCCCATCTTTCATTGGCAGCGAGCATTGTATGCAACAGGCGTTCCTCAAACAAGGTGTACCAAATTCTGCAATAAACACTGTGTTATCATCCTTGTCCAAAAATACCATAAATCAGTATTCATCCAGTTTTAAAAAATGGTGGGAATATTGCATAGAAAAGAGAATAGATTTTTACGATGTCGAAATAAGTTCATTATTAGATTTTCTTAGCAGATGCTTAGATGGTGGAGCGTCCTACTCCACTTTAAACAATCATCGCTCAGCAATATCTTTAATTTCAAGAAATTGTATAGGCGAAAATTCAATGATTAAAAGATTTTTCAAAGGCGCATTTAAATTAAAACCAACATTCCCGCGCTATAATATAACTTGGAACCCTAATATTGTGTTGGATTATCTGTCGTCTTTACACCCAAACAACACATTGTGTTTAGAAAAAATAACACATAAATGTACTGCTTTGTTAGCTTTGGCAACAGGGCAAAGAACTCAGACAATTTCCCTAATCAGATTAGAGAATATTAATATATATGATGATAGAATAGTTATTATGATTACAGACTTGGTGAAAACATCAGCCGCAGGTCGAGCCCAACCGGTGTTCGACCTCCCGTTCTTTATAAGCAAGCCGAGTATTTGCCCTGCTGCCTCAGTAATCGCCTACATGTCAGCAACTGCTTCAATCAGACCACAGAAAGAAAATAATTTATTCCTGACTTGTAAAAAACCTCATAGGGCTGCTTCACCATCGACCATAGGGCGGTGGATTAAGCAGATCTTAAAGCTAAGTGGTAT